GTAATAAAGATAAAATTTGCATAATCATATTAGTTGTATATCATTCTAGAAGGAAAATATTCTGGTGTGTAAATTTGATATAGTAATTACGGCTTCATGGATATCAGCAAGGCCTTTGTCTGAGTTAGGAAAAATGATATAATTGAGGCAGTGTAAAGAAAAAGTGTAAATAATGAACTTACTAAGGTCGTAAGCAGTTTGTATGGAAAACCAGAAAGAACAAAAGTTCGTGACCTTCAGAACAATATTAAGGCTATAAAGAAAGAATTAAGAGGGATTAATATGTAAATAAACCCAGGAAAAACGGAATATATACGCATTGGAAGAAAACTTCACAGGATTATATTGAAGGTCAACGGTGAGAGTCTGAAGCAGGTAGGAAGTTTAAAATACTTGGGTGCTCAGCTCAACGAAAATGGATATATTGAGGAGTAGCCCACTAACCTTGCCATGAAAAGGGGTTCTAAGTTGCTAAAATGGGGGTAGAAAGTTTCTATTTTTTTCTCTGTTTGGGATTTGACTGTGACGCAAAACTCAAGTTTTCAACCTTGGCGCCCCCCTCGCCCTGGATCACTTTTGAAAATTCGAAAACTGCTATATTTAATGAATTTTCTTCTTTTTTTTTTCGCATTTTGACCATGAAGAAGCAAATTGTTGACAATAAACATTTTAAACTAGATAAAATATGCTACAATTTTAGACCAAACAGGTTCGTTTAATTTAATAAGTTTTGAGATACAGGATTTCAAAGATTTGGAAATTTGTCGAACTTCAAAACCGTAAACTATTTTTTATGTTTGATCAGATGCGATTGTCTTTATATATTTTTATTGTCTTAAATAAACTGTCTTGTATGATTGCATAACGTTTTGTTCCTTGTAACTATTTATTAAAAAAAAGCCAATGTCCCACAGAAAAAAAGTGAACTCACTGCCCCAAAATGACGTCCAAGCATGGTGGACTGACGACTTTGACCTTAGTTAGTTTTTGGGTCACTGAGATTCAGCATTTGGCTTAATTTCGTCATAATTGGTCTTTTATTAAAGCTGGATAGTCATAGAATAATAAAACATGAAAAAATAATTGGCTTAGGCCATAAAAACACCAGTAAAGTTGAAATTGAAGCCACAAAAAAATTTCAAGTTGAAAATCAAGCGTCGTTTGTAATTAAATGCCCAACAATAACGCAAAACGTTCTGAAATAAAACATCTGGAGAATATATTTCTTTTTCTAAGACACTGATTAGTTTTTAAAATCTTTGAAGCAGTTAAATAAGCGGCAGAAAAGCGGTACTGGCGTAGGTGCCTGTATGCCTCTACCATACTATTCAGTACTCATAACTTAGTAATAGTGCTATAATAACGTTTTTGGTACAATATATTGATTGTATTAACGAACAAACATTAATGCAATAATTTAATTGTCAAAAAAATTAAATAATGAGGTCGTTTAAGAAGGCCTCTATTGTAAAAATGATATAATTATAATAATAAAACTTAATTCAAAAATACTTAACTGAATATCTTGAATTTTTTATATAACATTTGCAATTTAACACATTGTTTTGTATGTTTACTGATTCTTAGAGGTAATTCAAATTGTTTATACTTCTCCGGAATGAGTCATATTAATACGTTTTATAAACTACAATAATACATATCTAATATGAACTCCATATAATGAATAGGAAATTTTAATATTGAATACATTATTCTCTCTGCACAAAGAAAGATAGAAAGGGCGAAATTATAAAGTTCTTCAACGTAACCGGAACTGATTGTTAGTATTTGGTCTCAAAATGAGGAAAAACGCTAAATAGAACCCAAACATTGGAAAAATACATTAAGCGAACGAGAAAGGAAGTGCCAAAATCTCGGAAAAGAAAACAAGGATCAGTATCCATTATATGGCTAAACGAATATATAATAGACAAATGAACAGAATATTTCAAGATGCTGCTAAAAGGGGATCAAATGCTGGAGCAGCAGGAGCAGTGATATTAAGGGGACGAAACAGGTTTACTATGGTTAAGACCATTTGATCAACAAGAAAGATTTGTTCGAAGCTATTGGCAAGTCAGCTGGTCTGGACCTAATAAACTGCGCGTACATAGGCAACAAACGTATCAGAAAATGACATGAAAGGACTGCAGTTGTGTACATTTACAAGAAAGGAGATATTAGGGAATGTAATATCGAACAAGAATCATTCCTGTTTAGTGAACCAAAGAAACTCTACTCAAAAATCGTAGAAGCAAAATAAGAAATATTGCTGATTGCTAGAGCGATATGGGTTGAGAAACTCAAGTTGCACATTGGAACAGAAGTTAAAAATTGGGACTGTCTTCACTTTAAGGAAGGTTATAGAAAAGTCCATCAAGAACGAAAAATAGTTCTCTATCTGCTTAGTGCCTCACACTTTGGATTGTGCTAATATTTAGTAGCCTCGAGCAGAAAAGCTCGTTTTCCTTTCAGATTCCTTCAAAAATCTTTTGCAAATGCACTGAACAGTAGAGCTGTTTCTCTTTCTCGATAGACCTCTCTACAACCCGCTTCAAATTGAAGACAGTCCCAAACTTCAGTAGCAATTGAAAATAAAGTTGTTTTCATCATAATATTAGTCAGAGCTATTAACAAAATCCCCAATCCTACTTCTCTTAAAAACAACAACCACATATCCATTCTGTCTAACCTTTCTAAACCTCTGGAAAGAATAGCTCAATCCCAAATTTCTAAAGTCCTTGAAAACTCAAAACTACTCGATCCTCTCCAATCTGGTTTTCGACCTGGCTTCTCCACACAATTTGTCCTAATAAAAATTACCAATGACTTCCATACAGCAATGGACGAAAAAATGTTAACTGTATTAATACTCCTCGACTTTTCCAAAGTATTTGACTCCTTAAACCACTCTATACTCTACACTAAATTAAAATCTCTATTATTTGTTTGCAGTATTTTCTATCCGACAAAACTCAAGCAGTCAGAATTCCAAACCAACCCCTATCTTCCTTCCTTACACTGTCCTCTGGAGTGGCCCAGGGTTCGAGCATCTCCCTTCTCGTTTTTAATTCCTATATAAATGATCTTCCCAAATCCATCTAATACTGTTCACACCATTTATACGCTGATGACTCCCAAATCTATTTATTTTTTCACCCTTCTGAGCTACTAGTCGCGTTCGTCAATATTCAGGCAGACTTAGATAGGATCAGTGCCTGAAACTCAGGCCATTATTATAGGTTCCAGTTCTATTCTTAAATCCATCTCCTTCCTTCCTCCTTCACTAATCAACGATCATCCTATCACATTCAGCTCCTCCGTTAAAAACCTAGGAATCACCATAGACGAAAACCTCTCCTGGAAACCCCATATCGCCCGTAAGTCAATAGGTACCCCTAAGCTATTTGATCGCTCCCGCCACATACTCCCACAACCCATCCGCAAGCTCCTTGTATCCTCTCTTATTTTTCCCCACTTTGACTGCTACTGTGTGGTGTAAGGAGGCATCCTGATGGTACTCGAGGATAGATTGAAGCGACTCATGAATTCCTGTTTAAGATTTGTCTTCGGTACTTCGAGGCGGTCTTATGTGTCCCACCTTCACGACAAGTTAAAGTGGCTCTTCCCTTCTTTCCGCAGACAATATTTTCTTGCATATTGCATATTTCCAACCTTTATAAACCTTCCATAGAACTTAGACATTTGAATATTCCTTTATTGCCCGATCCACTGTCTTCTGGAATTCCTTGTCATCTAATATCCGTCATGCCTCTTCCTTGTCTTCATTTAAATATCATCTCTACCAATTCCTTCTCACATCCCAAAATGACGTTGTACAATTAAATAAATATTGTGCAACAGATTTTGACTGAGGTGAATGGTATAATTGTTTGACTTTTAATTTTAAAAATCGACCCACGCTCATATCATTTTGTTATTTATTTTTTACCTGATTTCTGTTTTTGTTTTTTTTTTCATTTAAATAATGTTTGTTTTGTTTTTTCAAAATGTTATTTTTATTTGTTTTAAGATACTTTTACTAAAGACACTGTATATATTCTTTAATGTTGATTAATATCATTTTTCGTCAGATGTAGTTTTAATTTTTGTGTTCATAACTGTTATTCATAAGGGACCTCATCCCAGAATAAAGTTTATTTTCTTTCTATCTATCTAATAACGTCGTTTACTTCCTCCAGACCTACTGACTTGGCAATTGCTTGGAACAAATCCTTGCTGATAAAATGGTCTTCACCATAGTCAACCTGCATCGTCCCCTTAATATCATCCAACCTGTTCCAGCCTTTGGCCCTTTTAACAAGATTTTGAAATATTTTATTCATTTGTCAACTATACATTCGTTTAGCCATGTATTTTTCATGTTTGATCAGATGCGATTGTCTATATATTATATTTTTATTGTCTTAAACAACCTGTCTTGTATGATTCAGTGAAGTAAATCTGTATTCATTTTAACATTTTGAAGGAGAGGGGGAAGGTATAGTAGAATAGACGTAAATGTTTAAATAACCATGTATACTTTTTGAGTTATTCGGAATCTAATTTTACCATCCCTCGTTAAAAATTTGCCATCTTCTTTTCGTTGAAGTATCTTATATAGATAAATTTAAAGGGCATCGAGAAGACTTTAGCCAAGTTTTATTGAAATCTTCATATTCGTTTAAGCGATACAGTCTATAGCAACGCAGGTTTTTCGATCGCCATCTTGAAAGGAGAAGGCGGATAGACGGAGACACAATAAAGTTTGTTTTTTATTTCCTGAAATCGATTTTTTTTTTAAATTAAATTTAAAAGCTTCTTAATTTAGGACAAAATTAAACAAAATTAATTTAGAGGCATTGATAAACTTGAAGTTTTGTGCCTTGAAGGCCCAACAAACAATATAGCTAATAAAGTCATCCACGCGTGAGCTAGCCACAAACAGTATCTGACATAAACAGTGTCTCCATTAACGGGAAGTGTTTCCGTTCCCATCACTTTTCTTTAACACTCATTTTATTAACACCCAATTATCTTTGAAAATATGCCTCACAAAAAAATAGTGATTCTCGCATTTTATTATTATAAACCTATCTTCACAGACGAATAAACATATCAAATAATCAATTATAACTCTTTCCGTGTTTATAGAATATTTTATTCATATAAATATTAACATTCATAAATTGAGTTATGTCATGTTTTTCAGGTGGATGAGTTCAGTAACAAAATAGCTCAAGTTTTTCATCAATCAGGATTTAAGAAAGGAGATGTGGTTGCCCTTGTTATGACAAATCAACCACAATACGTTTGTATTTGGCTTGGTCTTGCTAAAATAGGTGTGGTTACAGCTCTTATCAATTCCAATCTTACCAGCAAACCTCTAAGCCATTGCATCAGAAGTGCATTATGTAAAGCAGTAATATTCTCAGATGATCTCTCCACAGGTAATTTACATACACATATCGTAATTTACTTCTAAAAGTATTTATTATTAATTAGTATTAGAGCAAGAAAAGAAAATATCGTAACTTCATCAGTTTATTCAAACCACATAGTCGTAACTCCAGTTTCGGAACTCGATATGTAATGAAAAATTTTACAGTACATATGAATATAATCTATAAATAAGTATGAATTATAATTTATAGTAAATATTATTTAAACTAAATCTTTATTATTTGTAAAATTTATCGAAATGGAGGTACGAGATTTTCATTTTTAACTGTCGATTTCTCTTCGTATTATACAAGGTGTTTCAGGGTTAAGTAGTCAAACAGCAAAAATATCCTACGGACGTCAAAACAAGGAAAAAATGTCCTCTGAAAGTATGTCCGCAAACGCTTTGTAAACAAAGGAGGTATTCATATATCCATATATCCTAAAGGAGATATTCACACCTAAAGATTTTCGTTGTTATGAATTATTTACGTTGTATGAAATAAATAAAACCTATTTATTTGTTCTAACTACTTTATTAATTAAATGTAAACATTAACATTCATATTAAATGTGATTTCCTTGAGCATTAAGACAGGCTCGTATCTTTCTTCAACAGCAGCGGTGGCAAAATATGTTGATATGTGCTATTGTTTCACAAGATTCAATTATCCTTCTTCGTAAGGAATTAAGGTCATTGACCGGATTGCATAGACTGTTTGTTTAATATCATCCCAAACAAAAAAATCCAGTGGTGTCAGGTCTGGAGAGTGTGCAGACCCAGCCACTGGTCCTGCATGCCCAATCCTGCAGGATTGGGCAATTGATTGACAGGGGCAATTGATTGGGATATGGGACATGATATATGATGGAGCAAGTCTGGTCAATGACCTTAATTCCTTACGAAGAAGGATAATTGAATCTTGTGAAACAATAACACATATCCAGTGCCTGTTTTAATACTCAAGGAAATCACTTTGAACAACATTTAATATAACTGTTAATGTTTACATTTAATTAATAAAGTAGTTGGAAAAAATAAATAGGTTTTATTTATTTCATATAACGTAAATAATTCCAAACAACGAAAATCTTTAGGTGTGAGTATCTCCTTTGTTTAATACTCGAGTTCCTTGAAGACCCTGATGGATATGGTCACCAAACCATTCATATGATGATACAATCTAAAGCTCCGAAATGAGAAATAACGCCCTAACCCAATGAAATTTAAAGAAATAAAAGTGGAAAGATTCTGGAAACAAATCCGGTAAACAGGCGAATCTACGAATAGGGAGGAGGAGCTATCGGATTGAAGCCCCTTTCCCCAACTTTCTAATTTTAAGCATGCTTGAAAAAGCATTTTAAAAATGCTCGTCTGCCAGCTCAGACAGGTCGATTTAAGGTTTTAGGGCATTTCAATCTATCAAAAAGTTAAATGACTATAATGACTTATGAACTATTATTCAAAATTGTATCTTAACGCAACGCAGTGTTAGAGAGGCTAAAACGGAAAAAATGCTCCTCTACCAGCTCAGACAGGTCGATTGTAGGTTTTAGGGATATTTGAAACTACCAAAAAGTTCAAAATTTTTGGGCATTTAAAGAACATTTTCCCTTCGTTGCGTTAAGATACAATTTTAAATAATAGTTCATTGTGAAGAGGATAAAATGCTGAACGGTTCTCTTGCTTACAGTATACAGATCCGATTTTTCATTTCGAAGATATTTTAATCCATATTTTCAATAAAAATCGTTATCAGTTGGTTTTCGAAACTATTTTGATCGACTACAAAAACTTGTAGGGCGAGAGCTAACAATGCTAAAAGACGAGGGCAATCTTAATATAGCTCCAATCACCTCCTTACAACTGTTCCTAATATTCCAACTCCGTTCCTGCATAAATATCCCATCAAATTTTACTCCACCATCAAAAACCTTGGAATAACCATTGACCAACGCTTTCCTCGAAAACCATATATCCAATATTTCCTGCCGTACCATTTCCACCCTTAAACGTCTAAATTATTCCCGTCATCTATTTCTTTTTGAAATACGTAGGCTCCTAGTCACTTCCTTAATTTTACCCCACTTTGACTATTCCTGTACGATATATGGAGGCGCATCTAGGGATCTCGAGGCAAAACTAAAACGTTTGATAAATTGCTTTGTACGATTCATCTTTGGGATAACAAGGGACGCCTCTGTTTTCCATTTTTATGCATAGTTGAAATGCCTTTGTCCTTCCTACCGAGGTAAGTATTTCCTGGCATCCTTCCTCTTTCAAGTCATCCAATCCCACCGCCCCTCATACATCTCCGAGCTCCTCCTATTCAAATCCTCTGTTCGTTCCCGCAATACTCCTTCCCGGTCTTCTGATTTATACATAAGGGCCCACCGAACCGCTGCTTTCGACAGATCGTTCATTATCCGATCCTCATCCCTATGGAACACCATTCCTTCCCATATCCGTCAATCCAATACCCTTCCTACCTTTAAATCCCGCCTGTTCAATCATTTCTTATCTATCCAGTCTCCATAAAATTGTAAATAGATACTACTGTAAATATGGATACAAATTATTAGTTTGTTATTCATTATTTTTACTTCATGTTTTTTTTTTTCAATTTTATATTATTAACTGATTAACATTAGAAAGTAACGTATTTTTCATTTTTTTACTATGACTATTTAATTACTCTGTATTTTTGTTTATGTATCTCTGAGGCTCCTTAGAACACATTTTTGTCTTGCTGTACTGAAGGGTCTCGTCCCAGAATAAATGAAGTATTATTATTATTATTTTTTATTGTATTAGCATTCTCAGATTTCTGGAATAGCATCCACATACCGGAAAAACGTTCAAGGGAATGTAGATGAACGTAAAAATAATAAAAAAGTTACTTATTATTATTATTTTCCCCTTTTCATCACTAAAACACGTCGTCACGTTGAGATACAATTTTTAATAATAGGTCATTATTAGTCATTGAACTTTTTGATCGGTTCAAGTACCCCAAAATCTTAAATCGTCCTGGCAGACCAGCATTTTCGTAATACCTAACAGGAGTATTATCAGCCTGTTAGGTTGAAAATATGCTTAAAATACTACGAGCATTTCGGCCATGGTTCTAGATCTAGTAGACAGCAGATTGATATGGTTTGGACGTCTTAACAGTCTTGGCCACCGCGACCTTTAAGAGGCAACCAATTTTTGACAGCAACAAACTATTGATAGCAAATCTTAATTTTATTTATTTGGCCAAAAGTATTGATACCTTACTCATGTGCAAAATGAACTGATCACCTTTATTTTTATTAAGTAATTTATTTCTGCATTGGTCAATATTATTTTCTTTGAATGATCTGAGAACTTAAACAATCACACTATGCACTCTTTTTTAAATAAACACATGTACTTCAGTTACTATATGTAAGCACGTATCAAGACAAAAAAATTATCTCTAAAAGCATTATTGTTCCTGTACTAATGGTTTTTATTTACTTATTTTTGTTTTATTTCTTGTTTTTTATCAGGCCTTTAATGATCACTTATATCTAATCTAATACAGCTCATTTCTTTTCCTTCCGGAATAATTATCGTCACAAATAAATAATATATATAGCATTCCCAAGCCAATTGTAACCTTTTCCATTTCAAATGTAACCCTTTCAAAATCAAATACAACCTTTTCCATTTTATATGTAACACATTCAAATTCAAATTCAATCTTAAAAGGTAACATTGAAAAGGTTATATTTGGGTAGGAAAAAGTTACATTTGATATTGAAAATGTTACAATTGGCTTGGTAATGCTATATATAAATTACCCCAAATTTAAATATTGTATCCGTTATTGCTGATACTTCTTGAAAAAGAATTTGCAATGATGAACACAGACTTCAGTATTAATCTACCGCATAATATTAACTAGCTAAACAAATAATTTCTGAAGAACAATGTGGTCATAAACCCTATAAAATGAGATCATGAAAACTAATAGGTCCGTGCGAAATATTCACACAGCATATTGTTAAGTGATCAAATGCCAACTTAATAAAAAAATAAAATAATACAACGTATCATAAGATAAAGAAATCAGTTGTTACTTTATCGATAAATATAATCAACAAAGGAAACAAAAATAATTTTTATTTTTATTTATTTATATGATATTTACAACTGTATACAAAAAATACATCTGGTAAATTCGTACATTGGTATAAAGACATGGAACACATGTTGAGAAACTACCCATTGGTGGCACTCAAAAATAATTTAAAACTTCATTAATGTTGGGAACCGACATGTTTACAAATTTTAATAAGTTGTATCTTAGCTAAAAATTTCCGATTTCGATGATTTTTGATTTTTTAGGAAATTTAGTAATCTTTTATAAAATCATGGGGATAATAGGAAAAAGTGTGTAATTTTTTAGTTATTCACAAATAAAGTTTCTTTTCTTTCATAACTTTTTTGCGTGATTTTTCGGGTTAATTTCCTATTTTGTCCGCCTGAAGGAGAAGGAAGCTTTCAAAATTGAATAATTGGTTCATTCTTGAAATTTGGTGAAGAATTAACAGTGTTGTGGCTCTCCGATCAAAACACCATCGATAAATAATATACACTCCTCCTCTTTCGATCATAAAGGCCTCAAGTCGATGAAATGAGACATGTATTCAATGACAGTACTACAATTAACGTAAGGTTGTGTTGATGCGAACCCTATGCCTTGCGTTATCTCGAAAATAGTACGTTTTGGGCCTAAAAACGCAGGGCTTGATAGTTGCGAGGGAACTTGCTGTACGCATCAAAATCTTCAAAGCCCGATTTGTCCCGTGTCGGTCTATAGACTTACCGACGTTCCAGTATTGAAGCCTAGCAAAATGTTTTTATTGACTTCGCTAACCCCCCATGAAATTTTTAATCCAACGGTACCCTATTCATGGTATTTAAGCACGACAGGAGCTTATATTTGGTACAAAACTGATTTCGAGCCTTACTGTAATAATATATGTGGGGATGAGTTATGGAAAATAGCTCGACATTACAGATTTTGACCTATTCCCGGAACAAACGGAAAATTTCAAATACGACAGAGCGCACAAAAACGAAAATGAATAATGGCACTAATAGTTGAGCTTTTAAGCTAATCTCTGATTTAATTTTTTTCTGAAGTGGTCCTAGAACAAGATAGCTAATCAGCTGTTATTCCCCGCCAGCCTAAAATATTAGAGAAAACTTTAGGACGAAAAAATCAAAAATTGAAGATATAATAATTGCAATACGATCATTTAATTTAAAAAATAATTGCCATCCAGTGAATGAGCTTGGGACAAAGCTAGTAGTCGCTACTCATTTGCAGAAAGCATTGTAACATTGTTTTGAGCGAACGGCTGGATCTATTTTTAAGTTTGATATATTATATTATTCGATGAGGTCCCGTGAGTGTTTAGAAAGCAAAACAACAAAAGAGTAATGTGATTGGAGTGTTCGCTATAAGATATACAACGCTGTTTCGAACGAACGGTTGGCTCGATTTTTTAAGTGTGATGGCTCATATTATTCGGTGAGATTCTGTAGGTGTTTTTAAATAATTTTAACTCAAAATGCTGTCAAATTACAGTGAAAAAGTATTTTTAATCAACCCGCTAAAACGTACGTAAAGAACTACCGTACGTAACACTTACCCAAATATTTTACTAGATAAGGAAGTACATTTCCTCACGGTATACAATTTTTCCAATTTCTGTTATTCATTCTACTTACCTGTGAAACATTGAATTTATTTTTTCTTGGGGATTTAATACTTTTGAGGAGATTGTTCTAGAGGTTCCAAACCTATTCTAACCAGAGCGGGACGGTCGAGATCTGTGGATCCACGACGAAATAAATTTTAACCCACCCAGGCCGGATATGATAATGTTATTTCGATAATCTTAATCATTTTATTTTCAATTATAAATATCACCGAACTTCGCAGATATGTTGGTTAAAAATTAGCTCAAATAGAATACAGTGAAATTCTGATAAAAAATAATTTCTCAAGGTTGAGTGGTTAGTGAAAGTTATATGATGCGTGCATCAGGTATTTTTGGTGTGTGTGTACTTTATTAATAACTAATGCGTTTCAACACTGCATTAAATTGTTTAATTACTTCATCAAATTAAAAAGCAACCATTTATTATAATTATTAAAAAAATATTTTCTAAGCTGAAAAATGGATAAATAATAACTTTTTTTTTCTGGCTGTACATGTATTTTATTTATTGCTAAATATCATTGTTTACTGCTTAAAAGGTCTTTTGCTCAACATCTAGAGCAGTAACTAACAGGTGGTTTTTCACTTCTGTTAATTTACTGGAGTCCACAAAAATTTCATGTCATTGATTACACGAAGATTCCAATTCGGTCATAGTTTAAGAAAAACAAGCAGCTAATAGATTCTCCATTAAATGAGCACCTGACATCTGAAGTAAATGAAACATATTCCGTTTCAGAAAGACGAAAACACATACAAAAATCTTATATAAAGAAAAGAAATCTAAGATCCTAACACCTACCTCTTCTGCTGGAGTAATTATCTAGGATGTTTTCTCAGAATTTCCATAATCATCTCAATATGAAACTTAGGACTCTGAACACTTAGGTCGGACTCATACACATTCCGATATAATCAACAATAATAACCCAAAATGTCACAAGATGACATCAGAACACTTATTTCAAGTGGTTTTCTAAGAATTGTTCATTCGCCGTTGTGAGTTCAACTACTGGTGCCACTACCACATATCGATTTGGAGATGACTGAGCGAATATAAGCTGAGTGGAGAATGCTTGAACCTGTTAAAAGAGGTTTTATTAACAGGTCAAAGTAGGGTCGCAATCAGAGAGGGGCAAAGGGGACACGGGCGATGGAATTATAGATAATCGCAAATTTAAAAAAAAAACAATTTTAGTTTGAGTTACAAATATTTAATTATATTGGGTTGACAAATAAATCCTTTCGGTTTCTCAGGGTGAAATAAAACATAAAATTTACTTTAATTTACAATATATTGACCATTTTTTAATATAACTTTTTCCATCTTTCCACTAACAGCATAATGCCATGTTCATAGAATGTCTGGAGTTTAAAACATGATGTCATTGTTACAAGACTGATCCAAGTGGTTTTTAATGTTCTCTTCCTTTTGTAATTTCTTTCCTTTCATGGAGTTCTCCAGAGACCGGAATAAGTTGTAGTCACTTGCAGCTAGGTCTGGTGAATAGGGAGGGTAGGGTAAAAGGTTCCACTAAGGCTCAATAATTTATTGCGAGAGACTAATGAGGTGTGGGGCATAGCGTTGTCTTGACGGAACACAACACCCTACCGATCATTCATAACTCTTCAGAATGTTGTCCAAATTCGATGTTACTATATTCCTTTTAAAGCTGAATCATTGCACTTCAAAGCTGTATGAATATTTTTTTTTATTTAATGCCTACATAAGGAATAAATAAACAAAAACTCCTCATAGGTTTTAATTTTTATTTCCATTTGTAGTTTGTTTATGAAGGTCCTGTTAATGTCATTTTGTGTAGTTTATGTGGCCCTAAATTCCTGCTAATTATTTTGTAGATAACTAAAATGATATTGAAGTTATAACATTTTTTGTGATTTTCGAAAAGAAATCATGTGAGGGACCCAAACATTAAGCCTGGAAACATAGCTGAGCTTGTGCAAATGGTTTTCTATGCTTGTGTGCGACACATTTAGGGCCATAGCAACCTCTCGCACTGATTGGGTGGGATTTCAATCAATGGCCTTAACATTGTTCGTTTCAATTGCAAGACCGTTGATCATCATTGATGTCAAAATTTCCTGAATGAAATTTGGCAAACCAATTTTGACATGTGCGTTCGTTTAAGGTATCATTCCCATAACCACTGCAAATTTTTTATAAAATTCTGCAGCACGCTTATCTTTTTTAAAATAATAATAATGTTCACCTATATGTTGGAGACTCGAGGTTTCCGGTTTGGATTTTTTCATTTTTTGATATTTTTTTCAACAATTGTCAAGGTAAGATGAAATAACGCCTTGCAAATGGTTCGTGTAGAAAAGTATGGTTGAAATGAACAGTTTGCGTCAAGCGTAACGAACCAAAAGATTTTGAAGAAAAGAGTGAATTTTTTATCCTTGATCCTTGAGGCTACAGAGTCAAATGTATTGGATAACGAGAATGATGATAATGATCCGAAATTTAAATTATGATACCAAAGTTGTAGACTTTAAGTATTATAATAATTGGAATGGAATATTTACAAAAAGGATTTTCGTCATTTTTATTTCATCTTAGACTTTTAATTACTTGAAACGCTTCTACTCCAGATTTTTTATGACTTTTTAGTCAACATTTAATAAGGCTAACTAAATATATATAAAAATTTCAGCATTATATAGCGGTGCTCATCCCCCTTTAAGTCAAAAATTTTCTCATGAAATTTTGTTGTTCTCTTCTTCTTAAAAATGTTATAAAGGGAAGTAAGTATAGAATTTTTTTGCCGTTCCTTCCTCACCTATATGGATTTTTTTCACATGCCAGAGGAGAGAGCGGGGCAGTAATGCCAGAGTTAAAACAATCTTCAGCAGCGGGAATGATGAATAGAAAAATTGTTGATCTTATACGATAGCAAGTGAAATTATACAACACAATCAATTATACTCGTTATGGTTTCCTTGTTTGAATTTTTCTCCAAATTGAAACCCTATAAAAACATGGTTCTCTCTAAATACTTATTACTCTGTAAAAATGTTCTCCCCACAAAAAATTCAAAATCTCATGGCCACTTCTTAGCCACCTGGTTTTATAACTCTATAACTATCATTGTAAGGCTGGACTAATTTATTATATTTGGCTAGACTCTTTTCGATCTTGAAGTAAGAAGCGGCATCTGTGAAGCGGCATTTGTGAGTGTTTTTATTTAATCCAATTTGAAAAAATCATAATACATTTATACTGATTGTGTCTATAATCGCTAAAAGATGCTTGATAATATCACCATGCTTTTATGAAATGTAATTTCTTTTCTAGCTGTTTATGATGTTAAACCCGAACTGCCAGAGTACATAAAATATTTTCAACTTGGCAAATCAGAAACACCAGAAGGCATCATAAACCTTAAAATGTCAATGCAAAATGTACCCAATACAGTCCCGATAGAACATAAAATTCAACACGATGATCAATTTGTATATATTTACACATCTGGTACTACTGGTCTGCCTAAAGCTGCTATATTTCCACATTCAAGGTATAATAATACAAAAGTACTTTTACATTGTTGTAAACACCGATATTATGAGTAGTGATTGGTGCTTCTCACATTTTTCTTTTTTCTAGGTTCATTTTAGTATCGTTTCTTTCTGAAGACGTCCTTGGTATAACAAGTGATGATGTATTATACAATGCTCTTCCTCTTTACCATTCTGCTGGAGGTTTGGTAGGTGTTGGAGCGGCCATTATGACCGGAGCTACTGTAGTATTGAGGACAAAATTTTCAGCAGCTAATTTTATTTCTGATTGTGCTCATTATAAATGCACAGTAAGTTAAATTTTACAGCCATCATTATATAAATAGGCAAACACTAATCGGTTCAGCCCCTTTTACTCCTCTATTATTCAACCGATTTCTTTTATTCTTTTTTTGTTTAATAGATATTGACGAGCTCTAGTGTTATCAATAAATAAAACAATTGAGTAGTAAGTAAATAAAAATATAAATGGTAGTATGTTCAAAACGGCTGATCTCCGAAAGTTCTTCCCTGATATCCTTTAAATTTTGACACAACGTCGCAATAATATTTAGAAGTGTTTTGTATACGTTTCATTATCATCAGGCCTTTCCTTTCGAATTGGCGGCCGAAAAACTTGATTCGCTTTAGACTGTAGCCCCAATACGGCTTTAACGATTTCAATGAAACTTGGCTAAAGTCTTCCCCTTGAAACCTTTATAATTTATGTATATAACATACTTTCCCGAAAACAAGCTGCATACATTTTTATGATGAATTCAGTATTTTATTTGCGAATATAATGTCAAAATTTCAAAAGTCTAGTATCAGCCGTTGGTGAGCTTACTCCTGACAAAATATCGTTGGACAATACGGATGTACAGACAGACAAACATTTTTTTAAAAGTGGATTTGGTGTCTGTAATGTATGAAACAAAAATATATCATGAAACGGGTCGATTCTATTCAATGTACAGACAAAACCTTTATTTTATTTATATAGACTAGTGTTCGCCCAGTGGTCGAAATTCGACCTTAGCTATTAAAAATTTGAGGAAAAGATATAATTAAATAAAAAAGAAATTAAATAAATAAAGAGTAAATCACGATTCTAAAATTCTCATTTAGTAATACAAACAAAATTTCAGTTTCAATTAAAAATCGAGCGCAAGTCATTTAAAATTATTTATAAGTAATACAAAATACACTCATTCAAAAATATTTAATTTTAATTTATGTGCGTTATTATAACAATAAATTAATGTTATGATTAAGCAAGTAAAAAATTATTTAATTTAGCAATTTAATTTCACTTTAAATCCATTTTATTCAAAACTTCTATGTAAATAATGTTTTATTTGAATGTTCTGTTATTGTTTAGTGCATAGGCCCAATTTAAATTTTTAATGGCCCATTGCCATTGAAAATATAAATTTCAATATTTCAAATGAACGTGTTCTAATTGCTGCCACATATAATTGTCCATGCGTAATTAGTGGACGTCACAATAATATACACATTTTTCCAAAACTTTTATCCTGCGATTTGATTATGGTCATAGCAAATGCAGCTATTAATAGGAACGTTGTTTTTTGAAAGTCGAATGTAAGTAGTGTCAGAAAATGTTAAATTAATTCTTGGAATTAAAATTCTTTAATTTAAAGTAGCCCCCGTTAATATTACAGTCTCATTCCTGTTCCATTAACTAATGTTTGTGCAGTATTTAAGTTAACAATGAGTATAACTATAGAAAATATTTTTAAATTTAATTTATTAGGTATCATTCCACTAACATTACATGATATCATCTCTTCAAATAACAGACCCAATTACCTCAGTAAATGAAAAGTTTTCGATTTATCAAAAAACAAAATAAAAGAAATCGAACTTGGAAGGGAAAGAAAACGTACTAAATGTTTAAAATGATATATTTCTGCAACAAATAGTCCGATTTCGATAAATTTTTTTTGGTATTATCAATAAAAAAATGTGTACTTTTTGAGTTATAAATAAAATACTGAATTCATCATAAAAATGTATGCAGCTTGTTTTCGGGAAAGTATGTTATATACATAAATTATAAAGGTTTCAAGGGGAAGACTTTAGCCAAATTTCATTGAAATCGTTGAAGCCGTATTGGCGCTACAGTCTAAAGCGAATCATGTTTTTCAGCCGCCATTTCGAAAGGAAAGGCCCGATGATAATTAAAAGTATAGAAAAAAACTTCTAAATATTATTGCGACGTTGTGTCAAAATTAAAAAAAAAATCGGTGAAGAATTTTCGGAGATAAGCCGTTTTGAACAAACTACCATTTAAATTTTTATTCGCATACTATTTAATATTTTTATTTATTGATAACACTAAAACTCGTCAATATCTATTAAACAAAAAAAGAATGAAGAAAAGCGGTTGAATAATAGAGGAGTGAAAGGGGCTGAACCGATTTGTGTTTGCCTATTTATATAATGATGATTGTTCCATTTCATGATATATCGATATGATAATTCTTAATAATTAGCTAAGATTTTCAGAAGCGTTTTAATAATATTATAAACTATTAATCCACAATGCCTTCTAGACTGCACTGTATATTGGAGAAATATGCCGCTATTTGCTTGCTGTCCCCGAGAAACCTACTGATAAGCAACACTGTTTGAGGATGATTACCGGGATCGGTCTTAGGCCTATAATTTGGCGGGAATTCGTTGAAAGATTTAACATACCAAAGGTAATGGAGATGTATGGGTCTACTGAGGGCAACTTGCTATTCGGTAAGTATAAATAATTTTTGAGCTTATGGAATAATGTCTGATTTTATAAAATATAAATATATAAAATACGGAATATAAAATATTTGTTGTATGTAAGTTTGACTGTTATTTAAAATTTTTCACAAACTTTATAATATTTCTTAATATATACTTCATATATACCCCCTGTCCGCCATTAGGCCTAACCCTGATTTTACAAATTATACAACTGTTCATTTAATTGTACTACTCGTTGCTCAAATTGTATAACTGTAATTTAAATGTATTCTGTAGTTCAGGTTGTATTATTTTTTATTAACATAAAATAAACTGAACGAAACCATAGTTCGGACAAATTTTTACTTTCTTTAAAAATCTATATTATACATCGCGCCTCAATGCCATTTTGTTTATTTTATATAATTACTAGTTGGCCCGCGTGAATAATTCGCAGAAAATTCTGTTTAGTGAAGAAATAGCAAAACAATACGGAAATAAGTAGTTCCTATGTATTATGTAAGGAAGGAATTAATATTTTTTCGTTGGTTTATTGCAATATTCCAATAAACATAATAGACAAAAATATTTGTACAAATTGCTTTGCTAGGATCTATTTTTAAACGCTGACTGGAAAGATAATAAAAGTAATAAAGACAAAATAATGCCCCGATCATGGGATTTTCTAAATTAAAAAAAAAAATAAAAATGTAAGAGCAACCAAATGTCTTTAAGAAATAATAAAGTTAACATATCAGCCAGGAAAAAAAGTGTAGTAGACTAATCTACTCCTAAATGCGATATCTTTAAACAGGAAGACATTATTAAGTGTCCCAAAACTAATAGACTGTATCCTTGTTAATAATTCTTTTTTTCTGGAAATTTCGGGGGGATAGGACTATTTTTAGCATGTGAAGGAGAAGAATATCTTCAAAATGAGTGGTCAATCATTGGATTTGATGAAGAATTGACGAAGTTATGGCGTACCGACAAAAAAAACACCTTTAAGAAATAATATATAGGATGACACATACATAGATATATGCAAGATATCGGTATACTGTAACTGACATCTCTTAAGTACAAAATAATACTTTATTTTACATATATTCGGAAGATAGATTACTGAGGAGATGGAAAATATTATAAAAATAAAAAATCGGATAAAGGACATATACGGTAAAGATGATGCTAATGAAGATAGCATTATAACATTTGAGAATGAAGATGAAGAGATATATACTAAAAAATGATCCAGAAATTAATTTTCTTTGAAAGCCTAGTTTGAAGGAGGCTAGGAGGAAAGAAAGACAATAAGAAGAAGATATGCTCGCACTAATTGAAAATTAAAATGGCATTGAAGGCCTTATACCAGCTAAAATCCAAAGTCACGAAAAAAATATTATCGATCTCCTAAACTGCAACCTGACTTTTATCCAAATTTAATTGAAAGAAAATCAGGATTTGGTCTTGAAGTTGTTGAAAATGTCCAGGCAAAAGAGAACAGAAGATACAGTTAATTCTTCTGAGGGAGCGATCATTTTAGATGGATCATTGCCTGGTCATGGAAAGGAAGACGAAACTGATGAAGAAACACAAACTGAGGAAAATAAAAGTTCTGATGAGTTAGATTTTAGACCATTCATTTTTTATCATTAAGAACAAGTAAGATATGAAAGATATCTCAGCTTTAGAAAGATAGGAGCTGACTATGCTCTCAAAAATAATCAACCTGAGAAATTGCCACCAGAAATAGTAAAAGAGAAGAAGGATAAAAATTATATCATTAAAATTAAAAATGTAAATGATATTAAAAATTCATCAGCTGCTGATGTGGCTGTTGCTCCAGAACTAACGTATTATTTATAATATTAATGTATTATGAACTAATGCCTATGGTTCCTCACTGCCGACCAATCAATTTTCATAGGAAAAACTGCTACAAATGAAGACAGTGAGTCTCAGTCAGAGGGAACTCTGGGGTCTGAAGACTGAAAAGTGTTTCTCTGTTAATGTTTTACTATTTTTGAATTGTAAGAAACAATTCAAAACTCCTCAGGTGGGAGATGGTGAGAAGTCAGTCAAAAGTCATATTTATTTTATAAATGTTTAAATGATTTCATATTTTTGAAATATTCATATGTGAATAATTATTATTGTTGTAAAAAAAACTTTAAATGTACAAATTCTAAAATCTCTTTGTAAAGTTTGTGTTGAAATAAAAGTTAATTTATTTCCATTTCAGAATACTCCACTTTATTTTATTTGAACCAAGGAATCAAATATAACAGTTAGTTATATATTTACCCTAATCCAAACACTAATCAGTCCATATATATATATATATATATATATATATATATATATATATATATATATATATATATATATATATATATAAAATCCATTATATAAAATGGCACTTTCGGTTAGCCTAGACGAAAAAGTTGCTGCAACATTCCTGACAAAATCATACCTTAAATACAGAATTTTAGTTTCGTTCGGAGACTTGGTTATTTGGCCTCAGGGGACCTCAAAACGTCTATCCGTTGAAAACCTATATATATTTCATATATAGGTAAGTGAAAGTAAAATGACTCATCTGGTAAGAAATCGATTGTTGTAGATGCATCAATGAGATCAATTAATTACCTTGTGTATATCTATGACAATCGCTTTTAAATAAGTCAAGGTATGAAATTCAGTCAGTGGTTAAATTATCGATACGTTAACTTTTTTAGTTTCAGTTGGACATCAATATTTTAATTTAATCAAAAATCCACGATTAAAGATCAAAGATGAGTCACTTCTTGTCCAATCGTATTATATTCCTCAGAAAAACTTTCTCTCAATATTGTTTTTAAAGATTTTTTTTTTTAATTTCTGTTCCAACAGATACCTTAGGTGTTCTATTGCATTCATGTTCGGTGACTGTGATGGCGTTTCCAATTACCTGGGAACGTCATTTAGTCTCCATTCTTTTGTTTGTTTGATGTGTGCTTGGGGGTCTTTGTCTTGTTGGGAAATAGATGTATCCTTGACCCTAGCTTTTCTTAGCTTAGCAAAGGAAATTTTTGGAATGCAGTATGTGGAGGAAAGTGGTAATGAGTCCAGGGTTGGCAAAGTGGGAATTCAGTTGATCGGAAGAAACAGAATGTACAGGTTTTTGACTTTAGTATGGAGATATTTTTAAGGATTTTCCATTTGGACTTAGGATTTGGGCACTATTATTATGTCGTTGTATGAAGGGACGTAAGTAAAAAGAGAAGATTCGAAGGAAGGATCAAATCGGGCATGGGGAGTGGGACGATATTTAATTACGTAGAGAAGGGAAAAAGAATCTGAGGAAATTTCTACAAATAAGTACTCTAAATGGGGAATGTCGGAAGAGGGAGACTCCTGCCCTCAGACCTTCATGAACGTAAAGACCGACATCCCTAACTGATCGGTCCACCTGGTCATGACGGATAAGAGTGTAGTTAGGGATGGATATAGAGGAGGAAGAAATATTTGGTTTCATCCAGGTTTCCGAGACAACAATAATATGGTAAAAAATGTGGAGAAAATAATCTTGAAATTCATCTAAGTGGGCCGGAAGGCATTGGGGGTTAACATGGCATGGTTATCCAACAGGCAACATGGATGTTATACCTACATAACTAAATATATTTTCAATTTTAAAGTGCTAAATAGAACACGGAGACCCTAGAGATTCTAAATCTCCAACGCAGACGTTCATAAGTATAATAAATACGGCGGCATAAACCAAAAAAGACAAAAATTTCCTTAGCTATATCCATCACTAGTACGCTTACCCCAAGTGTTTTTCTTTTGGGATCAAAAATGTTTAGGGGTTGCTTTGGGATATTTTTTATTCCATTGTTATTTATAGTTATTGCTTTTTTTTTTTTTTTTTCCTACCCCCCAGGAATTTCTTGAATAAATTCAGTATGTATATAAATGTATATATACATAAATTTTCAACTTTCCTTTTATTGCCCAAGGGCATTTTAAGTTAAGAGGATAGTTATTGCTAAATAAGTTCGCTATTTTTATCGGATCAGAAACTAAATATTATATTGAGTAGAAAAATTGGTTTGAAAACGCCTTGAATTTTTTTTTTTATCAATCGATTTACCGAACCGCAGTGTGATAAGCTAATTAATGAAAATATGTTCCCACGGTCAAGTGGATCCTTCGTTGTGACGTTCCATTCATACGTTCAAGTATTGGAAACAAATTGAAATACTCATATATATGAAGTGATAAACCTAAATCGGTTCATGGTCCGCTAGGGTTTAAAGTTTGAATGCTCTTAGGCCCGTTTTCGTCAGCACTCTTCATTCTATCCTGACTATTTTCCTCAAGAATTTAGTCATCTGTTAATAACAATCGATAAAATATACGAAAGAAAATTAAATAAAGACTTTAGTTTTTTAAAAAATCTGGTGCTGTACGCGCATCACACATCTCTCACTTACCATCCTTCTTTCAGCATAAATAGGTATTTTCAGACAAAGGTAACTGAAAGTAAAACGCTGCAAATTATGACACAATGACTTATTATTTCCAAACAATTTAACATCAAAATTAAGATTACTTTCCATGAAACATTTATAGTCGGTGGTACAGACCTCTTTTTATTAAATTATTAACATCCGCCTGAAACTTCGTGAATAGCTTCATCTCATCGTAACCTAGAACTGTTTTATTTACAAAAGCTGTTGGAATTGGGGCGTTTTCAGTCTGGAGATCGTCTTTGTCTATTTAATTGGGTATTAAAAACTCCTAAATACCCACTTGCTTTCCATTAGGATACAAACCTTAAATATATAAATTCAGTTTTGAATTAGAGACTTTTTATTATTGAGTTAGACTTTTCACATAAACACATACCATATTGTGAGATTTACTTATTTGTATTCACAAGACTATAAGATGTTTATTTCCGTTAAACAATCGGATTGAATCATATTTTCACGATCGCAATACTTTCGTTTACTATTTATTTCATACATAGGCAAATGAAAGCAGAGGTGCCCATCCTCCCCAAGATCGATGGCTCACGAACATCCTCTCTCCCTCTTCTAAGATATTCTGTTGCTTAATTAAAGACAGTGCAAGCAAAAGTAAAATTTAAAAAAAATTAAATCATATATAAATACACTTGCAGCAGTGAGTTATATGTTTTTCCTTTGTCCCCTGTTTTGAAACATTCCGAAAATTCATAACCCCGTAGAAATTTCAAAATCTCGTCAAAATGTGCCCCTCCTTCCCAAATAAAATTGCCTTCTGGATGAAAATAAAACCTCTTTAATGAAAATAAAGATTCTTTAACACGCTATTTCTGGCAGTTAAAACAGCTAGGAAGTCTCGCAGTAAATACTGCTCCTCAATAATTAAAATTTTGAATATCTTTTACTATGGTTAAATGTTAATGTCTGGCTTATGTGTTTTAAGTTTGCTTAAATTTTTAATTTCATCTCATCTTTCATCTAATATAACTACATTAAGTAATATTATATAGATTGAGTTAAATTAATATTAAAATGTTAAATAGGACTTTTTTACAATTTATCCTCATCATATTGTAGAGGAATACCTTAGGTAACAATTATACGAAAATAATAAGTAAACATTAAAGGTTGAATTTGGCGGATTGAGAGGAAAATGTAGATAAATTTAAAGTACCTCTCATATAGTCAGTATCATTGAATCAATATAGAATTTCGTCTAAACATATCTTGGCCACGTAAAGGACTACATTGCATCAATTATCTTGACGTAAATAAAACCGGTTGATATCAATTTTTGTTTTTCTTATTGAAGCTCTTTAATTATTATTGAAGGTGTGTCAATATTATCGCACGTGTTAGAGCGATATTAAATCATATATATATTTATGGATCTAAACCTTGAGGGACCTTGGGCAATACATGTTGGTTAGAGCTAGGAACTGTAGAGGTCGTGATGGACGAGCATGTTTTTTTTTTATTATTAATAATGAAATTTACAACTGTACATTTAATATACATTCAGCAAATGTGATACAGATAAATACATGGCATGGCAAGGCTTGTAGAGAATCTACCCATTGGTAGCACTCTAATAAAATTTCTAAATTAGGATATCGCGAGGCCATACATCTTCTTTTCAGACGCCTAGGAGGATTATCAGGGATCGAGGAGGAAGCAAGTTTAGAAACGAGAGGATTAGGATGGTTCTGAAATTTATTAAGGTCATTATGGGTTATTTTATTTGTTACAAAGTAAGGAGCATTAAGGATTTTACAAAAGATTTAGGATTGTAAAGATTGGATACGAGAGGGATTCGATGGGTTAGTGGAGCCCCAAAGCTCAACACCGCAAGTCCAAAGGTCTTATTATGGCCATGTATATGAATCTTTTGTAATTAATTGAAATATTAGAGCGTTTGTCCGGTAAGTGTTGAAGTAGTCGGAAACGTCGAGCGGTTTCTTATCGTTTCAGTCTGGTATGAGGATTTCAAGTTAGACGTTTGTCCAGGTAGAGTCCTAGGTATCACGAGCATGTTAAAGCGTTAATTTTAACATTCTCGAGCCTAGTGACGACGGTCTGGGAGAGTTTAAATCTATTTCATGGCGATCCAAATAAGTTCCTTCCCACCGTGCACTTGTAATTAACAGAGCAAGTACTCACAGGGTGTGGGAGCTTTAGGACCAAACTGCAGTTTTGACAAGGACGGTGATCCATGTCCTAGCCTTTCAGAAACTTCTGATCACGTAGTAATGACCAGAACTGTATTTGAAAACCTAAGCAACACGATATGGAAGAAAATGGGAATATTTATTACCATAGAAAGTGATTTCCTCTTCCACATGAAAGAAAATAACTACCCCTATTCCGAAGAGTTCGAGTGCGGGAGGAAGATGATGGTGGGGCCAAAATACTCCAACCGTGGTGTCCCTATGCGAAGTCGGAGGCAACAGAAGAAGTAATCGACAATGATCAGAGTCACTAAAGGTACGAACTTCAATTGAACTTCTGAAAACATCTAAATGACAGTGGTAGCTTAATAGATGTATCATTTATTATACTACCCTCATCAAAACCCGTATTGTCGTAAGGCAAGGTAGGGTGTAAATAAATAAAATCATTAAGTGATGTTTCATAACCTTAAATAAATAAGAACTTCGAAAAATTTTCCCTTTAATAAATCCGAAAATTGTTCGTTCGTCTTTTGTAGCTATTTTTGATATATGAATGAGTTTGTGAAATTTTCATGTACTTTCAGTGTTTTTGTATCGCTAAATAAAGTCAAAAACTCAAAAAATATTTTAAAGCTAATCTACATAAAAAAATCACTTACAAGGAGAGGATACAGCCTATGGGTCACCGATTTCAAACAATCTTTTTTTTTTTGGTGGTACTATATCGAAAATTATTAGACACATATCCCAGGGTTCTTTCCAATGCGCACTAGGAGCCGAAAAACAAATTACTTTATATAATTTAAAAAATAATTTACGTTATTTATTTTTGTCTTTTGCAGAATTATAAAATACTACTAACTATTGTATTAAATGAGTTATAATGCATCATATATAACAAAAATCAAAAGCTGCTTCCTATAAAGTAGGCTAAATAAATTTTTGTTATGAAAAAGCAAATCAGATCCCTTTTTAGAGCCCTTTAAAACTCTTAATTAACTTAAAAAATTATTTACACTAGATAACAGACCGGTTTTTAATAAATATTTTATTTGTCAGATAGCTACAGTACAGGCACAATCTGGACAAAGGAACGAAGCAATGTGGGAGTAAATATTTTTTTAGGGAGTTGATATTCATTTTTCGCACCTCAAAAACTCTTCATTACAAATTTTTTTTTCAATTAAAAATTTCTTCACGAAATTTCGTCAAGAGCCACAAAATGTTTTACAACTCTAGAACTGCTTCACCGATCCACACGAAAATTAATACGGATTTAGGCCTCTTGGTACTACACGAAATGGTATAAACCCGATCATCGTAAACAAATTAAAAATAAAGAAATAAAACAAAAATGGGTTAAAAGTATTTCTTAATTTCTAACTTGAAAAAAAAATTAAATCCAAAAGTTATTGCTGTCAAGTCAGCTTTCAAACGGTTATGTTAAAGTTTAATTTGAAGAAAATCCTGAGAAGTTATGAATGATTTAATGAAGCCAGAAAACTTATCCAAGAAAATCAAGTACTCAAGGTTATATGTTTTTATTTATATAACAATTCTAATTTAAGAGTTTTAAAGAGCTCTAAAAAGTAATCTAATTTGCTTTTCCATAACAAGCAAAAATTTATTTGGCCTACTTTAATGGAAGAACATTTTAGTTTTTGTAATTTATGATACATTATAACTCATTTAATACAATAGTTAATATTTTTTTTATTATTCTGCACAAAAAAATAAAATAAAAAGGAAACGGTTGGTATATAGTAACCTAAAAAAACCCGTGGAAAGCAAAGGCAAAAATAAATAACAAAAATTTTGTTTGAAATTATATAATTTTTTTCTCTGCTCCTAGAGCCCATTGGAAAGAACGGAGGGATATGTGTACAAAATTTTTCGTTGTAATATCACTAAAAAAAATTTGGTTGAAATCGGTGACCCACAGAATGTATCCTCTCCTAGTTAATGCCTTTTTGCCATATACCGACGATATGTCATTTTATTGGACTTTTTGATATTACTTTTTTTCAAAATAATATCGACCGTGTAAGGGAACTTTAAGATAAAATACTAAAGAACCTATTGGCGCTGACTTAATGAAGCGTTTCAGCGCTCGCTTACGTAGTTCTAATTACTTTCCAGAATTTCTATAGAAATATTTTACTAATTTGAGTGGAACAATGAGGATTCGTATTTTTCCATTTTATCTCTCATTATTAAGGGAACAAAAACAAAAACAAAATCTCATAAGTTGTCCATTGGACTGAAAAAAGAAAAAAAAACAACGAATTTTTATGACATTAATTGAATACTAATAATGAACTATTCGTTTCAGTTAACTATGATAACAAAATTGGTGCTATTGGTTTTATACCGCAAATCATCCCTAAATTTTTCTCAAGATCCATTGGTGCTATAATACGTGTTAATCCTGATACTATGGAACCCGTCAGGGGAAATGATGGATTATGTATAGAATGTGACATTGGTAATCATATTAAACTTTATTTTCGCAGCTTAATACAATTACTGTATTGATTTAATAAATAAAAATAAATTATAAAAAAAGATACAAGATAGTTTGCAATATTTTTTACTTTGTATACAAAAACTATTCATTAATTAATTTTTCATACGATAATTCTAGATGAACCAGGAATGTTTATAGGGATTATTCCTTATGAAAACTCTGTTAAAAAATTTCATGGTTATTTAGATAGAGCTGAATCAAGAAAAAAGTATTTATATGACGTTTTCAAGAAAGGAGACAGAGCTTTTGTTTCAGGTAAATTTGTATATGTCTTTAAAAAATATCATTGCTGAATATTTAAAATGATAGGTTATTATTGGGAAAATTCCAAACCATATAGTCTTATCATAGGGCTATCATAGGGCCCCTATGTCACCAAAATGCAGACAAAGAAAAACCCGTCAACGTTTCGTCAATTCAGGCTATATCAGAACAGAAAAAAAAAATAGCTAATCGAACATCACTCCATGAAATCCAATAACATACTGAAAATATATATTTGTTTCTCATTATTATATCTTTTCACATCATTAATTTATTAATTAATATTTGTTTAATTCAAATTTTTATAACATATTAATGATTTTTAATTAGGTATTTAGTTGTTTGTTTCCCTTATCAGCTATTTCAATATAACCTTCCCTTGCTGTGTTGTCTTGCCTTCCTTTCAGTATGCGATTTAGTTTTCATGGAGTGATGTTCGATTAGTTGTTTTTTTTCTATCCTGATGATATCTGAATCGTCGACGGGTTTTTTTGTTTGTTGTTTTTTTTTGGCCTGCATTTTGGAAACTTAAGAGGCTGTATGGTTTGGAATTATTGGAATTTATTATTTTCCCAAATTTAATTTTAAATATCTCGATACTTCAATTCCAACCTGTTTTTCGTCTCTACTCTATTCACTGTGGAATATCATTATCATTTTAAAATCTCATCAAATTTTCAATCTCTTCTGACGAGCAGACATTTCCTGTATCTAATGAAGATAAAAGCATGGAATTCACAAAATACCTCTCTTACCTCTCTGGCCGCTCCTTTCGAGTTCAGAAATTTAAAGAATTTTCCAATTGCTATCCAGTGGAATCCAATGTTCCTCAAGGAAGAGTCTTGGGTCCCGTCCTTCTTATCTTATGTACCTCTAATTTCTGTGTACATCCTGATATCACTATCCTGTCATCCAAATCAGATCCAGAAATAGCATCCCTGTAGTTGCAAAGGCTCCCTGATTGAATGTTGGTGAATAATAATTGGCTCATTGACAGAGATTTTTCAGTTTATGCCTGCCTGTTCATTTTAGCTCCATGCCGATTCCATTCTCAGTCATAGTCCTTCAAAATCTGAAGACACTACTTCAAAAAAAAAATGGTTCGCCTGTTCAAGAAATAATTGTGACACTTAAAAAACAGACCAATATCCAAAATACACTTTTGTCTTTCTTGGAAAACTGATTGATAATATGTTAAGTAATGTGACACTGCATATCAAAAATTTGATTCAATAACAATAATCTTCTTATCAAATAGCACACGGGATGTAAATAATAATAATCGATGATCATCATAATAATTTTATATTTATTTTTACATATAATTCCTAATTAATTAAATTTAAATTTTTTGTAATAGGAGATCTTATAATGATGGATGAGCTTGGATATCTTTATTTCAAGGATAGAACAGGAGACACATTCAGGTAAATTATTGGAAGTTTTGCTAATTTCAAAACGTATGCCAATTAACGCCAGTATAGCTTCCTCACAATTTTCATTGGCTAAACAATCGTCAATATTTCAGTCTATAATTTTTCGTTAGACAATAAAATCTTGTGTAGAAGCCATTTTCAGAAATGCATTAATCTCCCAACAATCGCGGTTTGATATCCTCGAGTTTTGTACATCATGGAATAAAAAATTCTGGTGCGCGCAACACACAACTTTCACTTACCGATCTACTTTAAATAGAAATTATTTTCTGGCAATGCTGGGCTATTATAAAATTTTTTGAAGTACATTTTAAACGGAGCTAAAGCTTAAAGCTTGCAGATAACAAGTCATTAAGACCATTATAATTACAAAATGTCTATTTAATATATCGACGGTAGTCAATAAAAATTTAGTCACTCCATCTGCATTTATAAACCACACAACTTTCTTTGCTTTTATAAACCACAGAATGACTAACTCCAATTTCAACATTTTTGAGTTATGTCATTTTAGTGATATTTTTAGTTGAAAAAGTTATCTATGCAGACAATGATTAAGTTGATTCCAGAGGTGGTGATTGCAATGTTGAAATATAGAACTGAGAATAAAAGTATAAATTTAGGTACTAATTTCTTATGAAAGATGTTCTTAGGAAAGACACTTTATTAAATATCTGTAGAAAAAAGGTTTTTTTAGTATCAACAATTAAAAAAAATATATTTTAAATTTATCCAAATTTTCACCTGTTCAGGGAAAAAAAACTAGAGTCCATATCTTTCCTCCTAATTGTCCGATTTTAACGATTTTTTTGTTGTTTTTTTTAGAAAATTCCATAACTTTTAAAAAACCATATACAATATCCACAAAACAGCGTATACTTTTTGAGTTATTCGGAATTTAATTTTAACATCCCTCGTAACTTTTTTTCCAGCTTCTTTTCATTGAAGTATGTTATATAGATACATTTAAAGGGTATCGAGAAAATGACTTTAGCAAAGTTTCATTAAAAACGGTACATTCGTTTAGGCGCTACAGTCTGTAGGAACGCAGGTTTTTCTGCATTTTTTTTTTTCTCCTTTATTAACTTATCAAATCAAAAGTTATATGTAGCATTTTTTTCGTAACTCTGAATAATGCGAAATGGTTAACTTTTTAAAATAAACCATATTAAAGGTACTTTAAGGGAAGACATATATGAACATTGGGCATTTAAGCCATGTAAAGTGACATCAAGGGGGATAAGACCTAATTGATATTAAAGACCACTTAATTATACAATGATACACCGAGTTTAATCAAAATCGTTAGAGCTGTTTTTGAGAAAATTGTGAAAATGTGTTTCAGCGTTGATATAAAGTGGCACTTCCGGTTAGCGGATTTTAAGGAAAAAGTTGGAGTCACATCCGGCCCATATATAAACCTTAAATACGTAATATCAGTTTCGTACTACTTTTCGTTTATGAGCTAGACTGTTAACACACAAACACAGACACACACACACACACACACACACACAGACCATTTTACGACACTTGGTTATTTTAACTCAGGAGACCTCAAAACATGTATTTCCGTTGAAAACTGAGATTCGAAAATTCACAATCGCAATACTTACCCTTACTATATATTACATATATACGTAAGTGAAAGTAAGAATGCAGAAGAGTTCTAAATTTGCAAATTCCATATTTGACTACTCGTGATTAAATAAAAAAAATCACAGTACATATTGATAAAGTTTTCATTAGTAAAATGGATGGTATAATGGAATCTGAACAAAAATATTTTTTTAACCTTCGGTCGGGACGAATAAAAAAATGTGATTTTTATATTAATTATTCTTTAGTATTTATTTTAAAATAATCATTTCAGATGGAAAGGAGAAAATGTATCTACTTCAGAAGTGGAAGCTATAATCAGCTCTTTACTTGAATTAAAAGACTGTATTGTGTACGGTGTTGAGGTAAATTTATTATTATAATAGTTCATTGCATTTATGAATGGATAATATATACTATGTAGAATGTAAAAACTAACGGTTGTGAAGGATTAATAAAGCAAAGACGACAACATTAACTATTAATTTATCAATGAAGATTGACTTACTAGCGGAGAGGTGCAAGAAGCGCTCTTATCATAAAAGAAAACAATAAAAGGATTATGGAAGATCCAATTGGGTCGACTTATTAATTTATTCTTCGCATGAAATAAGATTATAAATCTGTGTCTTGATATTTCACAAACTATGGAAAACACAATTATCTAACTTAAATAATAGGGGCATTAGGTCTAAGCCTAACTTTTATTTCTCTTGTTACCGGCAACCGATTGAAAGCATTAAAAACAAGAAACAAAAACATCAAGGATTTTGAGTTTTCTTTAAAATACCTCTATATAACAAACTATTTACGTTTACTGGATTATTCATTCGTATGAATATCAACAATTATTAATCCCCTCCCTAGTTTGTTTATCTCTGTAGAATTTTGCTGCTTAAAACTAATTCAGTCTTTACTAAGATATCAACGCGTGGATTTCGTATAATTTTGTTTTGCGAGTTTAAACTCGACCGGAATGGGGCCCAAACGGCCAGAAACATCAATCAAGTCTGGGACAAGAGTAGCAATGATGAGTGTATTATTCAATGGTGGTTTGAAAAACATCAAGAGGGAGACTTCAGCCTTGTAGAAAAAGATCGTGGAAGGACTTCCTCTCTTGATGACGATGTTCTGCGGGCTGTGGTGGAAGAAACCCCAAGAAAAACTGTTCAAGAACGTTCAGAGAAACCTTGGCAAATCGACCATCAATGACCAAACGACAGCCAATGTGTTATGAAGTGTTTACTACACTTCTTTGCCGAAACAAAAACGACCCTTTTCTCTACAGAATTGTTACTTGTGATGAAAAGTGGATTCTTTACGATAACAGTAGACGTTCTGGAGTTCTAGTGGCTTGACAAAGGAGAAGCAGCAGAACATTTTCCTTAACCCCCATCTTATAAAAAAAAAAAGGCGATGGCGACTGTTCGGTGTGCTTCATTTGGTTTGATACACTACAACTTCTTAAATCCTGGAGAAACCACCAATGCCGAAACGTATTGTAACCAAATTGTAAACAGAAATTGGCTATAATGAAGCCATCTTTGGTCAATCGAAAGAAGTCCATTTTGTAGAATTGCAACGCTCGGCCACATGTCTCACGTGTGACGTCACAAAAACTGTTTGAGCTTGGAAATGAACTCTGCCACATCCGCCCTACTCTCCGGACCTCTTGCCTATGGAATATCATCTTTTCAGACACCTGAACCGCTATTTATGTGACAAAAAAATTAATGGACAAAGGAAATTAGAAAATGCGTTTTTGGAGTTTATCAATTCTAAAGATGGGAAATTCTATTCCAGGAGAATGAAAAAGATGCCAACAAGTTGGCAAAAATGTTTTGATTGTAGTGGAGACTACTTTGATTAAATAAAAGAGTTGTAAATCTTTCTTTTTTTCTTTTTAAACCAAAATTCCCCATTATTTTCCGGACAATCCAATATTTGTACTTCCCATAGTTTGTGAAATGTCTAAACGCACCTTTAGTTAATAAACTTTTTAATTAAGGAAGATTACACATAATTAAAATATTAACATTTATATCTGTTCATAGAATTTTAATCGACGAAAAAGGTTCCGGATATATTATTTGTTGTCGATATATCAAATGCAATTGATTACTTCATAATTTAAATTGTCTCAATTGTTTTATAAAGCTAAACTATCATTGAATGTTTCAAGTTTGTTCATTTTAAAGTTAGCAAATATACTACTACTGAAAATTTAAAAGGATTTTTTGCTAATTTTTTTTTTAATTAAAGAAACAATGGTTGGCTCTATATTAATTATATTTTTATGTTAATTTTATTTATATAGGTTGGTGAACTTGAGGGGCGAGCTGGTATGGCTGCTATAGTGGAACCTTCAGGAACATTGGATTTTGATGGCCTTGCTAATTCTCTAAAAACTTCTCTTCCTTCATATGCTATTCCTTTGTTTATTCGACTGATTCCCGAAGTTGCTATAACAGGGACTTTCAAATTGAAGAAGACTGATTTGGTTAAAGATGGTTTTAATCCTTCTACTATTAAAGATCCTCTTTTTTTCCGTAATGGGTCAACTTATGTACCTCTAACTAAAGAGTTATATGAACAAATAATCTCTGGAAAAATAAGAGTTTAAGTTGCTTCTGAGAATTAAAGATCTCTGACATCAAATTTCTGTCCAAGTTATGAAAGCCAAAATTTCATTTGGATTCATAGTAGTTCTGAAGCTAGGGCCCAAAAGGTGAAATCGCAGGCGAATGTTTGAATGTAAATTACGAAAGTGTATGTTATTCTAAGAAAATGAATCTTGTCTGTCATTCTGGAGCCGCTGCTTTAAAAAATGGCGACTGATTTAAAGGATAGAAATGGGCAATACATTATTAAAAAAATGTTTTATTTTTTTAACTTTTATATATGGAATCAAGTATGTAATAATCAAAATTGCAAACGCGAGTAACCAAGGAAAAACTTTTTGCAATCAAAAAAGCCATTTTTTCGGGGGGTTTTTCCACCTGTAACTCTTAAACGGTGCATCGAAAGGGAAAACATTCTCTAGAAATTAAAGAACGTTTAATTGTGCTTCAAACGACTACCTACACCTGAAAATATGATTAAGTGGTATGTTAGAAAACCAAGGTCAGCGAACGCTATTTTTTAACAAAACTGAGAAAAATTACTATAAATGTCTCTGCAGTTTGGAAATGAATTCTATAAGAGAAAAACTCATAGAAATAAAGTTGTGGAGCATCAAATTCCACATCCACTGAGCACCAACAGTTTTAATATAGGTCACTTACTTCGCCCGAAATCGGTATTCTCCCGATGACTGGAAATTGGTAATGAAGGTATCTACGATTTTGAATATTTTAATAAAATAATTAATAGAATATATGTCACAAGCGGATCCAGAATTTAATTTTGAGGGGTTTAGCTCAAAAGCTACCTATATGAAATGATGTTTAAGTGATTCTTGAAGTCCAATTAAATAAAATTATATTAACAATAACATTTTTAGAGATAAATTTTTAACATTTATTTCATATGACATGGTTATATTTTACAATTTCGGGAGGAGTAGAGATAGAAGGAAGCTTCAGCCCAAAAGACCTCTCTATGGTAGATCCGCCTATGGTACATATTCTACATAATTTATTGTTTTATTATGAGTCTAATATATGCAATATAGTCTGTTTTTCCTCCTATCAGAAGCGAAGGATTTTGAGAAACGAGGTGTCAAACGGAACCGAATTTAATGAAGAAATAACAAATCGCGATTCGAGAGATATAATTGAAAATTCTAGTACTCATTGGAGGCAGAATTTGACACTCTACAACTTTGATTCTGTGAGTTTTTTCTCTAAGAGAACTCATTTCCCAAGATGTGGGCTATTTATGATAATGTTTCTCAGTTTTTGACAAATTTGGTAAAAATTAGCATGTGTTTACTATGGTTTTCTACCATACCACTGAACTAAATTATTAAGTTTAATTACTCGTGCTATGCAAAAGTTAACGTTCTTTAATTTCTTAAAGAATGCGTTTTTCGCTTTGATGCACCATTTAGGAGTTAAAGGTGAAAAACAAAAAAAAAGGTTAAAATAATCTGGCTTTTTGGCTGAAAAAAGTTTTCCCTAAGTTAAGTTACAAAAATAAAAATTGTTTCCAAACTAAATGATCTGACCCATGACCCTGACCCGTGCAAATACTCCGCACAAACCTATTATTTGTATTTGATTTATAAATATTACATTAAGAGCCCAGCACAACTTCCGTTCAATAATGTTTGATACAAAAAGGTATCATACATCTATTTAGTATGACTCAGTTTAAAAATGTGATTTACAATCTGCTATGATTTAACCATTTCGTTTCCTTATACTTATAATTTAAATATTAGTTTTTTCCTTCATTATATTATCATAAATTAACAAAAACTTCTAAACAATGCATTAAACATCTGATGACAGCAAAAGACAAAAGCCTTAAATTCTCAGGAAGGAATAGTTAGTTCAATCAGGATGTATATTATTTTATCATTAAAAGAAAAATCGAAAGTGTATTTTTAAAATGAAAAACTTCAAATATAAAGATCTAAAGTAAATGAAGCCCATTGACAAACATTCAAAAGAATGTTTAAAGGAAGACACATTTATATAAATAAAAACAGTATTAATAATTAATTAAATTAATTAAGAAGAATAAAATATTTTTAAATTTAAACATAATTACTAATTGATACATTATATACTGTACCCCCGAGAAAAAGGGCCAATTCCCATATGCAACAGAATCTTTGCAGTACAACAAATAAATGTTCAGAACGCTATAACTCTCCACCAAATAGTCTGGTTTCGATGATTTATTTATCGTTTTGTTGAGAATTTAGTAAGCTTTCCAATACTTTAAGGAATTAAAATTATGATTTGCTCATTCTACATGATATTTCCTTTCTATTGGTACCTCATTCATCAAAATCCATCACTCCTGAGAGCTATAAAAGGGATATATGTTTCAGAAATAATATATAAGATTTTTTGCAATATAGTTCCCTTTTCAATCTTCAATTTACTGGCATAAATTGTTTTAATTAGACGCTATTCTTGAAAGCAGCAGCTCGGGAACGGCAGAAAACTTTAATTTTACTTTGAATATCATAGTTTCATAATTTACATTTAAATCTTTTCCTAGGATATTACTTTTTGGGTTCTGGCCATAGAGCTATAAGGAGAAGTATGGATTTTTAATTATCATATTTGATATTGTGGGTTTATCAACAAATTATATTTCAAAAGGGAAGTGTGGAGGTGTATATGGTGGTTATTTATGCACTTTATCACTTGATACTTTTAAGCAGTATTTAAACATTCCCAAAACATCAGAAACATAGACATTTTCTCTTCAAAATGATTGTATGAAATGATTTACTTCTAATGCAGTCTTATTCAGTTTTTTCTTATATTTACCTGTGTATTCAGTCCCCATTGAGGTCATTAATAGAGCACATTGTTGGTTTATTGCGAAAACTCGTAAAGTAACATTTTATAAAACTAAATCATTAAGTACTTTGATTAATTTCTTTTAGTAAAACTAAAATGTTGTACACTTAATGTAACTATACTTCATACATAAAATGGTTTATGTCTTTGTTTTGTATTTTTGCACCAATAAAAGTTTAAATTCACAAATATTTACATAAAAGTTTAATTCCATCAAAAATGTACCTAATGACTTTTTAGTATAAACCGACAATATTTATGATTTCTTTTTAAGTAAAATTTTAAAGAAGTGTTATAAAACAATTTTTTTTTTTTAACATTCTGATGCTATATCTTTATTCACTCTCCATTCAATAGACCAATTTTATGCCTCATTTGTATATACCTGTATTATTTATTGTTGCACAGTTTGTTAATTATGTTCATTTTATTTTATTTATAAAAGTTAATTAAAAATATTATGTAAATAAGTTTATAATTATTATTATTATCCAATTCCCACTCTTATAAAAATTGTTGTTTGGCCATAGAAAAATGGTTTACTTTACTGTAGAGTGTTTTATTATTGAAAGATTAACAGTTAAAATTTAAACAAAGTGTATAAGCAAAAAAAAAAAAAAAATTAATTTGCAGTTTTCTCCTAAAAATTAAATGGATTTGAATCCATTTTTGGAAATAAATACTCAAGAAAAGTTTCTATTCAATTTTCTATTTTATTGTTATTTATTTGCTGTTATAAAATTTAAAAAATGAGTTTTATGGTAGAACTTTAATTTCACCAAAATAAAATTGATCAAATTTTTGTTGGCACTTGGTCTCTTCTAATGCTGAATGAACGTAAAATTACGGGAAGGAAAGAAAAAAAATCAAAACTCATTGTGAGATATAGTATCTTGTTTTTATCAATTATCAGTTTTAGTCTTTAAATAAAAGAGGAGAGAGCAGTTAAGAGCTTTACTTGATAGTTTTACCTTTGAGTTGATAACTTCAGGAGTGGACAGAGAAGCAATAAATTGGAACATAACGCAGCCTTGAGTGAGTTAGATACAGCTAAAGGAACACATTCTTGTTGATCGGATATTACAGAACCTTTGAAGTTACACTCAATCAATCCTATCTATGGATATATTGGGCAATTTATCGAAATGGAGTCTGGCATTTATTTCCTTTTTGATACCACAATATTGTTTACACAATTTGATAATTTTTTTTAAAACTCTTCCAAGAGATTTGAAGTAATTATTTTTTTTATTTTTACTTTTGTTAATTTATCTTTATGATTTTAATTAATAAGGATATTTTTTTTTGCCAGAACAATTTACGTATCATTAAAGGTTCTTTTGGGAAACTACATCTACCAAAAGACAAATGCTAGTAGCATCACAAGATTCCAAAAGATCCTCAGAAAACATCCTAATAAACCTTGCTTTTTATTTGAAGACCAAGTTTGGACATTTAAAGAGGTATTGTAAAATTATATGTTTTTATATATATATATATATATATATATATATATATATATATATATATTATATATATATATATATATATATATATATATATATATATATATAATAATTAATTTAAATATGTTAAAAATATCTAAGTTTATGACACCAATATGAATTAATCTTTTGTATATGTATATATTTTTAAAATTTACTAAATCTTAGAAATGTATATTATGCGCAATACCAAGACTCCAATATTTAAGTTCAACCTCAGTGATCATGTGTACTTTTAACTGATAAAGTCTCATTTCTTAGCCTCCATAGTGTATCATGGAATACTTTTATTTTGTATTATAATTGGACTATAATTTTATTGTTATTTATTTATTGAGTTTAACAACTGTATTCAGCACAGCAAGTATCACTTCATATGACTACAGTCAATAAAGAATTTAAACTTTAAATGCATCTCCTGAAAAATTCTGAATTTGTAGTTATGACATATTAATTTCTATTTTCTTTACTACTAATAATATGTTTTCTGAGGAACTTGATGTTATAAAATTGATTGACTAAACCTCAATATCCTCAAAAGACGTATATATTATATATTCACACAGTATGCATTTCTAATATTTTATAAATTCATAATATATTTCTGAAGTTCTATAATATAGATTTTAAATTACCTCATACCATTACTCTAAAACATTCTAGGCATTGTTGGCTAAACTTTAACTAGCTGATTATTACAAAAAAAATTTTATAAAACTATAATACATTACTAAATATTCTTTTAATGTAAATTTAAAATCGGCTTATCTGATATAAGTACTTAAAATGTATAAAATTACAATATTATTAATTCATAGAATCAATCGATAAAATTTGATTAACGTTTATCAAACTGTAGTTGAGATTATGTTTATTTATTTAAGATAAGCTGATGAAACTTACATAGTATTATATAAAAAAGTTTTGTCTTGTCTTACTTCAATTACTTGTCAAAGATTTATTTCCCAAATTTTAGTATACAAAAGCTTCATTGTAGAAAAACTTTGTCTTAAAAATGGAATTGCAATTTTTTTTTAAAATGTGTACTGAAAATTAAACTTAACTATTTTTAATGTTATTCAATTTTAAGAAATAGAACTAACATTAATAAAAATATTTTAAACAAACAAAAGAAATAAGTTACTTTCATTTGACTAAAATATTTTTTTATAAAAGTAGACCTAATAACGTAATTAATTTATTGATGTATGTTTCATATTAAGGTATTTTATCATAAAAGATAATTTATTTTAATATTTAAGTTGGTAAAAAAATTAAGTTAATTGTTTTACAGAAAATCTCTTGTATTTCCAATGATCAAGAATTATATTTTGGTCTGAACTAATGTAGAAAAATAATAAAAATTATATTTTATAATATTGCCAGAGCTGTCTTTTCCACAGTAAATTACAGTTTATTGGGTTATATAATGTAGTCTTCTTTATCTAATCCAATATTTTATCTTCACTAAGTTTTCCTAAATTTTCATTGGATAATTGACAAATTGTTTCTTAATATTATGTTCATATAATGGCAGTAGCTGTCACCCAATTCGAGCAGTCATCCATCAAAATACATGCTATGCATATCGTTGCTTTACTTTACCTATTGCATGCGCCTTAGCACACTGGACTATCCTAGCTACCTAGTGAATATTAATATAGTTGAATATTAATTATGAAAATGAATGTTTTTTTTTATTTTTATTTTCTTTTAATCTTTCTTTTATTTTATTATTTATATCACCTAAGTGATTAATTTTGTAACTCTTAAAGTATAATTCCCCTCACTTACTACTTACTCAGTGGTTCTACAGGGCTTTATGACCCTTGGCCTTCTGGACTATATCCCTCCATCCGTCATGGTTCATGGCAGTGCGCCTCCAATTCACGACACCTAACTTTCCAGCATCTCTCGCCACCTCATACTTCCAGCGGCTCCTCGGTCTGCTTCTTTTTCTCTTGTTTTCAATGATTGCCATGTCTAGCATCTTCTTCTGAATCCTCTCTTAGTTCATTCTGGCAACATGATCTGCCCATTGCAGCCTAACTGCTTTTACATAATTAACTATATCTTGGTTTTTTCAGAAACCAGGATGGTCAGGACAAGTTGAAATTAATTTAGTGGCGGATCTATGGAATGAATCTTGACCTCCCACTCTGGTTAGAATAAGTTTGATTGTACATCAAGAACAATCTCCTCCCCTCTCCACCATATGCCAGAGAGGAGCAATAAAAACAATTCTCTAACTTTATTCATGCCTATAGAATCTTATTAATTCAGTTGTATGATAAATTTCAGGTGGATGAGTTCAGCAATAAAATAGCTCAAGTTTTTCATCAATCAGGATTTAAGAAAGGAGATGTGGTTGCCCTTGTTATGACAAATCAACCACAATACGTTTGTATTTGGCTTGGTCTTGCTAAAATAGGTGTGGTTACAGCTCTTATCAATTCCAATCTTACCAGCAAACCTCTAAGCCATTGCATCACGACTGCATTATGTAAAGCAGTAATATTCTCAGACGATCTATCTACAGGTAATAAATATACATTAATATTGTTTGGTATTAGCAGATTGACTTTGAGAATTGATTTTGGTCTCTATGGCTCTTTCGATAATAAATTAAATATTATTATACTTTCCATCACTCCTAAACTTGCACTAATTGTAAATTTTTCCAGTCGTTCTTGCTGTAAAACCTGAACTATCAGCTGACATGAAATATTTTCAACTTGGAAAATCAGACACATCAAAAGGGGTCATAAATCTTAACCTGTCTATGCAAAATGTGCCCAAAACTGTCCCATTAGAGACAAAAATTCAGTACAATGATCATTTGGTATATATTTACACATCTGGTACTACTGGTCTACCTAAAGCTGCTATAATTCCTCATTCTAAGTATATTAATATAATAGTGTTTTTACTTAGCAGTAAACCTCCTTATTTTAAGTATCGGTTGGCATTACTAACATTTTCCATCCTTTGTTTATTTTTCAGATTGATTTTAATATCATTTTTTTGCAAATATATTCTTGGTATAACGAGTACTGACATATTATATGATTGTCTTCCCCTTTACCATTCAGCTGGAGGTCTGATAGGTGTTGCTGCAGCTTTTTCAACAGGAGCTACTGTAGTATTGAGGACAAAATTTTCAGCAGCAAATTTTATTTCTGATTGTGCTCATTACAAATGTACAGTAAGTTTCATTCATTTTTATCTAGTAATAAAAATATTTAACAGAAGATTATTTTTCTTTCCTTAACACTTAAAATACAACGAATAAATTAGTTCATCGTGGATCATAGATCAACAGATGGAAAATTATCTAACATATTGTTAGACCATTGATACTTTCAATAGGAATGTTACTTGTTGCTATAGGTTTTATGTTTCAGTGGCATAAAAAAAATAAATAAAAAAAATTCTGAGAATAACGCTGTTTATTCTTTAAAAAGTTTATTTTTTTTTTTTTTTTTTTTGTGTATGGGTTATTTTTTGGGGGGTTCTCAATGAATGACTGAACATGTTAGCTGAACCTTTAAAAGTTGAAATATGAAGCAGATTTTAGATTTTTTTTTTTTTTTGTGAGATCTATTGTTCATAGAACTATTAGTAATAATAATAGGGGTGGACTTGGATTTTGTTTAATAACTTCACCTTCACTGTACCAGAAAAAAAATTTAAGAACCAGTGTTGTAGGAACAGGTTATCGTTAAATGACCAATTATTTTAGTACCAATATTTTATTGAAATTGAACACAAAAAACACAAACGCAATGTGCATATGCATCATCATATTAATATTTAATAAGTCAGTTCATCATTTCCTTTAACGGCTATCTTTCTGCTTCGTCTTACTCAATTGATGATTATTAATGGTTGGCTTAGATTTTTAGTAGCATTTCATTACCATTATGAACTATTAATCTGTTTATATTTTATATCAACTTTTAGACTGCACTGTATATTGGAGAAATGTGCCGTTATATCCTTGCTGTTCCTGAGAAACCTACTGATAAGCAACACAAATTGCGAATGATTACAGGGATCGGTCTTCGGCCTACCATATGGAGTGCATTTGTTAAAAGATTTAACATACCAAAGGTAATGGAGATGTATGCGTCTACGGAAGGAAACTTGCAAATTGGTAAGTATGTAATGCTTTTGGAACCAATAAGTTATAAAATAATATTCTATTTTTATCAGAATATAACCTTATTTTTTATTATATTTCATGTATTTAGCCCTTATTATATAAAAATTCCATCCCAATAACAGGATCTATGTAGAAGGAAAATCATTCCCAAGAGTAGAAAAATTAAAACACCTCGACTCCAAAATAATTTCAATGAATGACTACAAAGAAATATACCAGTGTGTAACTAGCACAAACAGAGCTTTCTTCTCCCTCTCAAAGGTATTGAAATCCAAAAAAATCTCAAATTTAGGGTGTACAATGCCATGATAAAGCCGATTCTAATATATGTGAGACCTGGACACTAACCAGCACCCTAGAAAAAAGTGTTGAAAGATTTTAGAGAAAAATCCTCCGCACAATAACCGGAGCGATCTGGGATCAGAGTACTACAACGGAGAAGAAAGACTAATAAAGAACTGCTTACAGAAACTGGTCAACCAATATCCCATGATATGAAGGCACGGAGGTTAAGAAGGATAGGGCATGTAGCTCATAGCAATCCATTTGGAAGCCTCTACGTAGCAATAAATGCCTCAATAGAAGGCAAAAGACCACATGGAAGGCCAAAAAGCAGATGGATAGATATAATCAACAAAAATGCAATAGAGCTACATGCAAATAAATGGAAAGAAATATCCCAAGACAGGCAGAGATCCAGCAGGCTTGTTTAAAAGGCAAAAGATTTAAATAGTCTGTAATGCCAACAGAAAAAAAAAATTATTTTAATAATTTTCAATTTGATCCACCTTTCATACCTTACCATCTTCATTAGATTTTTTTTAAATAAAACAGCTGCAAATAAAAAACAAACCGTTGATCTTTTAGATCTTGAAGGCAACCTGATTGATTTGTCAATCTCATCTTAAAACAAAAAAATTAAATAAAAATATACAGTGAAGATAAATTGTTTAATGTATAATGACATTTTACCCAAAATGAGTAAGAATTCATTGGAAGTAACAAGAGCTAGATGGAGGGGTAACGTTTTCAAGGATATAAGTATTATGTTGTATTTTCGTTGCTCAAGGAAAATGGAAAATGGAAAAGAAAAGGCTATTGGGAGGATTGGGTTAGAATAGCTTTACAGAACAAAGACTCCTTTCTATGTTAGTTAAGCCATCAACGTAATTACCATAATATATAAAACAAGTAAAAGGATTTGTGCAGTGTTCAATGACTTCCCGGACTGGAAATACTTTCCTAGAAGCGAGTATATCACTGATGTTCGGCTCCTTTATAAAGGAGGAGACAAGGAGAAGCAATTAGTCATTAATATAATCTTGTTAGGGAATCATGGGGTACTAAAACAAAAACATTCGAGATTCAATGTTACTCTAATCAACACCAATAGAGAACAGACCCAAGCAAAGCAAGCCCATATTGCCCATACTGATTTGAACCAGTGCTGTTGCCACCTTTATTGTTATATTTATATATACTTAACAAATTATTTACATAAATCAAATACTTAAGCATTTATGCAATTAGTAAATAATAAATAATAAAATAATTTTCCTCAGCACTTCTTGGACTGATAAAAAAAATAATAACTATTTATACTCTTTGTTTACTTATCTTATCGAGTTACTTATCTTGACCAATCTTACACTTGACTGTCCTTTTAAAAATTAATCTATTGTATTTTTATTATGCTGGAATCTTGAAAAATTCTGTTATCTTATTAAATTCTCTTAAGTGACATGTTATACAAATTTTAACTGTTCTACATTTATATTTGAGGCTTTTTTTTTTTTTTTTTTTTTTTTTTAGTTTTGTGAAATTTCATTCATTTAAAGCATGCTATTTTATGCTAATTACAATCTAAATATTACAGCATTCTCAACTTCTAGAGTTTCTGAATGAAATTTGTGAAAAATAACTTTTCTTAGTATTTTAAGATATTGAAAATTTTTGAGAGATATTTATTAAACCTGTACATAATTTGTTAATCTTATATGTAATTGAATAATTGGTACTTTTTTTTGCAGTTAACAATGATAATAGAATTGGTGCTGTTGGTTTTATTCCCCGATTCCTCCCTTTCTCAAGATTTATTGGTGCTCTAATACGTGTCAATTCTGAAACTATGGAACCGATTAGAGGCAAAGATGGATTATGTATTGAATGTGACATAGGTAATCATATTAAATTTATCTTAAATAATACTCCGATCTATTTTTTTTCTTATGATGTGTACAATTGAATGTGGTATATATAAAATATACAGCATACTATGGATTTTTTTTTATGAACATAAAAATATTAATTAATTATTTTTTTCATATGATAATTCTAGATGAACCAGGAATGTTTGTTGGGATTATTCCTAATAAAGACTCTGTTAAAGGATTTCATGGTTATTTAGATAAAGCAGAGTCAAAAAAAAAGTATGTATATGATGTTTTCAAAAAAGGAGACAAAGCTTTTGTTTCAGGTAATTTCAATTACACATTCATTTTTATATATCTAATAAAAAAATTATTACTCAATATTGACAACAATAATACAATAGACGAATGAGATTGAACATGGAAAAGGCTCCAGAATGTAACAACATTCCTACAAAAGCTCCAATTATTGCCCAAATTTAATTTCAAATATCTATCAATTGATTTGGCATAGAAAAAGAATTTTAAGAATCTTTGAGAATTTATTACTTATTTATAGTTTTATTACTAATTCCTTGTACATTAAATTTTCAACAATTCAGATTCATGAAAAGGTAGATCAGTTTAACTTCTTTTCCATTTCTAAAGGGTTCTTACAAAAAACAAAACAAATTTAACATTTTAATTGTTCATTTTCCTATATTTTGGAAAATTACCCCAGCTGAAAAATAATTATAAAAATTTGATAAAATTGATACTTGACCATATTATACCAAACCCAAACTTTTATATGTTTTTGGGTCAAATTGGACAAGCCATTTATGAAATATAGATGTCAAAAAAAAAAGTTTGTGAAAGCATAAGCGACAATAGGAAATGGAATTTGATAAAATTAATGTGGGATCATCAAGGTATAACCCAAACAACCTCTGAAAATTCAATCAAGAATTAATGGCAGTAGATGATAAGCCCATTGCATGTATTTGATTATAGACAGATGGAAACAAACTTCAGTTTGTTCTATGATGTCTACGATGTTTTGAAAATATCTTCCTTAAAAAGAAAAAAATGTTAGTGTGTTTGAATTCAAATACTTAATTTGTTAAAATCCATTTTTATCTGTATCATTGTTTATTAATCCTGATAACAACAAATATCCAGGATTAAAATTTAGGACTTTATAATTGATTATTTGTGTTACCTTTTAAGTTTGTTCAGAAAGTGTATACATGATAAAGTCTAATGAATTTTATTTTAAATTTTATATATATTACCAAGTCAAGTTATTAAATTACTAGATATTTAAATTGATAAAAATTAATTATTTGTAATAGGAGATATTTTAGTAAAGGATGAGCTTGGATATCTTTATTTCAAGGATAGAACAGGAGACACATTCAGGTAAATAGGAGTTTTGATATTTTAATAAATAAGATCTTTATTTTTATATTAATTGTTCTTAATTTAAGATTGATTTATAAATAATTATTTCAGGTGGAAAGGAGAAAATGTGTCTACTTCTGAAGTGGAAGCTATAATTAGTTCAATAATTGGATTAAAAGACTGTACTGTGTATGGTGTTGAGGTAAAGTTTTTTTTTCAGGCTGAATCCGCCCAAAATAGAAAAATAATTTTGTTTTTTCATTGTTCCATATTTGATTCCAAGAGTGATTTTAGATAAATACTTATAAAATCACAGTATATATTGGTGTTTTTAGGCTTAAACAAAAAATATGCTACTAAATGTTAAAAACATAATTATATCTAAGAGCATTATTATTATTATTAACTGGCCTATAAGGATCAAAATAACAATAACCTAAAACATAATTTTATTAAGATTCTTTCAGAATAATAACCATAAAAAAAAATCCTTATGTTTATTCAGAGCTTTGATATCAAAGAACAATTTATGTATTAACAAAACGCCGATTTTATTACTGTCACAGTTTAAAAACTTATAACATTTACAATTATCCAATGAAATTTTAAATGGATTTTTTAAAAATTAAATAAACTAAATTTTTTAATGAAGATAAACTGTTATTCATTTTTTCTTTATGTTTATTCATTTAAAAGTATGAATAAAATACTTTGAATAAAAACATTCAGGATTCTGTTTACATTTGTTTATTTAATTTTTAAAAAAATGGTTCTTTGTGTATTATATCTCTCATTTTATTTTGTTATACAGGTTGGTGATCTTGAAGGGCGAGCTGGTATGGCTGCTATAGTGGAACCTTCTGGAACATTAGATTTTGATGGCCTTGCTAATTCTCTAAAAACTTCTCTTCCTTCATATGCAATTCCTCTGTTTATTAGACTGATTGCTGAAGTGGAAATGACAGGGACTTTCAAATTAAAGAAAACAACTTTGGTTAAAGATGGTTTCAATCCTTCTATTATCAAAGATCCTCTTTTCTACCGTAAAGGGTCAACTTATGCACCTCTTACTAAAGAAATATATGAACAAATTATCTCTGGAAAAATAAGGGTTTAAGATGTATAGTTTCTTGAGGTTTGGAGTATTGGAGATTTCTGACATCATGTTCCGACCGCCGAAGTTGCGGAAGCTGAAATTTTATTTGTAACTTTTATATTTTCAATGTTAAAATAAGGATTGATTTTTAATAATATATCAACAAATAATATTTGAAAATGCTGCATAGTGGTAAAGGATATTGGTGAGAGTTAACAGAAGGCAACTCAACTAGCCCAATTTGTTAATTTTGGTACTTATACCTCTCTCACACTTTTCCGAAACTACTGACATTTAAAACAGAAATTGAGAAATGAATCATACAAAAAATTTAACGGTAAATTTTTAATCTTTTTACAAAAGAATTATACACATTTTCATAACTAAAAATACGGTCGAATTAAAAAAAATGTACATAAAAATTATCGCCATCAAAAATATACTCACTGACTTTTTGTAATAAACCAACAATATTTATGATTTCCTTTAAGTTAATTTTTAAAGGAAAAGTGTTGTAAAAACAAAAGGTTATTAAGTTGTTTTTAGTATTGTGATGCTAGTCTTGGTTCACTTTTCATTTAATAAACCTGTATTTGATTACAATGCTTCATTTGTATATACATGCTTTATTTATTGTTGTACAGTTTGTTAATTGTGTTCATTTTGTTTTATTTATAAATAAAATTAATCGAAAATATTATGTGAATTAGTTTATAATTATTATTATCCGATTCCCACTCTTGGCTGTTAAGCCATTTTGTCTTGCTGACCAGTATGAAACTCTTCTGTGGTGGATTTGGGAGTTCAGACAGTCATATCCACTTTTTAATTTAAATTCATCAATGCTGATCGCTAATGGGAGACATTTATTATTATAACATATGTGAAAAGTCTCTCTCACTATTTGATAGTTGCTTTTTATTGTAATTTTCACAAATTCCTTTGACCATAGAGATTATTTAAATTTTGGCCTCACTCAGCTTGATCAAAAGTCAACAAGTTTGTCTATGGCTAAGGCAGGAAGGTTCCCAGCTTTGCTATTGACTAGGTTGGAGCCAATCTAGGGTCTATGGATATAAAAATATCTTGCAAGGAAAAGGGTGTCAGAAAATTTTAAAAAATTAAGATGCTTAAAATTTCATTTTGAGAGGGAAAGGGGTGGCTGTCCAGCCTGATAAACCGACGTATACTACATGATAAAGTAATTACAAGTTTTCGTCCCGGTGCTGAGAAGGCTTTTAACTCTGAGATCAATCCACCACCCTCTTCTCTGGCCCAGGAAAAAACCCATATGTCTTAAAAAGGCGAGAAAGAAGTGGGAAAAAAAGTACATTTTGAGGAAAATTTTTAATGCACTCTTCTGTAATAATCTTTCAATTTACATTCAAACCTTAGGGAGAGAAAAAAAGTAATAACGAAAATTGGCCCTTATCCTATAGGTGCTTCCTGTTCTATCTGTCAACTCTAATTATTATTTATTTTAAAACCAATTTATTTAAATTTTTAAAAGCATTAATTCTTATCTGCATGGACCAAGACTTGAAATGAAATTTTAACTTTCATTTTTAATCAGTTTCGTTATAACTGGAGTCATTATATTTACTTTATTTTCAATTATTTCATAACCAGAAGTTTTCCCTTGCAACTGTTCAAAAAAATCTTTACAGAACATTTATTTTTAAAAAACTTTTATAAAAAGATTCTGTCCATTTTGCCAAAAATTTAATATAAAAAATTACTTTTGCTCTTAGAAACCCAAACAAATGACACTTCAGATTCGAGTAATTCATTTATGATCAATTTTAACACTAATCTAAGCCCATTCACTATTTATTTCTCATCTAACTATGTTGTGTACAACATAGTAAGAACTATGTTGTATACAACATAGTAAGAACTCAAATAAACAATAATTAAATTTTTACCATGAATCTTTATTACTAAATATTATCTTAAAACATTAATTTAAAGCTTTTTTTCCTAAAAGGTTTCATAGAAACTTTTAAAATGAAGCTTTTTGAAAAATTGCATAAAAGTTTCAATCTCTGGTATGAAACTTATATTACTAAATTTATCGTACTTATTGTATTAAAAATTAAATATTATTTTTACTTGTCTTCAATTTTTTTCAAATAGACTTTATATTATCATCTTATCATTATATTTTAAATTATTATCATCTAATCAAGTTTTCTGATTCAAGAGAAAAATAAATTATGTTTTGAGAAGATTCACATGATAAAAATATATTTTCAATTAATTTTTAAACAATTGTATCAAGCATACCGTATAATGGTTAAAAATCAAACAGAAACCATTAAAAATGTGGTGTGCGCATCACATGACTTTCACTTAACACCCTCTTTTTAGCAGAAATAATTATTTTCAGATAAAGGGGAAGTGAAAGTAAAAATAATTGATGCTATATTTATTGACGATTCATTGTAGGTATTTTTATTTGTTTAAATAAATACAAATTTTTAATTTTTTATATAGCTGTATTCTATTCAATTAAATATTAAATAATACCAATCATAGCATTTATGAAAACCACATATGTATATGAAAATAATATTGTCGGACTCCGTATTATATGAAGCTCATGTTATGTACGGAAGCCTGTTATAATCTTTCGGGCGAGCTCAGGCAAGCTCGTATTCCTATGATTCCTTTATTACAACTATTATCTGTTACGATCTCTTATTTCTCCTCTAGTTAATTATCAAATTCTTTCATTATTTTTAGTTTTTAACTATTTTTTTATCAAATATTAATGTGAAATGGTTAATTATTTCAAATAAAAATAAATAAAAGTACTTTATAGGAAGCCAATATTGAAAACTAGCCATTTAAGCCCCTGATAGAGAATATCAATGAGAATAAAACCTAATATTATTTAAAACTGCTTAATAATACACTGATATACTGAGTTTAATCAAAATCTTTGGAGCCTTTTTTGAGAAAATCGTAAAAATGTGTTAAATCGATTATATAAAGTACTACTTCCGATTTGCTGATTTTGACGAAAATGTTGCTGTGACATCAAAATCATAAATATGCAGTTTTACTTTCATATGACTTTTGTTTTTGAGCAAGAGTCATATGAAAATAAAACTGCATATTTAAGATTTCGATGCTACAGCAACATTTTCGTCAAAATCAGCAAACCGGAAGTAGTACTTTATATAATCGATTTAACACATTTTTACGATTTTCTCAAAAAAGGCTCCAAAGATTTTGATCTTGCTCAATTTTGTTTTTGAGCAAGACTGATAACACACACACACACACAGACCATTTTGTGGGACTTGGTTATTTGGACTCAGGAGACCTCAAAACATGTATTTCGACTCGAAAATTTTCGCGATTGGAATATTTACTCTTTCTATATATTACATATATAGGTAAGTGAAAGTAAAAATTATACTACTTATTTGAATCAAAACAAACTATAGTCGCTTAGATTTGATTTAATTTACCCAAATTATTGTTATGTAACAGATGACATAGATTGTCTATAATGACTACAATGAAAGTTTTCATCTCTGGAAATGTTTTGTTCTTTGCAACACTGGGTCTAACTGCTATATACATAAAGTTTTATTTAAAACATTAAATTCATTTAGAACATGAAATATTCAGGCATAAGGAACAACAGAACAGCACTCTTTTTTTTTAACAACTCTTTAGACTTAATTTACCTTTGAACATGCCATATTTAAAATATATGCATATATTATAATACCTGCTAATTAACTTTTTTCTAATACATATCATAGTTGAAAATTTGTTAAATGAACAAGAAATTATAGCATGTTTTAATGTTAATCATAAATATTGCACAGTAAAGTGAGAGATACTTGTAAATTTTTTATCTTTTAATAAAAGTAATTTAGAGAAATAGTCAAAGAAAGGTAAAAGGTAAATAAATAAGAAAAATGAAGGAAGAGAATTATTAAAAACAATCCTTTTATAGGACAAGCTGTTTCAAAACTTTCAAGGTTCAAACTTTTTGATAGATCATATTTAACTATTGGTTAAGTTTTTGATAATCCAATAACAAACATTGAAAAAGACACTTGTAAGAGCAAAAACTTATAAATCTTAAGAATTTTCATGAAAAATACTAGTTGGCCCATGCGAATAATTCAAAAATAATATTGGTCAATGAACAAATGAAATGAAAATATTTTTATTATTATTCTGGGACTGTTTTCCCTTTAGAATAAATTATAAGTACACAGTAAATGCCAGTGTGCCAGTACATAAATTAAGTATTTACAAAATAATAGTTAATTAAAAATAAAAATACAGATAGAAAGAAAAAGGGAGAGTAAAAAAGCATACTGTAGCAGATGGCCTCTAGTATTTACTCCTTTATGTGACATTGAGAGAGGGAATGTAGGATTGCACTATGAATTGTACTCAATTATGCAGTAGACAAGTTGTTTATTGAAAAGTATCAAATCGATAAAAAATTGACAAAGAAAGGAAGAAGTCTGGAAAAGTGCCGGTAGGTGGCAGCAGATGGAGGAGGACGCGGGAGAAGAAAGAAGAACTCACTTGAGGCTAGGAGAGGAAGAAGGAAGGAGGTTAACAGAAGGAAGAAACCCACTACACTGAAGATTAAGAAGATCAATTCATTTATTCAACTTATTACAGTTTCGGAAATAAATTATTTTGTTATACAGGAGTGAATAGTCCTTTTATTTAGTTTTTCCTATATGCCTCACAATTGAAGAATAACAAACAAGGTAAGTCAATTCATTCAAAGTGTATTTATTCAGTCCCGCATTTCATATATGTCCTTGTGGCGGTACTGTTGGGTCTGTCCTGCCCGGCTTGGAGTATCAATGCTCAATTAAAAGTAAGAAAAACATTTGGTTTAATTGCTCAAATGTATAAAAAATGTTGATTGTTATACCAATGACAGATGTTGTTTTTCCAGAACTGAAGAGGATCCCATTACTTATGTTAAAAAACAGGGATCGAAACGTATTTGAAAAAATGGAATAAACAGAAGTTGTTTTAAGTCATCTAAGTGTATTTCATGACCTATTATCCGACTATAATTCATATCTTAAGTTTATGTATATATTTTTATATATATATACTCTTATTATTTCTTGTCACTCAGTGTCACAAAAGCATTATGTTCCTGAATTTCCAATAACAGCTAAACACCCTCAAAAAGTCTATATCCAGTGTCTTTAGACTTAAGTGTATTTAGTTTTAAGAAAATTAAATTTACAAGTGTAAATAACCAAGATCTCTGACAAAACGGAGGGCATATTTACATCTGCCGCCCAAACAGGCTATTTACAATTGTTCCCGAACAAGGTTATTCATGATACATATGTACAAAACAAACATCAGAAACTAAAATGACAATGTAAGGTAAACAAATGACATAATAATAAGAAAATAAGTAATTCTACTTATAATAAAATTAAGGAATCATTTCTATTTTTTTTCCCAGATTATAATAGACCATGAAAAAGAAAATTTTTATAAAACTATATTCATGCTTTAAGCAAAAATGTCTATGATCTACAATAACCTGTATCACAACTAATAATGGTCTGATTTTGATGAATTTGTCTTTTGGTTTTAGAGGAAATTTAGTCATTTTTCAAATAATCGTGGGTATAATCAAGAAAAATGCATACTTTTTGAGTTATTTGCAAATAAAGATTCTTTTCTATCATATTTTTTTCTGAAATTTTGGAGGAATATGATTTCACACCTGAAGAAAAAGAAGATCTTCGAAATGAGAGCTCAATCATTGGATTTGGTGAAGATGAAGATGGTGTAACGACAAAAAAAAATAGATATATAATATATAAAGATGAGAAATAATATATAAAGATGATTAGGTAAAATAGTTGACTATGATGAGGTAAAATAGTTATTATAAAGGTGAAATGGAGGGAAAAAAGTTAAATATTTTATATATAACATTATTTTATGTATTAAATTTAAAAATAATTTGTTATTAGTATATCTGCTAGTTTGAATAAAACCTACGTAGATTAAAGCTGCCTTTATTATATTGTATTTCATGACTAACCTGGAGGGCATAATCGGAGCTGTTGTATCTCATCTACAGTATCTTACATCGTTTTTTTTCCCTGTGTCAATTATTAATATAGACCCTGAAACATTTAAAATAGCTTGAATAAAATATACATCAATTTTGGAAGAATTGCAGTCTAGTTTCAAACATGGACTAAAGGCAATGTAAATAATTTCATTAAAATAAAAGATTTTTTTTATTTGTATTTAACAGGATTTTTTAAGCCTTAGTTCAACTTTATTCATTTTTTATATATATTAAAAAAGATTCAAGAAACTATTAAAAATGTCAAATTTTGCTATTATTTACATTAGCCTGGATTAAAGATGATTCGTTTTGTTTTGATAAAGTTATTTATTTATGTTATTCTTAAATCTGCCATAATACAAATAGATTATGAAGAAGGATAGAGCTGAATCCAATATTTTTATTATTGTTTACCATAATAATGATTTATTATTAACTACTGAAATGCATTATAAATTCAGTTTTAACACTTTCATTTTAGTTTTTTCATTATGGGCCATAGATAAATGGTATTCTGTAAAGTATTTTATTATCACAAGAAAATAGTTGAAATTTAATGCGAAATCTATGATTTTCTTTTACAAATTTAATGGGTTTAAATCCATTTTAAGAAATAAAGAATTTAAAAAATTTAATTCTATGTTATTTTTCCTTAATTACATTTTTTTTAGAAAAGTTTATAAATTATTTTTACATACATCATTTTTAGTAAACCTTTTTTTACTGAGGTAAATAAATGGAAAAGTAATGTGATAAAAATACGAAAAATGAAAACAACTAAATTTTTAATAGATAAGAACTTTTAAGCAAATTATTACCATAACCAATAATTTCAATGAGTAGTATTCTATATAGATTTTGTTTTATAATTGTTATTTTATTATAGATTATTTAAAAATGATTTGTAAAGGCAAAACATCATATTATTTACAAAATAAAAATATCTTCTTGTTAAAAAGATTTTTTATTGTTTAAATTTAATTGTGGAAATTTTGTGGTCCTTTTAAAAACTTTATAATCTATTATTGATTAAATGTAATATTTAAAAATAAGTTTTATAATAAAACTTTTAATTCAAATTTTGAGAATACTAATAAAAATATATGTCCTTTTTGGTAAAACTTGAATTTCACCAAAATAAAAATAAAGTTTTTTCTTTTGTTTTTTAAAATAAAATTAATCAGATTTTTTTTTGCTCCTTGGTTTTACTGATACTGGATGAATATAAATTAGGATAGAAAAGGAAAAAAAAAAGTTTAAAACTCAATGAGAGATAGAGTATCTTGTTTTTATCAATTATCAGTTTTAGTCTGGAAATAAAAGAGATATAGCATTTAAGAGTTATACTTGATAGATTTACCTTTGAGTTGGTCACTTCAGAGGAGGACTGAGAAGAAATAAATTGGAACAGAATACAGCCTTGAGTGAGTTAGATACAGCCAATGAAACACATTCTTGTTGATTGAATATTATCAGAGAAGCTTTGAAGGTACTCTCAGTCAATCCCCAGTCCTATCTATGGATATATTGGGCATTTTATCAAAATGGACTTTTGCATTTATTTCCCTTTTTATTCCACAATATTGTGTGCGCAATGTGATAATTTTTTTTAAAACTCTTCCAAGAGATTTAAAGTAAATATTTGTTATTTTAAATTTTTACATTTCTTAATTTATCTTTGTCATTGTAATTGATAAAAAATATTTTTTGCTAGAGCATTTTACGTAGCATTTAAGGTTATTTTGGGAAATTACTTCTATAAAAAGACGAACGCAAATGGCATCTCAAGATTCCAAAAGGTCCTCAGAGAACATCCTAATAAACCTTGCTTTTTATTTCAAGATCAAGTTTGGACATTTAAAGAGGTATTTTAAAAATATATAATTTATATATCACAATTAATTTAAATATATTAAAAATGGCTATGTTTTTGTAAAATTGAAGAATTAATCTTTCATTTTTTATTAAGTATTCTTTTTGAAATTTATAAAACATTAGAAATGGATATTGTGTGCAAATTTATAATAACTCGAAATTCATGATTTAAATTCATACCTCAGAGATAATTGCGATTATGTGTATTTTTAACTGATAAGATCTCATTTTTTAGCCCCCAAAGCGAATAATGAAATATTTTTATTTGATACTATAATTAGACTATAATTTTTTTATTATTTATTTATTGGATTTAACAACTGTATTCATTACATAATGAAATAACAAGTAAAAGTAAAGTGTTAATACAGAGCATGAAATTAATTTGTGAAGAAAATACACATTGTTAATACTTCATATGACTGAATTCAATAATTAAATTCATGATATATTTCTGAAATTCTTTAATGTAGATTTTAAATTCTCTAATTCCGTTAATCTAACACACTCTAAGCATTATTGACTAAACTTAGACAAGATGATAATAACAACAAAATTTATAAAACCAAAAAACATTTTTCAAAAATTCTTTTAATATGAATATAAAATCGGCGTTAAATAAATACCTGACATAAATACTATATCATGTGCTTAAAAAGTTGAAAATTACAATATTATTAATTAAAAAAATTAATCTGTGGTATTGTACTCATATTGTTAACCAAGCCGTTGTTGAGATTATGTATATCTATTAAAGATAAGCAGATGAAAGTTACAGAATATTATGTAAGAAAAGAGAATTCTTATCTTGTTTTAAGACGTGGGAACCAATCTGCTACTTGTCAAAGATTGATTTCCTGAATTTTAGTACAAAAATGGTTCATTATATAAATGTTTTGTCTTAAGTATGAATTTTTAATTTGAAAAAATAAAGTAAATGTTGAAAATCAAGCTTTTTATGAACTTAACTAATAACAATGTTAGTTATAATTCTTATTACTTTTATTTGTTTAAAATATTTTTCTATAAAAGTAGATCTAATAATTTAATTTATTTATTGTTTAAATGAACAATTTATTTAAGTTGTTCATTAAGGTATTTTACCATAAAAGATAATTTATTTAAGTTTTCTTCTTCTTCTTATCATGATCCACTTGATGAGAGCCTACTCCAATAAGGATTTTCTATTGTATGGCACTGCCTTCCAATTTCTTAAACCAAACAGTTTTCTAGAACCTGTAACACACAATCCTCTCAACAAAGCTTGGGATATCCTACTTGCCATACACAATGCACTCACTCCAACATCTTTTCCTGGTTCACCCTAATAACATGACCAGCTCAGCGGAGTCATGCGAATTTGATGAATTGGCAATGATAATATTTAAGCATTTAAAAAAATTAAGTTAATTGTTTTCCAAGAGATCTTTTGTTGTTTTCACTATTTTCAAAAACATGAGAGTATTTTCAATTATCATGATTTGCTGTTTTTTGTCATGAAGTAACTTAGAAAAATAATGAAAATGATATTTTATAATAATTATCCACCATAGCGATATTTTCCACAGTTATTCAATAATATAATGTATACTTAGATAGATTTATTTATCTGATAACCAAAATATATTAGTTATGGTGATAGTTATAAAATTTATGAATCAGATAAAATAAATTAAAGTAAATATTTTTAAAAATCCAATTCTTTATTTTCACATCAAATGGACCTAGACAATAGATAACTACCCGTCAGTCAATATATTAAAGAAAGTGACATTGAAAATTCAGAAAATTACTAATTCATTTCAAATCATTGTATTTATAATTTACATTTATAATTCCATTATATAAATGGGAAATTTAATTTTATGTATTTTTGGGTACCTTTCCATTGTAATTCCAGCTATGAAAAAAATCACATGTTTTGTCTACTCATTAACCCACGTGGTTTTTCTAAATTTTCATTGGATTGTTGACAATCTCTCTTAATCTTGTGTTCATAAAATGACAGTTGCTGTCCTGCAGCTACTCCCGTTGGGCGAGCTCTTCATAAATAATTTATTCAGTAATAGATGAATTATAGAATATTAATCATAAAAATGGATTATTTTTTATACAAAACATTTTTTATACATTACTTATATGATTAATTGTTTAGCTGTAAACCATATTACATTCCATAAAAATAAAAAAGATGTAGTAATAAGAGCAACTTAAAAAATATGTATATTATACTGCAGATACAGTAGTGGTATTCATCAAAAATAAAAATAAAAATAAAAAAATTGTAATACATCAGCCAATGTTTTTGTTAAAATACATAGGTAATCTTTAAGGCTACAAAAAAGGTATGAAAGGAAGACAAATAATAGGAATACAATTTTGGTAATAAATTTCTAACTAGTTATTCGAGAATATATTGTCAGTGCAATTATAAAGTGGCATATCTGAAAATTGGTCAAACTACAGAAATTGGAAATGAAATAATTGTTGCAGATGTTAGGAAGCTAATTTCTATTTTAATTGGTCGTGTCATATTAAATTCATTTCACCTCTCTCATGTTGTTATTAATATTCAATATTATTTTTAAATAGCAAAATCAGAAAACCTAAAAACTGCAATATTTGCAAATATGGCACTTTGGCATTGGTCTGCCGATGTAATTTTTCATTCAAAATTAATGATAATAAAAATTAAACAATTTAGTATGGTGTACCATATTAGAAGCAAATTATTCTGGCACCAACAGTCAAATTTTATTTTAAGTGTATACACTTTAAGACTGTTTAACTGTAACAATATTCATGTTCAAATTTTAGTCATATAAATATTTACATTCATTTATTGTTATTTAATAAATTTTAGGTGGATGAGTTCAGTAACCAAATAGCTCAAGTTTTTCATCAAACAGGATTTAAGAAAGGAGATGTGGTTGCCCTTGTTATGTCAAATCAACCACAATACGCTTGTATTTGGCTTGGTCTTGCTAAAATAGGTGTGGTTACAGCTCTTATCAATTCCAATCTTACCAGCAAACCTCTTTGCCATTGCATCACGAGTGCATTATGTAAAGCAGTAATATTCTCAGATGATCTGTCCACAGGTAATATGTATACTAGTATTGTTTTACTAATAACAGACAGACTTGAAGAGTTTGAAGACTAATTTTTTCAACTATTTCAATATTTAAAAAAATAATACTATTCTTTACATTTTGTCTTTAATAACTCCTAAACTTATTCTAATTGTACTTTTGTTTTCAGTTGTTCTGGCTGTCAAATCTGAACTACCAGCTGACATGAAATATTTTCAACTTGGGGAATCAGAAACACCAAAAGGCATTATAAATCTTAAACTGTTTATGCAAAATTTACCCAAAACTGTCCCGTTAGAGAAAGAAATTCTGTACAATGATCATTTAGTGTATATTTATACATCTGGTACTACCGGTCTACCTAAAGCTGCTATAGTTCCACATTCTAAGTATATAATTACAATAATGTTGTTACTTTGGAGTAAAGATCCTTACTCCAAGTAGTGGTTGACATTTTCCATTTTTGTTTTGTTTTTTCAGATTTATTTTGATATCATTTTTTTGTGAAGATATTCTTGGTTTAACCAGTGATGATATAGTATATGACCCTCTTCCTCTTTATCACTCTGCAGGAGGTCTGCTAGGTGTTGCTGCAGCCTTTTTAAGTGGAGCTACTGTAGTATTGAGGCCAAAATTTTCAGCAGCAAATTTTATTCCTGATTGTGCTCATTACAAATGTACAGTAAGTTTCACTGTTTTTAATTATTTTTTTATTTTATTTATTTTTGCCAACACTCCAGAGGGACATTTACAGTAAGTTTCTGTCATTTTTATGTAATAATAATAAGGTGTGTAAAAAAAAATTACCATTTTTCAACCAAATATTTGTATTATTATTTCTTTGATATAAAATACAATCAATACTTAAAGTATAGTCCATTGTTATCTACCGTCATTAGCCATCTACTAGCCTATTGCTCGATCCCCAAATTGTCAAATTTTTTCCCTTGAAGAAAATGGACCATGGATCTAAATAAGATGTAATCCAAGGTCTGGTGCGAGGTCTGGACTATATGGTGGATAAGGCAGGAGTCTCATATCAGAAGGGTTTTTCAATACATTTTCACAAATTTCTAATCTCTTAGCTGATTGTTGAGGAATAAGTTCGTGCCGGACCAGTCTACAGCTCTTTTTCATCTTTCCCATGGAGAGTAGATGGCAACTAAAAGAATCTTTCAACAAAAAACACTCCCTTGCAAGTTCGTTCAACAAAAAACACTCCCTTGCAAGTTCGCTATTACTCCTGGATGGATTTGACTCAACAGCTTCCTGCAGAACCTCATCGATATCCATTAATGATCGCCCAGAGTCCTTCTTACTTTCCAACGCCGTACCTCCACTTCTAATTTTCAAATCAACGCCGCTCAGTTTGCTGGTCATGGACACCTTCCCCATCATATTTAATAATTTCCCGAGACTAAACAGAGGCTTTTTGAAGAAGTTTAATGAGATTAAACAAGCTTAGAGAATGTTCTAAAGGGATTATTAAGTATTGGTAAGTATTAAATAGGATTAAAATATTTACAGTCCTTGGAAATATTGAATTTGATAAAATGGTCATGTTTTTTTTTTTATACACCCTATTAAATACATTAAAAAATGTATAATTACTCTTTCATTAACGCTTTGAAAATAAAGATACAACTGGTTCATCATGGATCAAAACAGATGGAAAATTATCCAACCTATCGTTAACAATTATTAGCTTCGATAGGAATATTACTTGTTGTTATAAGTTTATGTTTCAGTGACCTAAAAAAATATTTTTGAGAATAATCTTTTTTATTTTCTGTATAGATTATTTGATCTCATTTGGATTTTGTGTTCATGCCAAGTATTCCTGAAAACTGTGATAGGTTCTCAATGAACATGTTAGCTAAACCTTTAAAAGTTGAAAAATAGAGCAGATTTTATATATATCCTTTTTATTTTAGGTCTACAGTTCACAGAACCACTAGTAATAATAATAGAGGGTGCCATGAATTTTGTTTGTTAATTCACTGTTCTGTCAGAAAAATTAATAAACAAAATAAATAGATTGCTCAATGATTAATTATTTAGTACCAACATCATATTTTATTGAAATAGAACATGAAAAACATAAATGTGTTGTAAAGATGCATTATTTTATTAACATTAAAATAATTTAAAAACCTATATAATAAATTATTTCATCATTTTCTTTAAAGGTTATTCCCTTCTGCTCTATCTAACTCAATTGATGATTCTTAATGGTTGACTTAGATTTTTAGAATTCATAACATTATGAACTATTAATCTGTTTATATTTTATATTGACTTCTAGGTAGCGCAATATATTGGAGAAATGTGTCGTTATATTCTTGCTGTACCCGAGAAACCTACTGATAAGCAACACAAATTGAGAATGATTACAGGGATCGGTCTTCGGCCTACTATATGGTGTGAATTTGTAAAAAGATTTAACATACCTATGGTAATGGAAATGTATGGATCAACTGAAGGAAACTTACAAATTGGTAAATACATAATGCTTTTTAATCCAAAGTTTAAGAAGTAATAGAATAATATTCTAATTTTGTTGGAACATAAACTTAGTTTTTAATATCACTTATACACTTAGACCTTGTTATCTGATTATAATAACTTTTCAACTTGGTCCATTTTCAGACCTTTCCATCTTCATCAGACTTTTTTAAGTAAAACAACTACATATAAAAACTCAACATTGACCTCCTTTTAACACTTAAAGGCATCTTGATTAATTATATTTTTGTTTCTCAATCATGTCTTAAAAAAAAAAGAATTATATTAAAAATGTAGTGAACGTGAACTGTTTTATGGATATTGGCATTTCAGCACTTATTGCAGCCTTTCTTTAGGATTACATAAACAATAGCAGAGCAAAAAAAATATTATAGATGTACAAAGGAAAAACATTAAAATAAAATAAGAAAATTAGAAATAATAAACAGAAAGCATGTTCAACAATTCAATAAAACTTAGATAATTCTGGTAACATGAGGAAAAAAATATAGAAGAGAATCTTGGCGAGAAGCATGAAATTAGGGAGTTGATCATACCAGTTAATGAAGCATATTTCGCAACTTCCAAGCAGCTTAGAAAACTCTCAGTCAAAAATTCAAAATTGAAATTAATCAGACCAGTGATGACCTATGTATTTTAACACTCATACTAAGAATGTCTTGCTATTACCATATTTTCTGCCTTCGATAGTGTTCAGTGGCTAAACGTACTGCAGCAGTTACAAGTATAATGATATCAGGAACTTCTATGGCCTGTTGAAAAGCTACTGAACAATGAAGACAAAAGGTACTTTGTTTAAAGTAAAAGATACTATATAAAATTTTTCCTAGGCCTCTGTCCTTCAAGCTCCTGGAAGTGCTGAAACAGGAGTGGTTCCCCACCACAGCTTAAGTATTGTCAAGATTTGGACCATTCTCTTAAAGAACAAGATGAACAGGGCTCACCCTATGAATATTATTCTTAATATACAAGAAGAAAGGATACAGGTAAGTGATATTGTCACCTACCTTGGCATAAAGATAGACTGAAAATTCAATATACCTTTTTTATTTTTCTCAATTACCCCCTACACCATCATTTATGGCATATAGGGGGAGAGAAGAAGTGGGAGGGTATTGTTTTATAGGTACAGTCAAACTTATTCTGACCAGCATATAATGTCTCATTATAGACTACTTGAGAAGTAGGATGGCCCTAGCCTTTAAAAGAATCAGTCTTATTAGGGGTGCCTTTTGAGGTCTCAGATATCTTTTCCTTGTGAGCAGTCAGAAAAAGGTGCTAGACTGAGAAGATGTCTGCTGGAAGAGAATGACAACCGATCTTCCATTAAAGAGATAAATGTGAAGAATAAGCTGAGAACAAGCTCAGAATGTACACATAGCTCAGAATAAAATTTGTAACTGTTTCACTTGCAACGGTGAATTGTTTCTCAAACATAAACATTTCACTGAAGCGAACATCTATTTACCCAAAAAGGCAGGAAAGTGGTAAATAATTACAAAAATTGGCAATAGTAATGATATAATAATAAACCCAGCTGTTAGATTTGTTCTAACCATTATTATCAATAACAATATGATAGAATAAATAAATGGAGTGTAGGGTATTGAAAATTATATAACTTTAAATCTGAAAAATAAAGAATGGTGGAATAAAGATATACATGGAAAAGTAAAAAGGAATAAACAGATGAGGACTACTTAAAAATATTTGTAAAACGGAGATTGTGTGTATAAAATAGAAGATTTGTCATATTAAAAGAATTCCAACAGTGCCAGTCTTAGGGCGAGGCAACCAGGGTACCAGCCGATCTTCTGGGGCACATGCCAATTGTAGTTAAAAAATACAAAACGTATTAAAATAATTAATTTTAGCTTATCAACAAAACAGCTGTATTAGAGAAATATTGAATAAAATTAAATTCAAATATTACATAATTAAAAATAGCTTAAGAAATAAATTTAATTTTTTAAAGGGGGGAGATGACGTCATTGCCCAGGGGTGCCGAATGTCTAAGACCGGCACCGGTTTCCAATCTTGAAAAATAATACTCTTGAATCCATTCACATTCATTTTGAACCTTATCCTGTTAATCATAAAGTAGATAACCTAACATTTCCTAATCTATGATGATAAAATTATAACTATTTTCATTCTTTGATTACTTATCTTATTTTAAACCATCATCAGCCCTACATTTTACCATCCTTTAAGAAATTAATATGTTGTCCTTTTTTAATATTCTGAACTCTTATGAATCTCAGTTATTTCATTTTCTTCTAGTGTTAGAGTCAGTGTTGTATAATGTATTATACAACTTTAGATATTCCTACATTTATCATTGAGGCTATATTTATTGTAGGCTTATAAAATTGCATTAATTTACATATTATTTAATTTTAATTACAATCTGAATGTCAGAGTATTCTTAACTTGAAAAGTTTCTGATTGAAATGTGTGAACATAAATATATTTTCTTATCCATGTACATAATTTGTCAATCACATATGTAATTGAATAATTGATAGTGAACTGTTCATTATAGTTAACTATGATAACAAAATTGGTGCTGTTGGTTTTATACCTCGATTCTTCCCTTTCTCAAGATTCATTGGAGCTCTAATACGGGTCAATTCTGAAACTATGGAACCGATCAGAGGAAAAGATGGATTATGTATTGAATGTGACATAGGTACTCATTTTAAATTTATTTTTTCATCTTTAAGAATGCTGAAATAGATTTTTTCCTTATGATATGTACAATAGAATGTAATACACAGCACATTATGGAATACTTTTTTTTTATAAACAAAATACGAAATAATTAATTTTTCATATGATAATTCTAGATGAACCAGGAATGTTTGTTGGGATTATTCCTAATAAAGACTCTGTTAAACAATTTCATGGTTATTTAGATAAAACTGAGTCAAGAAAAAAGTATCTATATGATGTTTTCAAAAAAGGAGACAAAGCTTTTGTTTCAGGTAAATTTTAACTAGACATTTATTTTTATAAATATTTTAAAAAGATTTTATGTTTTGACAATGGTAATGTAGTAGTCAAATGAGAGATTTTACAAATGATTATTGATATTAGCACAAAAATGCCTCCATGATAGAATAAAATTCCTACAAAATGTCCGATTATTTTTCGAAATTTAATTTCAAATATCTATCAATTAGTTGGACATAGGTATATAATTTATATGAGAAAAATAATTTTAAGAACAACACTAAAATTATTTAATTTTAATACTGATTATTTGTATATTAAATTCTCAATAATTTAAAAAAAAAGTCTGCAAAGTAACTGAGTATAGCTTCTTCGCCATTTGTAATGAGTACCTACATAAACAAAAATTCAATATTTTAATTGTTTATTTGATTATATTATGGAAAATTACCATAGCCCAAAAATAAATAAAGAAAAAAAAGAAAAGAAAGAGAAATTTATGTTAAACAAAATTTGATGAACTTGATACTATACCATTTTATACTAAACCCAAATTGTTATACAACTTTGGGCCAAATTGGAAAGCAATTTCTGAAATATAGGTGTGTCAAAGAAAATACGTTTTTAAAACCATAAGTGACAATAGAAAATATAATTTTATAAAATTAGCATGGGATTATCTGGGTACAATCGAAACAATATCTGAAAATATAATCAAGATCAAATTAGTGGCAGTTGATGTTACGCTCATAGTATGTATTTTTTCACAAATGGACATGAAATGAAATTTGTTAAGTGATGTCTAGAATATTCTAAAAACATTTTCCTTAAAAAATAAAAATATATTAATGTGTATGAATTTAAATAATTTTTTAAGGCCACAACTAACAACCTCTGTCCATCTCTCTCACTAGGCAACACTTTCACCTCACACCAAGTCTTTCCACAGCAGGCAGCTCCATTTCACTCAGCACAGATTTCTTCCATGTGATACAAGGTCATCCTCTTGAGCGTTGACCTTGGGGGTTCCAATTGAGTGCCAACCTTTCCACTGCTCCAGGCTCTTTTTGGAGTGTCTGACCAATCCAATTCTACTTTTTTCATCTTATGACTCACTCTATCGGCCTCTGCCCAACTCTGTACTAAGCTCTCGATTCTAGATTTTTCTACCAAGACTTGAAGGATTTAATACAATTGAAAGGTTCAAGGGAAGACTTGAACTTTTTCTATAGTTTCTTCACCAGTCTGAAGACTGTCCTTGACACATGGGTTTAGCATGTCTTGTTTGTCTTCATGTTTATTAACAGACTCTCCTGCTTCCTCCCAGAGTTTTTGAATTTTAGCCTTTATTCCCGAGAACCCCTGAACCATAAAGGAGACATCATATGCTAAATCTAAACCGCAATAAAATACACCTTGTACAATCAAATAATAATTACATTTAGCAAAAAAATCCATTTTTATCTGTATCTTTGTTTTTCATCACTGATAATAGCTGCAGAAAATATCCAGGATTAAAATTTAGGACATTATAATTATTTGAGTTACCTTGCAAGTTTGTTCAGGATAATAGTTTATGATGAATTTTATTTAAAATTTTATATCTATTACATTAGTCAAATGATTAAATTTATTAATTATTTGTAATAGGAGATCTTTTAGTGATGGATGAGCTTGGATATCTTTATTTCAAGGATAGAACAGGAGACACATTCAGGTAAATTCAAGTTTAGTTAATTTAACAAATAAGATCTTTATTGTTATATTAATTATTTCCTTTAATTGTTTTATAAATAATTATTTCAGATGGAAAGGGGAAAATGTATCTACTTCAGAAGTGGAAGCTATAATTAGTTCAATACTTGGATTAAAAGACTGTATTGTGTACGGTGTTGAGGTATTTTATTTTAATTTAAAACAAATATTTTTTTGTTTCTATGAGTAATCTAAGTAAAGTAAATACTTAAACAATCACAGTACATATACTTTATACAATAACTAAGGGGGTATCCCCTGTCTGGCCAACAGCAGATCAATCTCCATTTTACAAATTATACAACTGTTCATTTTATTGTACTACTTATGCATAGCTGTGATTTACATGTGTTCTGTAGTTTAGATTGTATCATTTTTTATAAGTATAATAGAGAGATAAGGCATATAAAGCAACTAAATGTAACCAGTGTAATGCCTTACAAAAAATATTCATAATTAAGAGCATTATTGTTTTTGTAATTACCGTATTTATTTATTTATTTTTTTTTTTTTAACTGACCTTCAAGGGCCACATTACATTACATTACACATTATTTTATAAAGTTCCTTTCTTTTTCTTCCAAAGTAATTACAAAAAAATTACATTAAAAATTTTTTTTATTTGATTTTGATTTTTAAAAAATAAATGATCTCAATTATTTTATCAAGCTAAACTGACATTCATTGTTTTCATAGTTATTCATTTTAAATCGTAGAAACAGTATAATGAATGTAAATTTTAAGGATTTTCTGTTTATAGTTTTTTCTTTAATTATAAAAAAATATAAAAGAAATGCTTCTATATGTATTATTATATCTTTTTGTTCATTTTATTTATACAGATTGGTGATCTTGAGGGTCGAGCTGGTATGGTTGCTATAGTAGCGCCTTCTGGAACTATAGATTTTGATGTCCTTGCGGATTCTCTCAAAACTTCTCTTCCTTCATATGCTATTCCTCTGTTTATTCGATTGATTCCTGAAGTTGAAATGACAGGCACTTTCAAATTGAAGAAGACTACTTTGGTTAAAGATGGTTTCAATCCTTCTATTGTCAAAGATCCTCTTTTCTTCCGTAAAGGGTCATCTTATGTACCTCTCAATAAAGAGATATATGAACAAATTATCTCTGGAAAAATAAGAGTTTAAGATGTTTAGTCGCTTGAGGTTGAATTGGAAATTTCTGACATCATGTTGCTGCCCAAGTTGTGGAAGCTGAAATTTCATATGTACCTTAACACTTTTGATGTTATAATAAGGATTATTTTGGATTTTTAACCTTCTAATAATTTAGGTTAATCAACAAATAATATTTGGAAAGGGAGCATGTTGGTAAAGAATACATTTGGTGGTTATTTATGAGTTTCATTTTGTATTTTTACATTAGTGTAGCCTCCAAAAGGCTTACCACAGATAACAGAAGGCAACTCAATCAACCTAATTTGTTAGTTTTGGAACCTAAATCTCTTGCACTTTTCAGAACAACTGATATTCAAAGGAGAAAAATACATGAAGAGTCACTGTTGTGGGTGCCGCATCCACCTACTGCACCTATACACTATATTTCTTAACATTTTTTAGTGAACCTAAGCAAGGGGACCTTCTGATAATAACCTATCACTTCATATTATAAAACTTTTAGTAATTAAAAGTTTTTATAATATTTAGTTTTTTATGTTGTCATTAATAGAATATGTTATTTATGATTTCTTGTTAAGTATAATAAATAAACATTGTGATGCTAGTCTTGATTCACTGTTCTTTCATACTTCAATTCAATTTGAATGTACCTGCTTTAGTTATTGTTGTACAGTTCGGTATTTATGTTAATTTTATTTTATTGATAAATAAATTTAATTTGAACTATTATAAATTCATTTATAGTTAATTTTATTTTAATTATATTTGTATCCACTCTTGTCTCTTGAAAATATAGATATTGATACAGAAATAGCAATGTGTATGTTTCCTCTATTGATAAATAATCTTCAAAGTTGTAAAATTATAATTTTTCAAGATTTCTTCTTTCTCAAAGGTCAGCAAACTTCTATTTTTGCATTAAAATTGGTTAAAATGAGTTACATAAAAACTTATAAAAAGAGCTTCACTGCCTCCTTGAGCACACTGCAGAAGGCTTTATAATTTTCCTTACTTACTAACTGAGGAAGTCATTATATGTGATGACTACTGTTTGGTTTTCATCAGTAATTTAGTTTTTATTGCTCCAATTGTGATGCAGTTTGGAAAAATGTGTTCAAACGTTTCTGTGTAACCATGACAGATATGAATGATTATAATTACTCAGAAGTCAGAAGAGCTTGATAGAGATAATCAGAGGTGACCAAAAGAAGGTTTCATGAATTAAGATGCGCCATCACAATTTTTGAGAGGGACACATTTTGAATATTTGAGGGGGACATATTTCGACAGAGTTATGAATTTTCGGGTTGAAAAGTTTCAAACAAGAATACAAAGAGAATACATGGAACAAACCCCATCAAGTGTAATTTTACATCATCTACGTCTGGGAGAACCATTTAGCTATTAACTGTTTAGGATTGTGGGGAAGTATTTTCTCATTTTAGTTATTTTCGGAATATTTACCGAGTTTCAATTTCATTCCTCAATAGTCATCCAATATTATTACCTTCCATTTGTTTGGAGATCTCCTTGAAGACCTGCTGAGCTTTCTCACTTAAATGTATGATATCATTTCATTTAAGGCAAGGTCTACTCAACATATCAAGTAGCTCAAGCGAGGAGTAGCTTTGAAGATTCTTTTGAACTATATATTAAGAGAAGTTAATAAATTAATAATTAAGGTAAGTAAATAAATAAATAACACTTGGGAATATCCTAATTAATGGCTCCAAAGTCGGAGGATTAAACTCATTTACTAAAATAAAAAATGAATTAAATACACATCCTCCATTGGCTTACATTTTTTATTAAAGAATGTTATCTATCCAAAAGACTTACTTGTTTTGTACTATTGAGGTATTTTTTTTTTACCAATGCTATTCACAATTTAGAACATTCATGTCTCCATGCTAGTCTCATGTTTTTTTGTATGTAGTTCAAAATGAAAATGGCATTAAGAATAAAACCTTATTACCTACAGTATGAGCAATAATTTCTTTCAAAAAGCATAATACAGGGAGCAGTACTGCCAGCTTTGTGATTAAAATGGCCAGCAGACCATGACTTGTGATTAAAAACATTAATCCTATCCTACAAAGGAAACTTCAGCTGTGAAATGAGCTTTCCAAGAGAAAAATAACATGCAATAAATGTTATATTAACATCGTATATGAGTAATTTGCTCATTGAGTAAGTTTCATATTTTTAAAATTTACAATGCAATCAAAGAAACTTTGATAAAGTTAAGGCCGGATTGAATGCACTTACTTAGTTTGGAGACCCCTGCATTAGACCATCTGTTGAACCAGGGATGCCCTCTCCTGCTTCAATGCAGCATAAACCTCCCAATCCCTCCTCCCAAGATATTTTTTGCACTTCTCTTCTTAAAATCAGTGCAATCTAACAAAGGCGGATATACGGGTGGGAGGGGGCGCTTTGGGGCTGAAGCCCTCCCCCACAAAAAATGGTAAAATATAATAATAATAATTATAATAATAATAATGTTTTATTTATTCTGGGACGAGTCCCTTTAGAATAATACAGAGGAAAAAAAGTGTGGGCTAAGGAGCCTCAGAGATACATAAACAAGAGTTTAGTTTGATTAAATAGTAAAAAAAAAAAAATTAAATAAAAAAAATATTTAGAGAAATTATAAGTTACTTTCTAATTTACATCAGTTAATAATAAAAATAAAAAATTGAAAATAAACATGAAGTAAAAATAATAAAGAACGATCTAATAATTTATATACATATTTACAGTAGTAACTATTTACAATTTTATGATGAGGACTGGATGAATAAGGAATGATTAAACAGTTGGGATTTAAAGGTAGGAAGGGTTTTGGATTGACGGATGTGGGGAGGGATGGAGTTCCATAGGGAAGAGGATCGAATAATAAATGATTTATCGAAAGCAGCGGTTCGGTGGGCCATTATATATAGATCTGAGGACCGAGAACGGGTATTGCGGGAATGGACAGAGGATTTAAATTGAAGGAGCTCGGCGATGTATGAAGGACGGCGGGAGTGAATTACTTGGAAGAGGAAGGATGCCAGGAAATACTTACGGCGGTTGGAACTTCAACTCTTCATAGAAACAGGAAACAGGAGCGTCTCTTGGGATCTCGAAGATGAATCGTACAAAGCAATTTATCAAACGTTTTAGTTTCCCCTCGAGATCCTCAGAGACGCCCCCATATACCGTGCAGCAATAGTCGAAATGGGGAAATATTGAAAAGGTGACCAGGAGTCTACGGATTTCAAAAGGAAAAAGGTGTCGCAGGCTATTTAAGTGTTTTAGGGTGGAAAAGGTACGTCGGGAGATATTGGACACATGGTTTTTCCAGGTAAGGGTTTGATCGAAGATTATTCCAAGGTTTTTGATGGTGGGAAAAAATTTAATGGGATTATCATGTTTTACAGAAAAAAATATTAAAAACTATCTCTTAATTATTCTTGTTCCTGTAATTACATTTAATAGGACTTCAGGAACCACTTAAACACCACTTCATGTAGGTAGTTAATTTCTTTCTTTTTTTTTATCAAATTAATTATCGTTATATGTATATGAAAAAAAAAATCTTTCGGGATGAAGACCCCCCAAAATTAAATCCTGGATCCGCTAGTGCAATCTAATGTGTAGTTTTAAAAATCAAAGGCCATACACAATTACACTTTCAGTGGTTTGTTCTATGCTTACTTCTTGTCCCCTGATTTAAAACTTTTGATTTTGAAAAATCATATTGCCCTATGTGCCTCCCTTATAAATTCAAATCCCTGTCAAAATGTGCCACTCTCAACAATTTTGATGGTGTAAAATCCCTTTCTGGGCACCCCTTTGTTGACCGAAGGCAAGTTTCTTCCAGATAGACAATATCCCTTTAGTAAGTTCTATATTTCTCAATGCTATACAAATAATCAATTCGTTACGACAACCGTAGAATTTTCAATGAGAAGTGATCGATTTTTCAGCGAATTTCTTTACTTGAGTATTATTATTTTTTTTTTTTTTTCACTTACATTTATTAATCCGCACTTGTCAATTAGTATTATTAATAATTATAAGTTAGGCTAGCATAATCATGAGATGAAAAATTACAATAATAATAAATTAAATAAAAAAATAAATAGAAGACATGAGGAAAAATCAATACCCTCATGCAATGGCAATAGCGGATCCAGGACTTAATTTTGGGGCGAGCTTCAGCCCGAAAGCTTTTTTTTTCATAGAAATAACGATAATTACTTTGGAAAAAAAGAAAGAAACTAACTATCTGTATAAAATGGTGTTCAAGTGATTCCTAAAATTCTTTTAAATGTAATTACACAACAATAATAATTTAAGAGATAATTTTTTTTTCCATAAAACATGGTTATATTTTACCATTTTTTGAGGGGGAGACTTCAAGATTGGTGTGAAATGGGACGCAGAAGAAGTTGCGCAATCAAAATTTTTGAGTGGGGTATATTTTAATGGGTTTTTGAACTTTTGAGGGGGGCATATTTCGACGGGGTTGTGATTTATAGGATCAAAAAGTTTCAATCTAGCGAATGAGGAGAAAAACATAAACCAGACCACAGCAAGTGTATTTGTATATTATCTACGATTTTTCTAATTCTACTTTATCTTGGTCTATTTTTAAGAAGAGAGGTGGATTAAAATTTGTTGGGAGAGAAGGTGTTGGTTTTTGCGCCATCGATCTTTGAGTGAATGGAATCCCTGCCCAGTGGTACCGCTTCTATGGCTTTTATTACTACAACATTATCTAAGTACATAGATCCCTCATACAGACCCTTTTCAGCCGTCTTTTGGTATTCTCCGGTATAATAGCTAGGGCCATTTCTTTTATTAGCTGGTTGGAATGTCCATTTAACTTATTATGAAATGGTTTGTAGTAAGTTCGTATGTGTTCATGGATCGTTGGCACGTGTAAGTCAGTGTGTAAAGTGTTGTTATTCACGTACTAGGGTGCTTGGGTAATTAGTAGTGGCATCCAACTCTTTTAAGCTTCTCGATCTTCATAGAGAAGAGCATGCTCGGTCTGGCCAAGTCGGCTAGTCGGCGATCGTCGATTCAGCGGAGTTTTGGAGGGAGAAACTAAAATCATTGTTTTATGTTTTTCTAGTAACCCAAAAATAATTGTTTTGTATTCGCTTATTTCACCAAATTTTTGAAACCCCTTCGAAGGACCCCTAACATAAATTTGTTTGTACTTTTCTGTCGCCATAGATTGATTAGGGACTCCCTCTTAAGGCACTGAATATCGTTATTTTATATTTATCTAATACCGTTGTATATTTCGCCCCAAAAATAATTGTTGTATTTTTCTACTACTTCAAAAATAATTGTTTTGTATTCTTTTATATACACACATTTTTGGGACCCCTTCGATTGGTCCCCAGCACAAATGTATTTATTTTTTAAAGGAAGGAGATGGTCCGGGTTTGCGGTCATAAATAGGCTAAATAGTGGTAAAACTATTTTATTGAAAGCCGACGTTTCGACCCGACTTTGCAGGTCTTCTTCAGTGCTAGAGCGGACAAGATACAAAAAGATTGAGAATTGTGGCAGTTACATAAAATTTAGACAAAATTTATAAACAATGTGAATAAGCTTATTAAAATTATAAACAGTAAGTACAATAAAATATGAACAAAATAAGTGGAGTAACAAGATCCTAAACTGAAGTAAATAGATGCTAACAATAGTTGTAGTGTAATATATAATAAATGAAAATGTGAATATACTTCTACAAATCTACAGGAGAGATTGAAAGAAAAGGAAAAAGGATATAATATGAAATAATAGACATAAAGGAATGTGGAGAAAGAAAAGAAAATTCCCAATTACCCAAACATGTTAGCTTCCCCTATACCTGACCTTATCTTTGGTTTTCCAATTCTAAGTGAAACTCCTAGCTGAACACACCTGTAAGTCTCTAATTTTATTCTTCCATTTTATTTGCTTATTTATCTAATTTTTGGTCTCCTTTTTCCACCTGAGACTCTAGCCGAGGACCCCTAACAGAGCCATTTTCCCACCACAGTGTTGCAAAGTCGGTCATATATCTTCATTCTTAATCTTGTTTGAAAGCTATTGGTCCATTTTTACTTTTCTACTGAGCACTGCTCAAAGAGTAGTTAGTATACTCCTCCACTGTCTCTAAAATTCCCTCTTCTCCTTGCGGCAAACTATTTCTTCTTGACCAATGTACATCATCCTACATTCCTACCACTCCTTCCCACTCCCCCATTTAATGACATGCCTCTCCTTCCTTGATCCGCCACTGAATTTATCCATTTAATTCGTAAAGAACATTAGTCATCACAATAATTATACAAACTTCGAAATATAATCGTGCAACATTATTGTTTCATATCGCACTCTTTGGCTAATTAGTAATATTTAAAGATTTAATTGACATATTATTTGAGAAAGAAGTTGGTAGGTATCTTTTCACCGAGAATTGTGGTGTGATTTTAAGTAGATACTAACTAAATTGAATAAATACTCAAAACGTGATCTTGGGTAAATCACGATTCCTGACAGAACAAATAGCAAGTCTATTTACTACGTCCATAAATAACCGCAGATGTAGAACGTACTAAGGTTTCTTATTAGAAGTTTAAAATCGTTATTACAATACCTTAAACACACTCTTTTTTGTTACAAATTAGTTTTTAAAAGAATCACTCTTTATTTCTAAATATTTACTATTCATAATTTCAATTGTTATCATTCGAAATTGTTATTTTGCAATTCTATTTAAAGGAGTTTAATTCTACAACGTAAGATTGAAATTGTTTTTGGAGCATTAAATTTTATATGTGCGACATTTCAAAATTTCATTCTCATTTGGGCATACATTTTTTCGAGAAAAAAAAAATAGATAAATTGCGTGTTTTGCGACTTATTATCAATCTTTATAGTTGTTTTGGGAAGTTGCTATTTTTAGAATACATAATCATCAACAACGATACGTGATTTTGAAAAAAATTAATATATTTATTTTTTCTCTTGGTGAATGGGCTGTGTTGACGCCAGATATTAACGATTTAATTTTATGTATTGTGGGTAAATAATAAAGAAATGTAAATTATACTGCCCAGTTTTGTTTCATTTGACTTCATTTTAAATATTGAATTGAACGGCGTTGCCAAGTAATGAAACATTTAGATGGCGTTGCACGGCAAAGGTCCGATGATTCTTTGTAAGCTGACTCCCTATCCTTTGGGATTATCTAGGGAGAGTGAATCTAGGGAGTGAGGATTTCAGTATATCTGGGTTGTAACAATACTAGGGAGTGAGAAAGTGTTTCAATTTTTACATTCACTTACGTATATATGTAATATATACGTAAGGATAAGTATTACGATCGTGAAAATTTTCGAGTCTGAGTTTTCAACGGAAATAGACGTTTTGAGGGACCCTGAGTCCAAAAACAAGGTCTCGAAAAATGGTCTGTGTGTTTGTGAACACTAGTTATGAAAACGAATAGTTTTATGAAACTGATATTACTTATTTAATATAGGTATATGCCTTAGATGTCCTGGCAACTTTTTCCTTAAAATCGGCTAACTGGAAGTGCCACTTTATATCAAAGCTGAAACACATTTTTACAATTTTCTCAAAAACAGCTATAACGATTTTGATTGAAATCGGTGTTATCATTGTATAATTAAGTGGTCTTTATTATCATTTAGGTCTTATACCCGTTGATGTCATTTTACAGGGCTTAAATGACCAATGTTCATATACCTCTTGCTCTAAAGTACCTTTAATATGGTTCATATTAAATAATTAACTGTCTCTCATTATTAAAAGTTACGAAAAAGTGCTAAATATAACTTTTGAAAGAATTTGATAAATCAATAAAGCAGAAAAAAATAAAAAGACTTATCCAGGTCGTAAATGAATTTCCGGAAATACTACTCAGAAGGTATACGTATATTATATCGTTGGAAAGCGGAGAATTTTAGAAAAACAATATCTAATATAGAAAGTTGTAGAAGGCAACGGAGAATGGCGAAAAAATTATAAATAACTAGCTTTACCTGGCCACGCGCTGCTGTGGCTTAGCCTGGCAAAATGAAAAAGAAAGAAAATAGAAAGCACATATGAGTAGATTAATAGCAAAGGACATCTGTCATTTTTAAAAAGTTGGGAAACAAATTGGTCTGTAAAATGGCTTCAATTTAAGCTAATTCTAATGATTTTTTTTTCATGATTCAAATTGAACATTCATAATCATCTGAGTGAATAAGCCGTCATTCATAATCATCAAAAACAGTCTGAGTTGAACTTATAAAACTAAAATAAAAAATTAATATAAAGAACGTATAATAGTATTGACCTACATAAGGAGAATCATATAACTTCTTCAAATGATAATTTCAATCACTGTAGTAATTTTGATTTTCGATTAATAGATAAAAAAAAAAAAATGCTTGCCTACCTTCGGTAGTGAGGAAGCAAAAGGAAATGGCCTTTTCTGAAGAGAAAGCAGTAAATGTTTAAAACTCTTATAACTCTGCAACGAACCGTCCGATTTCGATGTTTTTTTTTTTGTTTTTTTGTCAGCAATTCAGAAAACTTTCATATAAATATGGGTATTATCAGTGAAAAATTCTGTACTTTTTTATTTATCGCCGAACAAAACATTGAATTCATCGTAACATGTTTCAGTTTGTTTTCGGGAAAGTATGTTATGCACATAAATTAAAAGTGTTTCAAGGGGAAGACATTAGCCAAGTTTCGTTAAAATCGGTAAAGTCGTTTTTGCGCTACTGTTTATAGCGACACGGTTTTTTGCAGCTTTGACGGAAAACATTTACATTTCTATTTTTTTTCACATATATAAAATTATCGTAAGACAGAAGTACTATGCCAGAAACCTTCCCAGGAGTGTACGGAACAACTTCCCAACGTTTCATGGCGATCGGATGAATGGTTTAGTAATGCACAAAGGACAAACAGACAGACAGACATACATTGATTTTTATATATATAGAAGAAGATAATTTTTGAAAACTAATAATATTTAACGTAAACCACATGTTTTCAAGGAAATTAAATGACATTTACTAACTAAATGTAAACTTTAAAAAATATTTTTAAGTTTGTAAAATGTATTTAAAATCCATCTAATCATGGCAATGGCGTTGTAAAAAAAACTATTTCATTGAACTTGTGTTTACCTATTAGAATATTAAATTAGTGAATAAAATGATGAGTTTCCCCTTGTGAATACAATTTAAAAATTGTATAATAGATCAACATGGCTAGCAAATAAGTCCTATTCAAAGTTGAAGGTAAGTGAAAGTTGTGTGTTGTGCGCATCAATTTTTTTTTCTGGTTCATATACTACATTTTTTTATTAAACAATAAATGATATGTTTCCATAAGGATAAATCATGAGAAAAATAAAATGAATTACTTCTAGTTGTGATTTGACCATATTTTTGAACAGTGACATAAGTGTTACAAAAATTTTAAAATGGCCCATATAAAATAGTTCTGAACACTTTCAAACTTTTGTCAACATATCATATTTTCAGAACCATGACGACTCAAAATATTCAATATATATAATTGACACGAACAAAATCACATACACATGAATTTGTGGAGAAAAAAGAAAAATAGACGGAAATTATGCAATAAAATTTATGTTTTTAAATAAATTAATTCATTGTTTTTATGACATCTAACCTTTTATTAATTTTCTTTCTTGGTTATAACTTTGTTAGATTTTTCTTGAAACTTTTTTTTTGGATCAAAACGTTTAACAACTTAGGGCCCTCTCTTTTGTTGATCCGTCCCTGAATATCCATTTAATTCCTAAAGAACAGTAGTTGTCGTAATAATCATACAAAATTCTTTATATAATCGTGTGCAGCATTTGTTTGATATCATACTCTTGGTCTATTTTGCAAAATTATAGTATTGGATACAATAGTCGGTTTTGACACAATTTAATGAAAACGTTTTTTTAACTAAGTTATCTTATGCTTTAAATTTTAGAATTATATTGATCTGATATTCATAGCCGTTTTCAATAAATAATTCGTAAAAAATACTCGAATCGAATCCTAAATGTAAAGTCAGAATAATACTGCAAGATGAGCAGATTTTTATAAAATTTTGTACTCAACTATTCTACCTAGGAAATTGGCCAAGAAATAAACATATACTGGACTTACTTTGCTATTTAATATTGCTTAATCTCCATTAGAAATGCAATCTTACAATATATTTTCTGTCTGACTGAAACAATCATACAAACATTCTAATAAGGTAACTGTGAAAGATAAGCCTGTAAACATCTTTACAGACCTATAAACGCTTACTTTATTGAGCAGAAACATCGTTACTCGGAATGATAAAAAAAATAAATCGTGGAGAAATGCTTCTGTGTCAGAAGTTGGTCGTGGGTTACACTCAGAGTGAAATACATAAACAAAAATTATTTTCTTTGTGCCAAGAAATTGACCTAAATTTTAAGCCTTCATTAGGGCTGCTTGTTCAGAAGACGTTTGACCTCTAAGCTCCTGATGAAAGCCTAAAACTAAGGCCAAAACGTTTGTCGAAGGAAAATAAAACGTTTTTTGTCTATTTCACTCTGTCTAAGATCCCCAACCAACATCTACTAAAAATAAATCTTTTTATTTCAACTATCCTTTACAAAAATAAATAAATAAGCATCTTATAAATTTTAATTGATTATTTAGAAACAATACTACCGACAATCAAGTAGAGAATGGGGGGGAGACGAGTCATTTTCGCTTAGGTATTTCAGTGAGCGGATGACTAACATGGGATGTCATAGATTTGACCTCTGTGAAGGCGGATTATTAGTGTTTAACTTGTGTGAGCTTTGGTTCTATTTTCTTTAAATAAACTTTCTATACTTGAAAGATACCAAAATCAATGTATTTTTTTAAACACCGCTTGATTTAACTAGGAATGATAGTAAACTTTTACCTATGAATAATTTAGTTTCAGTTGCTCCTCCCTCAAATGGTAGTAAAACTTTACAGAATCAGATTTTACGAAATCAATTAAATAGATTAAATTAATAAAATATATAAGAAGGGTTTAGAAATAAATATTGGGAAATTATAAGTACCATTTAGTATTTTAAATTAATGAAATATTTGTTTGTTAAAATTTTTTATTGTAATGTTCTAAATTTTGATATAAGTTTTAATAAAAATTAATGACCATCGTTCTAACCAATATTTATAATTTTAACTGATGTAATTTATCAATTTTCATTAAATGAATTAATGCATTAATGTTTTATTGTTCTTCCAATTTTATTCTACAGGCATTGGTTTGATAAAGGTTTGGGTTTTGATAGTAGGTTAAATGAGTTGTTAATCAGAATGTATTTCATGTTTTTTCGATTTGTGAAATTTATTATTTAAGTCATTCTTTTTTGCATACTAATATCAAATATGCTGCCAAAAAATGAAAATTAGAATAAACTTTATTTGTTGTAAGGAAAACTATCATCCAGGTAAACTGTTATCACTTTATTGTTTGTTGTGTAATCTACCCTATTGGAAATTCATGATAAGTTTATGTGACCCTATTTAACTGAACATTTTTTTTTCATGTTTAGAATCATGTTTAATAGTATGAAAAGCCAGTTTCGCGAGAAAACTGGGAAGGAGTTACCAAAGTTTACCCCTCAAAAAGGAGGTTTGTCTAGGCAATCTAGGCAAGGTTCAGAGAGTAGTTTAAGCAGTTTAGTTCTTGAACCAACAGCTCCCATTCAGGGTCCATCACAGGGACCTGCAACATTGCCAGTACAAACTCAAGATGTCCAAATCAGGTTGTCTGATGGAAAGGTATTAACAATTCAATTCAATTTATTCACTATTTAATTGATCTTAATCAAAGTTTTTCGATGGATAACTTCAAACTAAAAATATGTTATTATGTTTTTTGAGGGGCGCAGTCCTGTTATGTTGTATGACACTTCAATAACACTGTTTTATATTTAAAAAGTTACAAATCCTTGCAATAAAGTTGTGTTAAAATCTAGTCCTAGTTTATCTGAGTTTGTTTCATTGAGTTACATCTTGTTTGAATGTATTCAATTTAAACGAACATCAATCCATTTTGTTATTAATCTATCGTTTATGTATATGACAGGGTGTCTAATATTAATTAGCTTAAATGTTCCTTCTTAAATGAATAAACTTGAAGAACAATAGGGGATTAAAAAGTTGTAGACCTACATATGTAATTTTACATTCACTATTTGTTAAATTTAATGTTACATTTCCAGTTATAACTTGACATTTACTGATAACATCTACTCTTTAACACTGTCATTTATAGTCATTGACATCTTATGAAAGATCCCACAGAAAGCATTCTTATATCTTCGAAGTTGGATAAATTATTTGTTATTCATTTTAAAACCATGTATTTTCAATAACATTACTATTTTCTGGCGCTCCATGAAATAGAATCTTGGAGGTAAGACATGTAATTTTTTTTTTTACTATTGTTTCTGAAAAATGTTTCTGAATGATTTTTCTCAATTATGAAAGAGAAATAGGTGCTGGTTCACATGAGTTCCGCATGAATTATGCGTGGTTCACAATCACTTCAATCATACTTGTTCATGATGTCAGCTATTGCCTCTACCACACAATCCCTTTTCATGTATTTTTTCAAAAATAAAAAAGTATTCCCTTCATAGAACTTCCTTATTAACAATTTATTTACTAATTTGTTAATTATTAATTTTTATTATAACGGTTATTACTGTGAAAGAAAAAGAAAAAAATCTGAAATGATGTTTGAGTCGTTTCTTCAAGGCCTGTTAAAAAAAAGTGCTTTTAGAAATACAATTTTTATTGATATGCTTACATGTAGTGGGTGTAAATACATATATACTGTTGTATACCATCTCTTAAACGAGGAATATCTGATAATTCTGAGATACTGAATAGAGACTTATTGTAGTCATTCTTAAAAAAAAAAAAATCGTGTTTATTTTCGAGGAAGGAATTAAATATTGGGTAAACAACTGACGAAGCATATCTGATAATTCCAAGATAGTGAATAATGGAAATCAATAAGAAAAATAATATCATGAAATAGCATTCAGAGATATAAAGGTTTTTATCCATTACTGTTTCTTTTCCACGACTGTAAAATACATGCACAAGTTCGATTAAGGTTACATGATCGGTCGCCTTCGTTCTCTTTTGGATAAATCTGAACACATTTGGCACTCCATCCACAAGTTTGACCGAAGTGATTGTGAACTAAGCGTGATCCGTGTGGAACTCTTGTGAACTAGTACCAAGAAATTGATTTCCTAAGTTCAAAATGCTTTAATAGAGTAAAACCTCTGGACACTGGACAGTCATGGTGATTTTTTGTCCTTTAACAAGAGATATCCCTAATGTGGATTTTTTAAACACATGTTTTCCAGTGCCAGTACATTTAAAATTATCCTGAAAATAGAGGTGTCTCTGAAAGAGGAAGGTCTTTATTGAGAGGTTTCACTATATTAATTCTTCCTATCTGTTGTGACCAGTATCTTCATTGGACAGATTATGTTAATTCTGTTATGGATTGATGAATACAATTTCCATTGGATTACTTCAAATATGTCAAGCTTACCCAGGAATTATATTCTATGTTACTCTTTATTATTGCAAACTCCATAAAAGAAAAAAGAACTATGAACCAAAAAAATTATGATGTATCCTGTCTCCAAAATTTCAGTTTATGAGGTGCCTGAAATCCTTCAAAAGTAGTAATGGTATTAAGAATACAAAATTCTAAGATGCCGTGAAGACTTCAATTTCAATAATATTTAAATGCATTCTATCGGATTTTTCATGCAATTTTAATAGATATAACTGACAGTTTCTAACAGTAGATAGTTTTTCACTGGACATTTTTTTATTAAATAATCTGTTTAATTTATTTTGGGTACACAGTAAGTTCTACTATTAACTTATGTATTCAGAAATTCTTAATTCAAAACTCTTTTTGGTACGAGTTCCATTTTGTTACGCCAAGATGGCATCTAGTTTAAAAATCACCCAGAGCCCACTATTTTCAGATTCCTGAGAAAGATTGAAAGTAGTCGAGTATTGACAATCCTAGTTACAGCCAGTGCTAAGGCTGCCTTGACTTTTGTGTGTGTTTAAGTTAGGTTATATTCCTGCCTTTTTAACAAGGGAAAGTGTTTTTCAGCTGATAAATTTCCAAACCGTCATGAAAAAATTAAAATTAAATTGGAAGTCTCCACTGGTAGGTTCAGAGAAAATATGTTCTATAATAATATAGGTATAGAGCAGAGTAGCTCAGGGTTTTTTTTTTTTTGTTCTTCCCTACCTCGCCTTTTAGGCTATACGGGATTTTCCTGGGCTGGGGGGTGAGGGCGGGAAATCTAAAATCTCCTCCGGCACCGGGACGCGAACTCGTACTTTTTAAATCTTCTCAAATCTATAATACGGTTACCAGGCAACTCGCGTTGGTGTGCACACGCTTTAGCCCATTCGGCCATCCCGCTCCCCTAAGTAGCTGAGGGTTGGGCGTTGACTTCCAAAACTCAAGATTCTGAGTTAAAGTTAAATTTATTTATTTTGTTTCATCGGCCATGGGTCGGAAGACCCTCCTGAACCACACTCTGCCTCTATAAATGGATATTATTAATTAATTATTCAAGGGAGAAAACCTGATTGTAGTGCATGATCTCAGTTAAATCACCTCCTTGCAGAACCTTTGACCAAGAAACGGTACTTCCCAACATATTAATGAATCCAAGACCCTTCATAGTGGTACAGTTCATTTTTATTTTTATGTGTAGGAAAAAGACAGAATAGATTTTGGTTGTTACGAAAATTCATAATATCTTAATTATTGTTAATAATTGGATTATTAGATCATGCAGTGATTAAGAGGGGGAAATTTTTCAAATTGTATTTATTATAGTTTTATTAGTTAATAGGAAAGCTGTTATAATTTTTCTTATTATTCTTTTTAACTCACTAGGTTTATTTTCTAAGAACCAGTGAAACTTTCAGCGAATTGGTGACAATCATTTAGGTAATTTGGCTCATGATTTTATTTATGTATAAAAAGAAGAGGACAAGTACAAGTTCATTTGATGAATAAGGCTCATATTTGAAGGATTTGTCTTTTTTTTCTGTTTAAGGGAAAACAGAGTTCTAAATAGATATATATTGATCTTGATTAGTAGATTTAAAATACAGAATCCTAAAGGATCTTTTTTGCTGTTCTGCTCTAAAATATATTTATATATTTTTTGGCAATAATGCATTTAAATAGATCTTTTTTGCAATTTATCACTAAAACAAATCTGTTGTGCCATTTTGCACAAAAAAAATCTATTCTGGACTCTTCACTCAGTTTGTCTCAATTGAATATATTCACGAATTATTAAGTATGCTTTTACGCTAAACTAAATATCTAAATACGTTAATCTAATGAAAAAAAAATAGAGCAATACCCTCATAATATCCAAATAATATATCTAATATATATTTAATAATAATATACCCTCATAAAATCCAGTAAATAATATTCAAATCAACGAAACACCTGCGTTTTGAGTTTGAGGAAGTTATCTATTTACTACTTTGATTCACAGAAAGATTTACTGTTTACTCGTGATATTTTGTTTAATTTGATAACCTAATTTAAAATGCTTTACAGTTTACAAGAACACCTAATGTGGATAATTCTCTTTGTTAACATTCTGAAATTAATGAAAAAGGCTCCTCCTCAATACTAAATCTCTTGACAACGTTGTAAGGGATGTTTTTTTTCATTTTTAATAAAAAAGTAAATTGACAGCCACACTGGAAAAGCTTGTAAGAACAAAAACTAAAACTTTTCAGCAGCCAAAAAAAAAAAACTGCATAACTTTTGTTCTATGAGCATTATATTTTTGGTTCAATTTTTTTTCCAGGCCTAAGACAAAGATGTAATGCTCTATATAACTTCAATCATATTTCTGCCCAATAATCTTTTAGAGCCATTACTTCTAATTTATAGTTTTTTAGTTACTTTGAAAAACAAGTATTAGTTAAGTAAAAGCAATCAAATTTGACTTGAACAACTATATAGTGTCATACAGAACTTTGTTAGTAATGATCAAAGCATGACAGGAACAAAGTCAGTTTCTAAAATATAGAAAAACGATACTTCAAATGGAAATTTGTAAAAAATTTGACTGGAAAGTGAGTATTTGATACACTGGTTATTCACTTTCTTGTCTCCCGCTGTAGGGAATGTTTGAACGGAGTGCATGCTCCCCATTTTGGAGTAGTCTATGAAAGATTCGTTTTTAATGTACTCAACTTCATATGGACATTTTTTGAATCACGAATGCTTGGTAAGTTCTAGGTAAACTGCTGATGTGTAGATTATTTAGTTTCGGAGCCTCTTGTCATTTCAAAGATTCTTTGGTTTGAACAAATGAAATTAGAGTTATTTTTTCGTCTCGTGTTGAATTTTCTAATTTTCCAGTCAAGCTCATTTTGCAGTGTCCAAGTGGTTTAGATTGTTTTGAAGGCCGTTTAATATTGTATTCCCACTTGCCATTCTCTTTTTTGCTTGGTATGGTTCCATGGTAAGCAGTGCTGGCCTCAGAGCAGGAGTAGTCGGGCATTTGCCCAGAAGCGCCGGCCTGGAAGTGGCTGCCATTTATTACAAATTAAAAAAATAATACAAAGCGTAAGAGAAAGATTAATTTTAGCCAATTAATAAAGCTAATTGATACCGTAGTCTATGGTAAAACCGCTTTATATATTCTTTATTTACATGACACACTTTCATTGAGCACTTCATTTTGTTTTTTCGGTAACGACAAGATCTCTATAACCTTCACTGTCACTTACAGTTGTTTACATCACAGTTTGCTGGTTTTTAAATTACAGGTTTTTACAAAAGGCCACAGAGAAGAAATGAAATATTGTTAATTTCATTTTATTGGATCAGAATATATGCCTGGGCAAGATTGACCAGAAAAGCTCAGAACTTCAATTTTTCAAAGAAATTGTCCTTACAGACTTTTGCAGTGTGTCTGTCGAAATTATTTATTACTGTTTCTGTGAAAAAAATTTCATTATATATTTTTTTAATGAACGGGTCATTAATGATATTACAATTAACTTTAGAAATAATTCAAATTTAATAGCATTTGGCTGAATTCTGAGATATTCTAGAAATTTGGGAAATATTATTTCTCACAAAAATAAAAATATTTGGACAAGTAACTGATGAAAAATTGCTGCTGCATTGAATCTATTGATCGAACTAAACCAGAGTTAGGGAATTTTGTAAACACTATGGTTTAATATCCGAACTCAGTTTTATCATGTTCTTTTAACAATATTTAGACTTTAGAAATACCATTGTATACTATATACTATTTTTAATAAATTACTTAAGATCGTTTTTAGATCTAAAAATTGATTTTTACAATCTATTTCTTAGAAAATTTAGATCTTCAGAACCCAGCCCTAGTGGTGAATCAATTAGATCTAGTCTAATACAGCATAAAAAATGTGTGTAATTAATCGAAATTTCCCTCCTAAAATGGCAGTATATTTACTTCCAAGGAATGAAGATCTGCTCCATTTATTTTTAGGATTTTTGTTAATCTAAGAATAGTGTGCTCTGGGTCATCTTGAAAGCGGCAGTCATCGTGGAGTAGTGAAACAGAACTAGTACCCTCTTTGTGTAGAACAACGATTATAATGTTTAAAAATAATCTAAATTTTGGATTTCTATATTACTTTTATGATCTGAAATGTACATTAAAAAGTTAATCAGATAATACTTTTAGGTTTTATCCCCGAAGGAAGTCAGTATACTTTCCAAAAAGGAAGAAGAATGGAGACATCGTATTGAGAAAAAGGAATCAGAATGGGCTAAAAAATTGGAAAAAAGGGAAGCAGAACTTTTGCAAGAGTGTTCTAAAAAAGAAGAAGAGTGGAAGAAGAAAGAGCAATCTTTGTTAGAAGATTTACTGAAACATACGAATGAGCTAAGAGATGCACTCAGAACTGCGGAAGGTACATAATTACTTTATGTCAATATTAAGTGTAATTATTTTGCTGTTTGAGATTTTTAATTAAGCTGTTATAAGCATAAGTATTTTAAATAATTTTCATATGAATAATTAATTAGTTACTAACTGCATTAAATTTGTGCTTAAAATTATTCTATGTTTGAAATTGTTTTCTTCCATGAAATATTTTACCTTTAAATCTAAAAGTTGTTTCAATAGGTTAATCCACGGGTCTCCAATTTTTTTGACCTGCGGATCACATTGGGACTTCCACTAAGTCCTGTGACATCCAATAAGCAATCGTGCAATAAATGCTGTAGTAAAAAAAAATAAAAAATTTAGTAATTCACTCAAACACGAGGTGATTTACTAACTTTTATATTTTAAAATTAATTTAATAGTTTTTAAAATTTTACTATGTAATTAAAGAAGCTTTCCGGGCCTAGTACTTTCCCCCTCTAGTCCAGAGGTGATGGCGGGCCATAGTTTGGAGATCCCTGGGTTAATCAAAAAAATAATCTCATTAGCATTATAAATATCGTCATCGGCATAGTTTTCTTGAACTTTGGCCAGATATTTTAAAGCCTAATTTCAAATACCCCAGCTGAAACACTATGATGTGCCTCTTCTAGATCTTGATGTTGGTTGTTTCTAAGTTTGTTATTTTTTTTTAAGACTTTTCAGATATTGTTTTAATTTTTTCCCTTGATCTCTGGATTTTTGATATTGTAGAGTGGAAAATTCAAAGCTCCGGCACCAAAATTTTGGTTATTCCTCCTATCTAAATCTGATTTATGATTTTCATTTTTTCTTCAGTAAGGTGCCATGTTTGTTTAAAGTCATTGTCAATGCATTTTTATTATAGTCCTGAACCCTACGGGGGTGGTTAGGGCATTCTAGGGGGCAAAGGAACGGATAATCTCAAACTATTAATATTTCGCATTGGAAGAGAAAGAAAACATATTTTATAATTTTTTAAGGTTATTATTTCCCTAATTTGAAAAGTAATTTAAAAAAGCTGGATGGTGTCTGCACAGGATAGGAACAATTGGTGGAGGCTGGTATAGGAGGCCAAGACTCGATATCGAGTTGTTGTGCCGACTGAGTAATCTTTAGAATAGAATAATCTTTAAAATAATGATACATAAAATGGTATTGTCTCACTTGTTGCAGACATTTTGAAGGAACAGGGTCCAAAAGACAAAGAATTTGTCTGAATGGCATTCAAGAGTAATAAAGTTTCATATTGCCTCATTTTTTTTTTTTTTTTACTCTCCAATTTTATTATATTTAAAAAAAGGTTTTTCACTCAACATTATCGCACTTATCTAAATATTTGTAGTTAACAAGATTTCACCGAAATGAAGCTGTGCTTACAGGTACACGAGTGGCAAACTATTTCTCTTTGCAATTTATTAAAGTTTTTTGCACATTTAATTGTTAAAAATATCATACTACACTACATATGGACTCCTTTTTAAGTTAGCAAATTATTATTTATGTATTAGATAACCATAGGAGTTACTGATATGTTGGGAAAAAATAATTTTTATTTATGATTTTTTATTTCAGATTACAAGAAAAAAATTTGTCAGTATCAAGAGGACAAGGACCAGTTAGAAGGATTTCAAACCCAGGAAATGGCTAAAATAAAACATTTGGTAATAATACTTTCCATTTCTATGAATTATATATATCATTTAAATACATTTTTTTTAGTTATATTTATTTATATATTTATTGGAATAGCTGCTAGCCAAAGAAAAAGAAAGTGCCGAGACTGCCACAGCTTTAAAAGAAAGTCTTACTTTGGTTGAAAGTCTGAAGGCTGAAGTCAGTAGGCTACGACCACTGGAAGAAAAAATAAGTAATTATGAGGTAAGCACTTTATTGAATTATGGGTTTTAAAATTTTTAATTCTTTTGTATACAATTAATACTAATATTAATTTTTTAGACATTATTTAAAAAATATAACTTATATTTTAAAATTTAATACTACTATTTTTAAAAATTCCTTATATATTTTTTCTTAACCGACATAATAATTTTCTTATTAATCCATTTGTTTCAACTTTTAATTAAGCTGCATGCCCTATATGCCTAGCTTTATGCTAACTGCTGCTTGAGCGCATGAACTAATCACACATTTTACTCTAATTTATTTTTATTTTATTTTTTTGTCAAGTTTTGTTTAAATTTTCAATGTTACATGTTTTCCATTGTTGCTAGCAGTTGAAAAACAATTACCCCTTTCCATTTATTTATTTCTTATTTGTTTATTTATATTTCTTTTTATCACATAGTGAGTTTTAATTTATGTTATTATGCTTTTTCACCTTTTGTATATTATGATTTTGTAGAGAACAGGTTAATATAAGCATCACGTTATAGTTTGCACAATTTGAAGTTTTTGTGTTTTGGCACCAAGAATTATTTCATGACTTCCGTTCCTGTGGCACCTTATTAGGTATGTATGTTTTAGTTTTTTTTTTCTCCTGAATAACTTTGCTAAAGTTAGTTAGTTATCTGGCTTTTGTGTGCAAGAGCTGACGCTTATATTTTTTTTTCTAATATTTTATTATTATTATTTTTTATTTTTATTTTCCTGCTTAGGAATTATTTTTCTTGACTAATTAATGAAATAATAATCATAATTATAAATTAAATTAGCGGCTTTATTTAAACATACATTTTAATTGATTGTTGGTTTGTTGTATCAGACCAACGGTTTGCATTGAAATGCGCGAAATATGCTAATAAAAGCTATGAAATTTTTTTTTGTTTTTAAGCATGTTTTGATTTTTTTTTAAATATCACTGAATCTTATACAGGGTGTTTTGTAATTGCATTGCACTATTTTAGGTATGTGTTCATTAACACAAAATAAACAAAAAAATTCATATTATCATATATCTCAAACTCGTTTATTAAACAGATATGAAAGGTTAAAGATTTATTATTATTATTACTATTGTCTGTTATTATTACATTTAGAGTAACTGTCCAAAGGGGCCTCCGTTTTGTTGAATACAACATTCAGCACTTCAAATCCATGCTTCTCTGGCCCTTCGTATAGCATCAGGATGGTGCTTGATAGTTACTGCGGCTTCCACTATCCGATTTCTTAGCTCTTCTTGCGTGCCAACTTCTGAAAAAACCATAGACTTCATCTAGCCCCACACAAAATAATCTAATGGCATTAAATCCAGAGATCGTGGAGGGCATTTGACAGATCTGTTTGGACCAACCAATCGATCTCCATAAGTTGCATTTAAATAATCAGTGACACAATTAGAAAAGTGAGCTGGAACACCTTCATGGATAATTCACAGTCTTTGCCTGATGCCTAGCGGAATATCATCTAAGAGTTCTTGAAGATTATTTTGCAAAAAATGTAAGTAAGATATACCTGACAGCCTAGGTGGCAAAAAGAAGGGGCCGAAAATGTTGTCATTTAGAATACCATTCCAGACATTTAAAGAAAAGATATGTTGGTAATGTCCAACAGGAATCGTAAAGGGTTTTCTTCAGCCCAAGTATGGGTATTTCGAAAATTAAGAATCCCGTTTCTTGTAAATCAAGATTCATCAGTAACCGAAATGCAGTTCAGGAAGTTAGGATCTCGTGTGCATTGTCGAATTAATCACTGGGAAAAATTCCTGCGCTTGTTGTAATCTTGTGGTAACAAATCTTGCCTACTTGATACGTGAAAATGACACAATTGTTGTTCGCGTAAAGTTCTTCATACGCTGGTAGAAGAAACATCGAAAGGACGTGACAATCTCCGATATTAGTGGTAGGAGATAACTGAACAGCATCGAGTATTTCCTCTTCAACGTTTGCAGTTTGTCGAAATCTTTGTTGACCGGCGGTTACTCATATAGCTTTTAGCATGCCATTATCCCTAAGGTGTCTTTCAATGGCCTCAAACGTTTTATGATTTGATATTCTTCAGTTAGAAAAATTTTCACGATATCTCCGAAAAGCAGCAGCACCGTTTCTATGTATCTCGCCATAAGTTAAAAGCTTGTCTGTTTGTTCTGCAAAAGTGAATAAATTTATGGTGTCTCCCATGACAATCATAAATTGAACTGTGTCACAGTATTCACTCACTCTAAAATATACAGAACTAGACAAACAGATGAGCAACTGCTATCATTGCTTATCGCTCATTTGTTTATCAGGTGATTAAAACCTGTTATCTAGTACTAAACACGTTAAACTTTGTACAGTCAGTCTTAATGTAGTAAATAAATAATAAATCTTTAACCTTTGATATATGTTTAATAAATGAGTTTGAGATATATGCTAATATGAACTTTTTTGTTTGTGAACATATACCTAAAATAGTGACGTGCAACTATGAAACACCCTGTATAATGGATTAATAAAAAAAAAAAAAAAAAAAAGTCAGTTTTAAAGTTCTATACAGCTAAATGATTTTTAGATTCTCTTATTTTAGAAATCCTAAAATAGTATAAAATCCTAATTTGTAATTATATTTTGTTTTATTCTTTCTGATAAAAGATATAGTTTAATCAAAATACTGAAACACATAAACTTTTTGACAAGTAGGCAATTTAAAAAGTGTTGCCCATAAATGATTTAGTAGACATTTTGTGATATTGCAGTTATGAAAAATGCCAAATGCCATATGCCAAATGAAAAATTTGGTTCTCAACATTGAACATATCATCCTAACAATAATTGTCCCGAACAATCAAACTCTCCATTTACAAATTGATGTTGTGCATCATTTCGAGTCAAAAATGCTCATTTATAGAGCATGAATTATATTTCAAGTATTAGAAGTGAATTATTAATGTTTAATGTAACTCTTAAATTTCAAATCAAAACTGACTTTTATTTAACTCAGACACATTAGATTGCTGATTTGGCATGCTATACAAAAACATCAGTTTGTTTAAGAAAAAAGAAATTTATATCTGAAATCAGTCATGATTTTGCTCGTGTGATTTTTGTATGCAAGTGATTGATGTGTGTGTGTGTATTTTTTAATCAAATGCTTGAACGATTATGTAGAAAACAAGATCTTGATATATTTATCTATTTAGCGTTTAATTTAAACTTAATTCTAAATATGATTATCCACAAACCTAAGATATTTTTAGATAGTTTTAGTTTTAGTAGTCTTCATATGTTTTAGTTTTAGTAGTCTTCATATTTTCTTGTACAAATAGATGTACAAAAATATCAGGTATGGTGTAAACAACATGACCTAATTGTTAAACAAAAATTTCTCTATTTTCTCTTTAAATATATGCAACAATCGTTTAAGTTAATTATGATATTTTTAATAATCTACTTTAATAACTATTTGGTTCTTCTGTGGTTGATTACATATATATATTTTAATATTTTTCATTACAGAAGAATTCATCTTCGATTAGAGAATTGTGAAGGTAAAACTTATTAAAGTCCAAATCTCGCTTAAGATTGCATATTGGTGACGGTTAATCTTTGTCAGTTAGAGCTATCAAGCTATGCACTTGCTAAGTTGTAAAATTGTGTTGGAAACAAGAACAGAAAAAGTTTCTGCTATTCTATCAGAATTAATTTTTGGTGAAGAGAATGAAGATTAATTTATCAATTAACATAGTTTAAACCTTTAGTAGATGCTACTTCTGTGTTGTTTTAACCAAACTAACAAATTTCTCCTTAAAATAAATTGTGTTTTTGAAACTTTCAATTGATTATATTTAAAATTATCTGAAGTATAGCTGTATATTTTATATGATTAATGTTATTTGATTTATTTATCTTTAATGCCTATTTCATTTAACTAATTTTATTTTTTAATAAAAAATAGTAGAAAGATAAAAAAAAAAACTTGATAATGTAACTAGGCCCCCTGATAGTAAATAACAAATAAAACCGATAACAAACTTGACAAAGTGAATATATAAATAAAAATCATTCATGAAAGTACTATTAATATTTGCTGCTATTTGGCAGTTGTGCAATCACATAGAATAATTATAACAAAAATGTTGTATTTATAAGCATATTATGAAAGAGGTTTGCTTATTTCATGTTCCTCATGCCTACAGAAAAGATACTCTAGGTTTGTAATAAAATTATTTGGTAATGGATGTTTGCTTTTTGCTGGTCAAACTGACATTTTAATTTTTTAAAACAATATCCAAAGTTCTGTCAAATCGTTCCTTAGATTTTCATAGTCTGAAAAATATCCCCAGTACCACCTAGAAGATCATCAAATGATATTCTTTATTCAACTTACCTGTAATCAAACTGGATACTTACAAGTTCATTATCAATTAATTTACATTTAATAATGTAACAAGACTTAATTCATTGATCATATTTTTCTTGTGGGTTGCTACATATTGTGTTTCAATATTTTGGCATGGGCATCAAGAATCTGGGGTACAGAAATGTATTGATAGTAGTGGAGACTATTTCGATTAAATAAAACAGTTGTAAATCTTTCTGTTTTAGTCAAAATGCTGCATTTTTTTCCATACAATCCAATACTTTTACCTGTGTATCATCCTTCATTTCCGGCCATTTACTACTATCTGTTGAACCTATTTTATTGTTCCTATAATCCTTTTTGATTCGAAATGTGGAACGACTGGTGGTGTATATTTTTTTTTTTTATGTTGAAAAATGCCTTAGTGAGGTCTACAAAACGCATATATTTCTTTGTCCCTTTCTATTAATTTTTCAGACATTTGTCTTAAAGTAAATATGAGATCCTGGGTACTTCTATTTGGCCTAAATCCATACTGTTCTTCACTCAGGGAGGATTCCACTGTTCTTCGTAGGCGTTTCTCTAAAATCTTGGAGTATATTTTACTCGGGACACTAAGAAGAGATATCCCCCGGTGGTTTTTACATTCTCTGTTATCCCCTTTCTTAAATATTGGGACTATAACAGGTACTTCCCAATCCTTTGGAATATTCTTTGTTTTCCACACAAGGTTTAGAATGTGCTGGAATACTTCTATTCCCTTTTGGTTCAAATATTTGATCATTTCAGGGGCAATCCTATCTATTCCTGCTGATCTTCCTGTTTTCAATGTGCCTATAGCATCCACAATTTCTTCTTCGCTGATGAAATCTTCTTCCATTGAGATCATGTTCGATCGTCCAGCTTCTTCATTTTCATCTTCAGTATCTTCGTCCAAAAGTTCCTTGAAGTATTCAGCCCATCTCTGCATGATCCCTTCGTTGCTTGTTAGAATATTTCCTTCTTTATTCTTAATTCGCTTGAGAACAGGTTCTTTCTCTTTGCGCATGTTTCGGAGCATTCTGTAGAAAACAGTAGCTGCAGGCTAAATGCCCAAGAGTGTTAAGGCATCATCTTTGCAACAGTAGGCTCATAACTTACTTGCCCGAGACCTAACTTATGAAAGAAAATAAAGATTATAGAGCATTTGTCTGTACAGAGAGCAAACCTCACAATCATGACATTCTACTTTTGTTTCGTGCCGAATATATTTTTTTTAGAATGGACAAAATCTTCGTCATTGGTATGTCTGTTTTTTTTATGTTCCTTCTAAAACACTGTGAAGGCAAGAATCTATCACCAATTTTGGCAGTAGTGCACTCCATTTCGAAGTTAATAATGAAACAAAACACAGAAAAATACATCGCTAAAAAATAAATAAAATAATTAATTCTATACTGTCATGTTACTAACTATAATAATCCTATTTGATGTAATTCCTAACCTAATGATTCGACTAAACTAAATCAAATTTATATAAACAAAATATAGGCTAACTGCAGTTGTACTGAGCGTAGTTTCACACAGAACGCAAAAATAAGAATTAAATTGGTTGAACAGCCAGAGAAAGGTAGGAGTAGGTAGTCATCCACAACAGTTCATGAATTTTACAAGAAAAGCTCCAAAATAAATGTCCACGCCATCAAAAAGCTCTATTTTACTAGGAAACCATGAAATAAAGCAAGGTCGTGTCGGCTATATTCAACATTAGCAAATGTAAAGAAAAGCAATGCGTTGGCATATGCCATCGTTAGCACTGAGGGCAGGAGGGGTGCATCTGTTGCATATGCCGTCATTAGCTGTTAAAGGATTAAAAACTAAAATATAAAATATTGATATCTATTATAATTGTATGTCAAACTGAAAATATATTGAGGATGTAAACAAAAGAAAATAGTTCTGAGGACCTTTGAGCACCTCGAATAATATACTTTTTTTTTGTATAAATTTTGTTTACTCTTATTTTCGATTTATATTTTTTCAGGAGAGCTGTGTTAGACAATTTTAGTATCCTCATAATTAACACCTGCAATACTACAGGAGATATATAGTATTTGATTATTTGGAAAATTAATAAAAACTAGATTATATCGGAACCAGTTGGCTATTGCTCTATCTTTATATATTATTTTTCAAAGATCTTTTGTCATTACGGTGTATCTTTATTAATTTTTTATCAAAGTCAATGGCTGAGCCATCATTTTTAAGATTTTCTCTCCATTTGCAAAAATTAACCATATCCCTAAAAAAGTCAGAAAAAAATGTTATGGACAAAAGGAAAATTATTTACCTATAGCTTAAAAAGTAAACGATTTATGGTGGATTATAAATATAATAGTTAAAAATCTTTTACACAAAATGAACAAAAAATCATCAAAATCGGACAATTTTTGCAACGATATAGCCAATTGTAATTTGTATGGACATATACTGTTTTTATTGAATATTAATACCTATCTCTAATTATTCATTGCATTTACTTATTTCTGTATTACTTTGCTATTTTTTTTACTAACCAATATATTTCACACGTACCAATTTGTATTCATAGTTGAAATGTCTTCGTTTATGTTTTTAATACCACCACAAATTAATTGATTAGGTGTGTTGCTGAAGTGGAGAGAGGTAAAAATAAAAAAGAGGGTTTTAGCCATCAAAATGTTTATTTTCTCTCTATACTTTTTATAAAAGTATTAGTTTGAAGTATTCTCTAGTTATTTAATATAAAAATAAATAAATTACATACTTATAGTAGATACATTGCTAAATAATTTGGTGGTCTTCAAAACCGGCGCACCTTAACTTTTCTTGTTATTTCTTTTCCAACAGAAAAAAAAATAGCAATTTATTTTTACGCTAATATAGTGTGGCATATTCTGTTTCTAGGATACCACAAATAAAGGAAAAAAACAACAAGAATTCATTTAAAAAAATTTAATCTAATATAAAACAAATGTTTTTTAATTATTAGATCAGAGTCTCTAATACCTAGTGTTACCTTCCCTTGCATAAATAAATGCCTGTACTCTTGTAGGCATATTGCGAATAAGGCTGGCTACCCAATCTTGAATCTGATCCCATTCAGGTACTTGAAGGTCACATGGAGGGTTCCATTGTCAACGGATGGACATCCCAAGTTGGTCCCAAAGGTGCTTAATAGGATTGAATACCAGGCTGCATCCTGGCCACACCAAAGTGTGGAAATTAATCTAATCTAGGCAGTCCCGTACATCATTTTTGATGTGCGGCCGGGCATTACCCTGCATAAAAAGGAAACAGAGGATGAACCAAAAGGTACCACATATTTCTTGAGGATGTCGGTGATGTATGTGTGTTTGCATTGAACGTCGGCATTCAGAACACAAGGATGTCTCTAAAGATATTCCACCCCAAACCATCACCAACCCTCCTCTGAACTGCACTCTTCCCACTAAATTGCCCTGGGTATATTGCTTACCTGATCTTATCCATCATCTTCACCATAAAGGCTATACCTAGAGTTGTAAAGAAATTAACAGAATAGAGGCCAAATCATCTTCTGTCCAAACTGTATGTTCACGACAAAAGGGAAGACATGCTTCTTGATGTTTTGCTGTGAGTAGAGAGCCGCGAGGGGGGACTCTAGTGTGTAGGCTGAGTTACCTTCTCCTTGCTGTGTGTGCGCTGACATTCGTATCCTGAATAATATGCAATCTATGAGAAGTCTCAACTGAAGTCTGGTAGCGGTTTCTGAGGGTCTGCATAGCAATAAAGCGGTTATCAGCTAAACCTGTCGGTGTTGGATGCCCTGATCGCTGCCTCCTAGCATAGTTTCCTGTCTCCCAGTACTTCTGGACTGTTGTTTCATTCAGCCCATGGACTTAGGCTGCATATCACTAACTCCGGCCGCCCTCAATCAATGCAGTTAATAATCTGAGCGACTGCCACATCTAAAACCGTTTTAGACTCTTAAAAATGTTTGATACAAATTAAATTTTTTTTTTAAGGAAAAAATAACAAAAGCCAAACCAATGCGATTGAACAGGCAGTTAGAGACAAAGTGATACAAAGCCTACATTTTATTGTAATGCTTTTATCGTTAATCCTATTATGAATTATGAAATTTACTCGAAAGGATTGATCCCCTTTGTATAACATGGTAATTGCCCTTAACCTGTCAAATACCTGTTATTACTTCAGGCTCAAAAATATTTCTTTAATCTGCGGTTGTTATGTTAAATTCAAGGTGCGCCAGGTTTTTGAACACCAGTTTATTTGGTGAGTAATCCTAATGATTTGTCTTGTTTTAAGGGGGAAAAAAATATGTAATTACTTTGAAATTATTTAAATGCAATCAATCCTTTTTTAAAAATAAATGTTGTTTTTATATAGGATGATATTGAAATGCTGAGGCATACTAGCGAGAAGGAACGTTGGAATCTTAGTAGTAAACTGGCCCAGAGCGAAGAGCAGGTAAGGCATCTGACTGACAGAGTTGCTGTTTTGACAAGGCGTAGCGAGTCAGGTGCTGGTACTCAGGTGGATGATAGAGTTCAAGGTCAGTGGTAGTATTTTACAAAAAATATAAAAATTAATATCAGTGGAATGCCAAATAATGATATTTTTGGATTTATTTTTTTAAATTTAAAGATCTATAAAAGTTGACCTTTATTTAAGGTAACAACTTCTATTATGTAAGAGTGATGTGAATCTTTATTCTGGAGCTTTACTTATTGTCATCGTCTAAAGAGAATATTATTCTTTACCAAATGCCAATACACATGAGATCAGAAAATAATTTATTGCAATTATTTATTGAAATGAAGCAGTGGTTTAATCAGATCACTGGCAGTTGCAATAAATGTGTAAGGCTGAATGCCCAAGAGTGTTAAGGTATCATCTTTGCAACCTTGAGTTTAGCAGCACCGGTTCAAATATAGCTTGAGCAGGATGAAATTTATTTCATGGCCAACGATCGGTATTAATCACGCTCTTTCCACCCTTGTAAGAATAGGTTGTTAACTTGAAGAATAAACCACACATATGCCAGAAATGCCCAGGTAGAGGACAGGAATGTAAATTCAGTATACAGTGATGCATCATTTATCTGCATCCCAATATTTTTTTAATGGATTGAAGTCGGTTTGAAATATTGCCACCATTCATAAATTAAACTAGAATTTAAAAAATTCAAGTCTATATTTCAAAAACAATTTTTACAGAACGAAAATGTTCTAGTTTCCTGGCTATTTAACACTAATTTTAATTATATATTAGTACAAACAGTTTTATAACAAACTACCTATATTATATTATATATCTATATTTATTATATTATCATATTGCAGTAAAATAAAGTTTTGTACAGACAATTATGTAACTTATGTTCTATGAATTTATAAGGTTGGTCTATGTATTATTATTTGATTCTTTCTACTCGTCTGTTTTATATACCCAGTAAATGTTTTGATTTTGAATAAGATACAGATGAATTTTGTATAATTTTTCAACTATAACTATTTCAACATTAGAATGGTTTAAATCAGAGGTTGAAACTTTTATGGAAATTTTTTTTAAAGTTTCATTTTAACACTTTCTGTGAAACTTTTTAGGAAAAAAGTTCTTAAAATAAAAGTTCCAAGGGAGTTTTCTTAATAAAGTTACAGATTTATGGTGAAAGTTTAACTTGTGTTTATTCAAGTTCTTAAAAAAAGTTTCATTAAGTAAAAAATAAGCTGTAATTGTGCTTAGATTAGAGTAATAATTTGTCTTAAATGAATTATACATGATTCTAATTTGTCATTTGTTTGAGTAGCTAATAATAAAGTCATTTCATAGATCGACTTTTTAGTGAAATCGACACAACTTTTAGATAAAAGTTGTTTAAAAATAAAAATTCTTTGAAACCTTTCCTTGCAAATTTGCAATGGAAAAAGTTCTAGTTCCAAAATAACTGAAAAACTATTGACAATAAAAGTTCCAGTGGTAATGAAACTTTTTAAAAATAAAAGTTTTATTTTCCGATTTAAAGCCCTGGTTTAAACATATTTATATTCAAAACTATTATTTATTCCTAGTAGCAAGTTTTCTATATGTATTGTGTCAATTTGATGGTATAATAATCCCATTTCCGAGTAGGAGCTTTCTTTGATTAGACCTTATAATCAAAACTCTAATGTATTATCATTTGTATTTTTAATAAATTAAAAATAGAGACTCTATAATGAAGAATTTGTGAATACAGGAGATTAAAAAAAAATGTTATTGAACTCAAGATGTCAATCCAGTGGTATCTAGATTATTCGCTATTTTTATAAATTTCAAAATATAAAACCATTGAAATTCAGTCGACTCGGAAACATTTGAAATATCGAGACTTCGAATTATCGAGAGGGAAAAAAAATTTTGAATTGTTAAGAATTTTTATTAAGAGAAGACATACTTCTGCTTTGCACTCATCGTGACAAACTAAAGATAATTAGGAAATTAAGCTGGGCTGAAAGGAGGTAAACATTACGCATAAAATGAAGAGTAAACATTGCTTGTAAAATTTTCAATTATAAAGATTGGAAGCTGCCTAGTTCAAATTATAGAACATTCTCTCTCCCTCTTGTTACAAAAAGGATTTAAATTTATCAAGTTCATCAAAATACAGCATTTTTTCAATTTAAGGAAGTTAACAGTTGAAGAGTTCGAATTATTGAGGTTTGAATAATCGAGAGTCGACTGTATTAAATTTGCTATAAAAATTTTATTTCTTTGAATTTCATAAATTATTGTTACTTAAAAGAGAAATGTTGCAACAATCATAACTCAGTTAATTTAGAAAAGATCACTGCTAAACATGCAAAGTTTTGCTGCAGATAAAATAACATTATGTGTTTATTGGAATGGTTCACTTTTCAATTGTTAACTAATACCATAAAATATAACTATTATGCTTTATTTGATGTTTGGTTATGATTAGAAAAATTCAGCAACTGTGTCTCTAAAATGCAGGTAAAGAACAAAATAACCTGCCGTTTTTCCTTGATGTGTATGTCATGGAGTGATGTGATCTTGTTTTTTTCTATCTCGATCATGCCTGAATTGGCTAAAGTTGACTGATTTACCTTTACCTGCATTTTAGAAACATCTGATTGTGTAGTTGGAGTTTTTCTAATTTAATCTGACATCTATTTTCTTTGATTAGAATGCTACCAGTGGGTAGTTTCTCAACAAACGTGTATCATGTAATAATATTTCTCTGTACAAATTTACTAGATGTATTCATACTAATACAGTTGTAAATATCATAATAAAAGTTAAAAAAAAAAAAAAAATTTTCTTGGTAAATTTTTACTCGTTTATGTTTTTATTTAGATTTATTATAAATTTTTTTGTTTTGTTCTCTAGCATTGCTAGGAGAAAGAGCACTTCTAGAACGGAGGCTGGAAGAAGCTCACGTTCATCTGACTGATATTAAAGCCTCATGGAGTGCTCAGATATCTTCTCTTGAAACACAGGTAGCAAAGGGGACTAGCAACAATGGCAATATTTTATCTTATTTAGAAAAATATTTATCTGTTTATGTTTATTAAGTATATGTTTAGTTTCAAAAACTGAGAGAATAGAATTGTTGCGTTCTGGTTAGGTTGGCAGGTTGAGCAGGCAGGCTGGCGAGGAAGGTGCTGAGAGGAGGAGAGCAGAAAGCAGAGTCGCAGAACTTGAGGCTAAGCTTGAAGAAGAGGCTAAAATGAGGGATAAAATTTCTACAAAATCTGCAAAACTGTCGGAAGAAGTTGATTCGCTTGCCTCTGAACTGAAAGGAGCCAATGCACTTATTGTAAGTCTATCTTTAATTTTACAGGTAGATATAAATAGTTTTTGTTATTCTTATTTTAAGGTTTTAGACTTTTTTTTTTTTTAACCTCTTGGAATACAATTCAAACCTGTCCTCATCAGCTTACCCTCAAAACCAACATAATGGGAACTAACATTCAAATTTCATTTTCATTTTTGAGATTCACTGGTCAATAAATCCGTGATTGATTTGTATTTTTCTTTTAGATGAGGGGAAAAAATGTTTAAATATAAAAATCATTATTTACGTACTTATGAATATGTATAAGCCTAGGTAAGTATGAGTTTTTTTGGACATGAGGGGCTGTAAAACATAGAGATCTGTTGAAAACTATACATCAAAAAGTTTGATCCAATCTCAATACTTTCCTTACGTAGCAGTGGTAGGAAAATGGAATTTAATATATTTACTTTTTTTTTTTTTTTTTTTTGAGAATATAGATTTACACAGAAAATTCTGAATTTTTTCAATTGCGTTGTTATTAATTGTGTCAGATGATTAAAAGAGACACTTGATCCTGGAGTGTGAAAAATGCTAAGTGCCTGTTTGTAAGTTAATGCTCTTTCATGTTTCGAAAATACAATTTTCATAGTATGAATTTTCCTTTCAGTAATAACTGAACAACACATATAGTCCACAGATTTTTATGCATTAGTGTAATGGATTCAATAATTCTTACTTTTTTTTTTAGACATTTTTATTATTAATCTATGATTTTTCCCCTTTGTTTTATTTTTAACTGTTATTTATGCAGCAATATTAAAAAAAAATAAAAATGTCATTATATACATCCTGTTAATTCTGACAGTTTTGGTTATTTTTTATTTTCTGTAAGTTCACAGATCAAGATTTGCTGTAGTAAATACAACATTTTTTTTTGTTAGTTTTCTTTTAGTTTGAGTAATATAGTTCAAATGGTAGTGTAAATGCTGAAATTGGTCAACTCTGAAAAAATATGCAGTTAATGTTTTATTTTATTTATAATAATAGTTTTAGTTTTTACCAAATTATTTTTAACTTGTAAATATTTTTTCTTATCAACATTATATGTGCATGTCTTCAGAACCAGTACAGAGCACGTCTGCATGAGATGCATGAAAATGAAATGAAGAACCATTAATTAGTACATTATGGGTTTTTAAATTTTTTATTTCCTGTTTAGAGTGTTAGATATAATGTAAAAGTTTTTAAAAGAGGTATCATTGATAATATTGTATTCTTTTTTTTTTTTTTTAATTATGGTGTATCATAAAATGAAGCAGTTACCCTTTCAAAGTTTTAATTATTAATTATTGAATAATCCACTTGTAATTATGTAAGAAATAAAATCTTTTGAAGTAAATTTATTGAAATTAGTATTTCCTTTAATTTTCTTTTTATTTTGTTTAATGTTGTGTATCATGTTATGTCATGCTTTTGCAAATTATGCCTGCTTTTATATTTGTTCTTAATTTATTAAATGAAATGTGGGGATACTTTCTTACTGAATTTAATATTTCTCTTGATAACATGTCTTACCATTATATTTTATTTAGGATAAAGACAAAACTACTATATCAGATCTCACCAGGAAACTTAGAGACGCTGAAGAAAGTCTCTTGAATTTAACGAATGCTAATACAAGACTCGAAGAAGTGTTAGAAATAGAGAAAACTCAGCATTCTCAGGTACTTTTTGAGCCTGTGACATATTAGAAGTTGTTTTTTTTGTTTTAAGAATTGAAAATTTTTTATTTTGTATATTAGGTATTTATGATGTAGATTTGTATTAATATTTAACATTTTTAAGGTATTTTTGAATTAGTTTTCTATGAATAAGATTTTTTTTTAAACTACTCTAAATGTTTTTTAATATTTTAAACAATAATCATTATTCATTCTGTAAAATAGTGGTGAATGTTTATCTAGGTTTAAAGCAGATCCTACATAGTCAGTGAAGAATGACAGTCTTAAGATTGATGAGAATGAGTTCTGTCACGATGTCCCCCCTACACATATCAGTCAGACTGACATTTTATTTCTGTTGACGTAATAGCAGGGAGTGTGGATTTGGCTTCTTCTTTCTTTCGATGGCACTACGGTCCTTGCAGAACTCTGTCCTCCTCCACAACTCTCTGCCATTCGTCCCTGCCCAAAGCCACTCTTTTCCACCTTTGGACTCCAGGTGTCCTCAGGTCCTCCTCCAGCCACCATAATCTGGGATGCCCCCTTCTTTGTCCTCTATCAGGGTATCTGTCCAGAAGATTCTTTGGGATATTCCGCTCCTCCATCCTCTGCAAATAGGTCAGCCACATAATCTTGTCCAGAAGTTGTCCTGAGTCCTTGACAATGATGTAACTAAGGAGGACTGCATTCCAATGCAAGCGTTTCTTCCGTACGGCCCAGAAAAATAACCAATTTTATCCTTATTCTCTATGCACAACTTAATTTTGCAACATTTTTAAAAATTATTTTTTAAGATACTAATTAGAACATAATTATGGTTACAATAAATAAAAAGTGAAAAAAACAATCTTTTTATATAATTTGGTTGAAATATCTAATTCCAAATGAATCAGATTCTTTGGCATTATTTACACTACTGGTACATGACTTAAATAAAATGGCATAAATATTTAACCATTTGAAGAAAATATGAGGGTTCAAATTGAGATTGTTAATATTTAATTAATGTTTTAAGTACTTGTTTGAACTCAAAGGTATTCTTATGTTTAGGTTACATTATTATTGAAATGCCATAGTGGAGAAGTAGCTGTAATGTATGGGAACATTGAATTAGACTGCAAAGAGAGAAATTAAAATTTGAGATCGGTCTTTATTTAATGGAACACCTGGATAACAATTGATCTTTAATGATGGCTTTTCCAAGCCTACATTTTTTCTCTCAGCTGTCTTGACTTTTTGGCCATATGGAATTTTCCCTGAGCCAGAGAGAGAGAGCAGGGGGCCAGAATTTATCATTTACAACTGCATTAGCCCTCTTGGCCACCCCAACCCTTTCCCAAGACTATTTTGCATAATATTGCTTTTTTTCTGTTTTTGCCAAACGTGAGAATACTTTGACTTTGAGGCCATTGTTAATATTTCTGTTTGATGAATATCAGTACTGACCAATATTTGCTGGTAGCTGAAGATGGCAAGAGTTGGTTAGTTCCTTGTTATTCAGACTGTTACAACGGTTTACAACTGTATAAATATAATACAAATACATTTCCCTTAGATACACTGATCTAATGGAAAATCTACAAATGGGAGCGGAAATGAAAAAAATCTGCAAGATGAGGAAAAAGAAATAGGAAAACTGTTGGAATATTTAAAAGAAAGACATTTTTGTCACAGAATATGAAATTGAGACTATAAGCCAATGCCCCTTAGGGATAGAGACTAAATAAATTAATCTGGTATAAAAATATATTATACATAAAATGTATAAATTCTTCGAAGAATATTTGGAGGAGTACAGATTGATGGAAATTGGAGAAGATGGACAAATACCGAAATTTGCTCAACCTTTAATGATCAAGATGTCGTTCTGAGGATGAATCTTGGAAGATTGGGATGGGCTGGCCATGTGGCAAGGATGGAGAATGAAGCAATCCCTAAGATAATCCTGACAGAACCTCTCTACGGCACAAGAAGAAGAGGTAGACCAAAACTAAGATGGGCAGACTGTATGGCAAGAGATTCAAGAAATGTCCTGGAAGTCAGGAGCTGCCGAACGCCAGGATGATGGCCGCACAGAACAGAGATGACAGGAGGAGGCCAAGGCTCGTCACCGAGTTGTAGCACCATGATAATAATAATAAAAATATAAAACATAATAGTAACTTGTGAAGAAACTACCCATTGGCAGCACTTCATACAAATGTTTTTGTTTTTTTTATTAAACGCCTCTGACGTTGGCTATTAGGCCATTTGGCTTGTGGCAGCCCAATACAACTCCGCCATGATTCCTTTGTTAAATGAGCAATATTGTCGCCACAAAGACAGTTCAACAACATAGAATCCATACAAATAGTGACAAATCTATTAGATTAAAAAACTGCTGCAAACTATCACACAATGGTTTATTATGTCTAAATAATTACATAGCATAAATATCTGTATAGTAAATATTATATAAACATTGTTTTTGTTGTTTTTTTTGGTATCTTCACTAATACTGGTTAAACTAGTATGTTTTTTTTTTTTGTTTTTTTTTGTAATTATAAACTTTGTATACAGTTAAATTATTTTTCTATTGAGCTTCTAAAAGATCTAATTTTTTTTAATTATCTATCACAAACCTTAAGATCATTTGTCAAAATAAAAAAGCAAATAAATTTCTTCAGATGAAATAAACTGAAATATTCAGCAAGTGTTGATAATGAGGATACAGCCCCAAACCTTGGCTAATAAGTATAAAGTTCTATTAGGAGATCTTATTTTTGCTACTTTCAGAGAATTTTTTTTTGGTCACCAATGCAGTGTGAGGCCTATGCTGACTTTACTCCACCAATTTCAACTTGTGAATACTGGTTTTTCTTAAGACAGAATTTGTATGCTTTCAGGAAGAAAATGTCAAAACCGCTATTTCCAAAAAAAAATATCAAAAATTTTTCTTACACCCCCATTATTTTAATTAAAAACTGTGATACAATACTAATTTTCACACTACATGGATTTATATAATAAAATGAAATGAAATAATTTTAAAACTAGTGTTTTTTTTAAGGTTCAAAATGAATTAGTTACAATTAAGCAGAAATATGAGCAAGAACTTCACGATAATGTGCGATTATTAGATGCAGCCAAAGAGGAATTGAAAAATCACAAAACGAAATGTGATAAATTATCAAAAGAGATTGCAGATTTACAAGAAAATGATAAAAAATCAGCTGAAGAAGGTATGTTTTATTTCTAATAATAATTTTACTTTTTTTAAATCTTCCTCTGTATTTAATCATGATAATTTAGTTCTTTCAAAGTGAATTCTAATATTTAAGTTTTAGTGGAAATTCTATCTTTTATGTTTGTTGAAATTAAGCATATGTAAACTTTCAATCAATGAATTGCATAATTGTGATTGGAAACACCAAAAAATAAATATTAATTGACCCAGATGGGAATTGATCCCACAATGTTTTGAACCGTCCCATCTAGCTCGGCCATCACATCCTCATTTTTTGTGAGTCTATTTGATTCAGGGATATAAGATGTACTTACTTAAATTATATTAGTTTTTATTTGTGAGGTTTTAAGTCCTTTCTCCCTCTTATTATAAAACTTAACTGATTATAGAAGGAAATTGTTTAATGTAAAAAGAATCATTTCCAGCCAGTTTCAATCTTCCATTAACTTTTCTTTGATAATGTATTTTTAATTGATTGGCCAAATACCTTATTTCCTTGATTAAATTTTCTTTTTCAGTCTTACATTTGCAGTCAAAGTTGGAAGCTTTGTCTCAGGAATCAACTGAAATTCATAAAAGGTTTGAGGAGATGAAAAGAGAAGCCGAAAAGGAAAAAGCCTTAAAAGAAGACGCCCTTTTAAGAAATGCTCAGGTTTCTCAAGAGATGGATATAGCTAAGGCCGAACTGAGGCATCAGGCTTCCGAACATGAAGAATTATTTAAGAAAGTTTCCTCTCTTGAATCTGCTGTTTTGGAAAAAGAACAAGTAATTTTTTTTAAATTACTATTATATTTATATAGTGGATTCTCAATAATCTGAATTATATGAGACTGGATCTCCCTTGGATTTTTATAAACTTGCATTATCGAAATAATGTCAGGAAACAAAATAGATTGATAAATGAAATTATTTTAGCATGTATTCATATATATAATTTTAAAACTTATGGACATAGATTAATTCAAATCTTATATATAAATATGATCTATTTTCTTTTACTTTTGTCATGCTCATCTTCTGTTTCCTGCTCACATACTGTATTTCTTGAAAAAAGATCATCTGGTGGTTTGATTTGATCATGCTCTTTTGATTGATTTATCAAAACTAAACAACATGACGACCCTTAAAATTGAAACAAATATTGAGATTGAGGATTATTATTCACTTCTATCGAAATTCCATTCATAAAATTACATTTTATGGTCGTAATACGTCTATTTAGGATATGAAAAGATTTTTGGATAAGGATAGGAAAGAGGCAAGGCGAATTTTAGATGGCAGAGGACTTCCAGAAGCCAGTAGAACATGGAAGAAAGGAACTTTCAAAGGTTTTAGTTGTGTGTGAAGGGTCAGAAACATGGAATCTTGTTTTCTGTGACTGAACTAAAGGTTTGAAATGTAGGAGAATGTAGATGTAGTAGTCCATGGTACCGACCCCTTTTTATCAAATTATTTACATCCACCTTAAACTTCATGAATAGACTCATCGTAAACTACAGTTTTTTTTATTTATTAAAAAAGTTCTCAGAATTGAATCGTTTTCAATCCAGACATTAGTAAAATTTGTTTATTTAATTAGGTACTAAAAACTCATGAACCACCCACTTGCTTTCCACTTGAATCGTTAGATAATTTGATCAGAAAATTGGGAATAAACGTGGCTTACAAAAATATTGGACCGTTTGGCATTACCTCCACCTTCAACATGTCAAAATGACGAGACCAACAGCACAATATTTTTGTAGGCCACCTTTTTTATCGATTTTGTGATCAAATTATCTTGTGATTCAAGTGGAAAGCACATGGGTATTTATGAGTATTTTGTACCTAATTATAGTAATTAATTTAATGAGAAAATGCCCCATTTATGAAAATTTTCATGGATATAAAATTTATAGCTTAAAATAAGATGAAGCCAGGCACGAAGCTTTCAGCAGACGTTAATAATTTTATTAAAAAAGTGGTTTGTGCCACGGGCTAAAGGGAAGACAATTATTTGGTGTAGGCTGGAACTAAAAAAGCATTATCAGCAGCAGGAGAGGAAAAGCCACTTTAACTTTATTTATTTATAAATAACACTTTTTTTCTGTATTTTGTTATTTTTTTGCCACCATGTTTTGTTTGGTCGTTATCTTGTTTTTCCTCAGTTCTTACTAACTCCTGGATTTTGGCACACAAGGAAATATTTTTTCACTTATTTTTTCTACTTTTCCTTACCTTTTTGGCTATATGGTTTTTTTTCCCAAGCACCAGAATTTGAACTCCCAATCTTCAGTTTATCAAGATTAGGGGCACCCCAATATATTATTTTTTTCATTGTGACTGCCACCCCTAACCAGCTTCCCAACCCTTTTATATTATTATAGCCAAGCTTTGAGATAATTAGTAAATTAGGTTACCCATTCTAGGCTTGTTTCTTTTAGTTCACATGTTTACTCATTAGGAAATTATCTAGGAAGGAAAAATAGAAAATCATATTAATGGAATATTAATAGTTATACATATAGAAATCCAAAAGAATATTGTTTAGTACCCAAATCTTTGCCACCTTCAATTCTTACTATGGCATTGTAGAGTTTCAAAAATAATAATTTTCAAATTAACTTTGTTATTGTGCTTTTGCATCACTTTTTCTTTTGAAAAAAATTTAAATATCTGATTTTTCCAGCTGGAATTGTTGCGATTTCATATTTCAAAGAACTTATAACTTACCATATTCATGTAAGTTTCATTCTTACTGTCTCAAATTCTACTCCGTCAACAGTAGTGAGGCCGGTAGGTGAAATAAGTCCTCAGACTGTCCTATCCCCATAAAACATAATGTAAAGAACCTCAAATCATAATAATATAATTATAAATTCCAATGAATTCTATGTCTAATGTTACCTTGCCGTTTCCACTGTGAAATTTGTTCCAAAGCTATGAATTTTTTTGCAATAGATACAACCGATTGGATTTTGAGTTTATTTGTGTGGAAAACTAAATAAATGAGGATCTGGCCACATACCCCCTCTGATTACTTCCTAAACAGAACTGTTTTTGTTCAAACATGTGTTCAATGACTGTAAACGTCTATTCACCTGAAACCATTCATGGATAAGAAATTGATTTGATGATTCCTTTCTTTCTTTTCAATACAGAATAATCTTATATTAAATCTTATTAAAAATATCTTTCTACTTCAGTGATTTGATTGCTCAATTCAAAAATGTACATATTGTTATCTTTTTATCTTGCAATTTAGATAGTGGCTATTAATTGTACTATCCAGTTCTTTATATTATCTATCATTCATTATTATTTGTTTGTTTTTTAATATATTTGTAAAATAAAGCTCCTTTTAAAATGTTTACTTTTATCTGTAAATGGATTTCGTGTTTGTATTAGTTTGCATTTTTTTAAGTCTACACTTTTTTTTAGATTTTTTCTGTTAGGTGTACTTAATACAATTTTCAGATACTAGATCAATTCAAGGGCTTTGAGTTAGAATTAAAAAAGCCAAGTTATGTGAATTTTTTTAGTGGCTTATAATCTTCATCGAAAATGGTATAAATCTCTTTGGAGCAATAACATTATTTGTTACGTAATCCTTCTATAAGTTTGTATATACACAGACACCATATACAAGTCTATAGAAGTAAAAAGTAGCATTTGGCACAAATAACTCATTTTCTTCAAAATTGCAGCTTACCACTTCCTTGACCCTAACTTTTCAATTGTAAATTCAATTTGACCAGAATGCATCTTCTTGCAAACTGCATATTATAGTATTTATTGACTTCAAACATTTTAAATTAAATACTCAGTGTATTTGTTAATCGTTTCAAAAAAACTTTTATCAAATGTTTTATTATGCTGCTGTACCTAAAAATACATATAAATGTGTTTTTAGGAATTGAAGAAAGCCAAAGAAGACTATGCCCAATTATTAAGTGATATGTCAGCTTTGCAAACTGAAGCCGAGACCAAACAGGCAGCCGTTGAGGTTGAGGAAAGTTTAAGAGAAAAAATTGCCAATCTTGAACAGCAAGTTGCAGAAAGGAACAAGGTATTGTTACTGAAATGAAATTTTATTTTTTATGATAATGAAAATTTTCTCCAAACATAACCAATCTTTTATTTGTAAATCAGACAATGTTTCAGGCTTACTATGCAATTTTCAAATTAACATATATATATATATATATATATATATATATATATATATATATATATATATAATAACATATTAAAATTTAAAAATGAGAAAATTGTATTTTAACTTTTATAATATTATTATAAGATACGTATAATAAAACTTCTCTTTAGAGGACAAATTTATATTTCCCATCAATTTGCAGTCATTTTACGGTATTAAAGACTTATGCATAACGAATGGACCTAGATAGGCTTAATGCAAGGATTTTGATATAAACGCTTTTTCACAATGGACAGGGAGAAGCCAGTTAGACACATATTCTGGAAATTTTAATTATACTTATCATAGAGTTCGTCTAAGATAAGTTTGCCAGTGGGTACAGGGGGGAAGAGGCAAAACTATTTCACCCCCACTCTTTTGTCTTCACTCATTACTCACTTCTACGCACTCATACATACTTATACAATTTTTTTACTAGTTTAAATTTCTTTCACAATTTTTTTTCCATTTTTTTAATGAAATAAGTCTTTAAAAGAAAATCAAATATCGAAAAACACGTTCTCCGTATGAGGTGATTGCTAGGGTAACAAAGGGAGTAGGAACTAGAGAGGGAAAAGGTTGCATGAGCTCCCTTTCACTACAGGCAAACTTATTTTAGATGAACTATACTTTTTGGTCAGTTATGAAATACGGGAGTACAGTTTGTTTTCTATTTTTAATATTTTGTTCTTATTTCTTCTACAAAGATTATTGACAAAATATCAGCTCACATCCGTTCAACTTGAAAAGAAAAAAAATTATGTGATTTATGTGAAGGCACTTAAAAAATTCACTATAAGCAAATAATTAGCTTGATATACTATTAGGAAAAACATAAGTGTGTGATATTTTAAAGAAAAATCGGTACTTGCCCATTAGCCGGGCGGGGCGGACTGCTATCTGCCAATGTTTATAACCTGAACTCTGATAATTCTGATAAAGTACTGATAAGCCTTCTCGTAGTTCCTATTTTCATATTCATATTTATTGTAATATATTGGTATTATTGAAATTGTAAACAAGAACAAAAAAAAATGTAATATATATACATATTACAAGTGCTACAAAAGCATCTCTATTTCGCGTCCCCGTCTAACTTCATTTGATGACCTTGTTCACAGAATTTTGCAATTATCCCAACGTTTTGAAAATATTCAATAGCCTTTTCTTCCAAAGATGGTAATTCCCAGAATGTAACAAGTCCATAATTTGAGGAAAATAACACAAAAGGGCCAAAAATAAAGAACTTAATAACTGAATGTAGTAAGTGAATAACTGAAAGGTTTAGCGGGATAAGAAGAGGGATGTTATGTGACGTAACGTTAGATAACATAGATATCAAGGGAGTTTTCGTCCCGCCCGGCTAACGGACAAGTACCGAAAAATAAAACAAAGTCTTAAAATTTCAAATCAAGACATAAAGGTCAAGTAAACTTTTAGTATATACATCATATTCACATATTTACAATCAATAATATTTTAAAAGTTAAATTTTTAGTTGTGCTGGCTTCCTTCCAAACTACCTATATTTTTAAATAGGCAATAGGTGAATTAAGGATAAACAAAATATTTAAAAATAAAAATAAAGTGTAAGGATATATTTTTTTTATTTTATTTTTTATGTTTCAATTTGTCTTGTAGAACATCAGAGTGCTTCATCAAAAGCTGAGTGATATGAAGAAAACATTGCAAAGAGAACTCAAATCATCAGATTTGGGGGGTGGTGACCAGCCGATGATAATGAATAATCACAATTCGGGTTACTTTAGCGGTAATCAGTATAACAGCAACCATCCGACACCTTTCAGCGGGCCAGGACCTAACGGAGACGACGAAGTAAACTTCCTTTATTTAAAGCATGTCATCATGAAGTTTCTCACCAGTCGAGAATATGAGGTAGTGGTACCCTGTGATTTTGAACTGATACAGTTATTTTTTTCTTAACTTTTTAAATCCTGTATTATACCACAGCTTATTTATTTAAGAATATTGAACTGTTGAAGAGACTAAATAGAGAAGTTATCGGTTCCCTTAACTAAATAAGCTGGAAAAATTATTTTACATAATATATGTTTTAGGAATCATTAAGAACAATAAAGTGTTTTTAAAACTTATAGCTCTGTCATTGTCAGAACTTATGTTACCTATGAAAAGTTAGGGCTTTTTGGGATTTAGTTCAGAGTTGAAAAAAAAACTCTGGGTTGGAGGTTTCATTCAATAAATCCATTTTACCCTTATCTAGGTTATAAATCAGAGAAATTGGAACCTATTTTGACTGATATTAAGTTGAAACTTAATTTCGAGAAGTTCTGAGATATTGAGTTTTAGCTCCTTTGATTTAACTAGTTTAAATAGAAATAGAAATAGAAATAGAAAAATCATCTTTATTCTGGGACTAGGTCCCTTTAGAATAACAGTATTGTTCATATATATTAACTACAAATCTGGTCAAAAGACTTATTACAATGAATAATGACAAAATACATGTAATACATTAAGTATTAATTAAGCTCTTAGTATAAATTAACGAGGACAGTTGGGTAATAGGGGTTCAGGACTACAATATTGGAGCTAAAATAATTGCATAATAATCACTGAATGAAATTAGAAAGGAAAGTAAAATCTATTTTATAGGTAAAGCATTGTAGTGATGGAACATAAAAATTTTAAAAAATAATAATAACTGTTAATATGTAGGGAAAGAAATTGTAAAAACTAAAACAAAAAAATATATAAAAAAACAAATAATGATATACATATGTTCCCTAAGATATTTAAGTGATTATGCGTAAAGATTAGGAGAAGAGAAAACAAAATAAAGTATATATATACACATAGCGAGAAGTATGTTGAAGATAATTAGAAATAAAATACATTTCACTGAAATACATTCCATGAATAACAAATTATAACTTAAGGAAAACAAATTTTATCTACTCACAATGCTTAGTGAGTGGTGATGAAAATTCACGTTCAACACAGAATAAAACAATAAAAAATAAGAGAAAAAAAATAATGTCTAAAGAAAATTAAATCCTTATAGCATAGTATGTATTTAACCAGCGTCTGATTGGATTGTGAAGAGGAATTGGAATAAGAGGGTTTTAAAGGTGGATAAGGATGATGCATGGCGGATTTTTAGTGGGATGGAATTCCAGAATGCAGTGCAACGGACAACGAAGGAATGTTTAAATGATGCAGATCTGTGGAAAGGAGTGTAAAGGTCAGAAAGATGAGATCTTGTGGAGAGGGTGTGGATAGATGATTTGAATTGTAGGAGATTGTATGCGTAGGACGGATGATGACTATTGATTATTTGGTAAAGGAATGTGCCTAGGAAATATTGTCTTCGGAAGGAAGGGAAGAGCCATCCTAATTCAGCATAGTGGTGCGAAACACGGGAATACCTCAGGGCCCCTGTGACAAATCTTACGAAGGCATTCATAATTCTTTTCAGTCTCTCCCCGAGTTCTGCCGAGAGGCCACCGTACACCACGCAGCCGTAATCAAGGTGGGGGAAGATGAGGGAAGTTACTAGGAGTCTACGTGTGGAGATGGCGGAAGCGATGGAATAGTTTCAAGGTACCAATTGACTGTCGGGTAATGTGAGCAATATGGTGTTTCCAGGATAGGGTTTGGTCTATGAAAATGCCTAGGTTTTTTACTGAGGAGGTGAAGGTAATGGGATGGTCATTTAGGTACAGTATAGGTATTGGCTCTGAGAAGGGGTTTGGAACCAATGACAATGGCTTGAGTTTTTGCAGTGTTTAACCTTAACCCATTTAAGTTTGCCCAGGCACTGATCCGATTCAAGTCTTCTTGAATTTTGGCAAACGCTTCATGAAACTCTGAGGGATGGAAGGAAAGGTAGATTTGGGAGTCATCGGCATAAAGGTGATGGGAGCAGTGAAGGATTGAATTATGGATGTCATTGATATAAGAACTAAAAAGGAGGGAAGATATGCTAGAGCTCTGGGCCACTCCTGCAGACAAAGTAAGATAGGAAGACAAAGGTTGATTAGGAATAGCGACAGCTTGTGAGCGTTAAGAGAGGAATGATTGAAACCATAGGATAGAACTATGGGAAAAGGATAATGATTTTAATTTGGAAAAGAGAATGGAATGGTTGATGGAATCAAAGGCTTTGGAAAAGTCAATGAGTATAAGGACAGTTAGTTTTTTGTCATCAATGGCGGACTGAACATCATTAATGATTTTGATTAGGGCGGATTGTGTGGAATAACCTGGTCGGAAACCAGATTGGTAAAGGTCAAGTTGATTGGACTGTTCAAGGAAGGTGGAAACTTGGGATTGCACAATTCTCTCCAGGGGTTTGGAAAGGTTAGAAAGGATTGAGATTGGCTGGAAATCTTCAGGGAAGACGGATTATAATTTTTATTTAAAGGACGGACTGTGGCTTTTTTCCACTAGGAAGGGAATACTGAATTTTGAAGGAAAAAATTGTAGATGAAAAGGAGTACCGGAAGGATTTCAGGGAGGCATAATTTAATTAATCTGACGGGAATGCCATCTGGACCAATAGAATTAGAGTGTGATTTGATCACGGCGAATATGAGATCTGTGGGAGAAATATCTGAAAAATAAAAATCGGCGTCATTGAAAGATGTTCCAGGAGGAAAAAAGGAAGGGAGAAATGAAGGAGTTGAAGAGGAAGCAGATATAAAATAAGAATTTAAGTCATTTGATGAAACTGGGGGCACTGCAGAGGGAGGAGATCTGGTAGGATCACAAAGAGAGAGTTTACGAAGGAGTAGCCATTTGGATTGGAGCTGAGGAAAGGGCTTCATGGAAATAGGTAGATTTGGCTCGTCGGATTGTGGTTTGTGTCAGGTTGCAGAGCGCCCTGAACGCTTGATAGTCGTCAGGCAATCTAGTGCGTCCAAAGCGTCTCCGGGCTGCATCACGCCTCTTCTGAAGATCCTTAATTTTCTGACACATCCAGGGAGCAGGAAGGCGACGAAAGGTGGAGGTTTTGAGAGGGGCATGGTCATCAAGAATATTAATAAGATTGGAGGTGAGAATGTCAACCATGGAATCAATTGAGGTACAGGAATATATTATATTCCAATCTAGGGATTCTAGGGAAGGTAAGATTTTTTCCCGAGTAAGGCCATTAAGGTTCCGGAAAGTTACCGTTCTCGGTAGGATCGGAGGGGTTTGGATATTATAGGATATTTGGATTAGGTCATGCGACGATAAAAAAGAAACTGGTAATTGGGAAGAGGAAAGGAGGTTTTGAGCAGAATCAATAATGTACAGGTCCAACCAAATGGCGGACCTTGCGGTGTGATGCGTAGCAGAAAAAGGAACGATAAAAAAATGAAGGGAGAAAAAAAGGTTTTCTAGGTATGATTTGTCGCTGGAGTCGGAGAGGAAATTGGTGTTTAAGTCACCGGAAATGATAATTTTGGAATAAAGGGGCACAAAGTTAAAGAGGGAAGCTTCGAAAGACGGGTCAAACGGAACAAGAGGAGGACGATATACCACGGAATAGAGGAGATGAGAGGTGTTACAGGAGATTTCGATGATCAAGAACTCGACTTGTGGCTGATCGGTTGGAGAAGAACGATGGAGAATTCGGGTCTTTAGGCTGGTATGAACGTACAGAGCTACACCTCCGCCAGTCCGGCTGTCCCGGTCGTGGCAGATTAGGTTGTAGTTAGGAAGGGAGACTGAAGAGGAGGGGATGTAGGGCTTGAGCCAGGTTTCGGAAATTGCGATGATGTGGTAAAAGTTTTGGGTAAAATATTCTAGGAATTCATCGTAATGGGCTGGAAGGGATTGGGAGTTGACGTGGCAGGAAGTTAGGACACTAGACATGAGTAGGATTTCGGAGAGGACATTCGGTATTTGATGGAAAGACGCTGAAAAAGATTAAATACATTAGATGACGTGAAGAAAAAATAAAATAAAATAAGTAAAAAAAAGTATATAAATAATAAGTTATGAAAAAAAAATAAAATATCAAATTTGATATAAATAAGAGAAAATATTATATCTTAGTTTTTGCCTAATTGATCACTGTGCTATAGACATTGGTTAGGTTTTAAACAAATTTTTATTATTTGATTTTAATTAAATTGATAGAAAGGAAGAATATGTCCAGCCACCCAGATATAATAATATAATTATATTATGATATAATTATAATTAATATGAAATGGAAAAGGAAGTACATTATAACATACAATGAAAATATTAGAAATAAAAGGCTCAAATTGTTGGGGCTTATATGAAGTTAGACAAGTTGAATATATATTTTGGTTTCAAATTGTAAATATGAATTATTATAATTATTTAATAATATAAATTGGCAATCATGCACGATGTATAATATAGATTTTTAAAGAAATTAAAAGTTTGTTCGAATTATGGTTTCGTTCAGTTTATTTTATGTTAATAAAAAATAATGCACTCTTAACTACAGAACACATGTGAATTAAAGTTATAAAATTTGAGTAATGAGTAGCAATTAAACGAATAGTTGTATGATTTATAAAATGGTAATTGTTTGGGGGACTCCCCTAGTAAATATAGTGGATCAAAAAAATATTGGCACACAACTTTTTTCAGGTCTCATTGTAAAAGAATCCGAAATTGATTTGCTAAACATTATTATTTTATATGAGATTTAGAAAAATACATCATTGGGGGAAAAAAACAAAAAATCACTTCAGCACGGTCAAAAAAGTATTGGCACACTTTAATTTAAGGTTTAATTCACAAACTTGAAATTTATTAATATTTTGTCATCATACCATTGGCATCTATGACATCCTGGAATCTTCTTGGTATCGACAAAACAAAATTTTGAGTTAAGTCCTGTCCAATTTTAAACCATTCCTCTGAAAAAGTTACTTTTAAATCATTTTTTAAGAAATTTTATTTTTCTTACTTTCAAATCCAACAGGTATCATCGGTATTCTATGGCATTTAGGTCCAGAGACTGTGGTGGCATTTTCAATTAGCTGGGGATATTTTACACCATCCATTCTTTTATTTATTTACTGTGTGCTTGGCATTATTGTCCTGTTGGAAGATAAATGCATCTTTGATTCTCAGATTTTTGGCTATACTTGTTAAATTATGTCACAAAATGTTGACATATTGTTCGGCATTCATAATATTATCAATAAAGGTTAAGTTTCCAATGCCATTCCATGACATGCCCTCCTAAACCTGGACACTTCCACCTCAATGTTTTACAGGAGGTCTCACATGATTGAATTTGAAACCTACTGTCAAGGTTTCACTAAACGAACTTGTACCCATTAGAATGCAATATGTTAAACTTAGTTTCATCTGAAAAGATAAAATTTTCTAGAATTCTTGGTCTTTATTAAATTAACTTTTGGCAAACTCAAGTCTTTTTTTACTTTGCAGTTCACCTCTCTAATAAAAGTTTTTTTTTCCTTGGAACCTGCCATAACAATTGTATATATGAATTATATTTCTAACAGAAGGTGGTATTTCAAGTAGGTGTGACCTTATCTACTATCTGGGTGGCTGATAAAGTGCGATTTTGCTCAACAATTTGATGGAATTACCTATGTGCTCCCCCATTTAATTTTGGTAGCCATTCTGAATGGGGTTTATTTAAAACTTTCTAAACTTTTGTGCAATATTCTGAACATTACTAAAACCCATTTCTAATTTATTCGGTATTTGTCATTAGCTAAGTCCATTAAAATGTAATTTAATGATGGTTTTTTTACACTGACACATTATTGACTGGTTTACCCATGTTGTTATGGCAAATATACATTAAAGACTGATTTTTATTGCTGTCATTGTATTATCGTCTATCTTTGTTTGTAATCTCTTGAAAGAAAAAGTATTGATTTGTTTTGACTGGTGCTAATAGTAAACATTAAATACTGTGCCAGTACTTTTTTGACCCTCAAAATTTACTCTTTATTTTTACTTTAAACATAGCTTTTGAATTCTGAACATGCATTGCTTCTAAAATTAATACTCAAAGACCACTTTGTTATATAAACACGTTGATATTTCTGTAAAATATCATTATCCTATTGAGATTTGCATAAAAATTGGAGTGTACCAATACTTTTTTGATCCACTGTATATATATATATATATATAAAGGTATGTAAATAAGAGAAGAAAAACGATGGAATATATTCATGAAATAATGGTAATATAAACAGAACAGTAATACAAAGATAATACGCTAAGAAAATATTTTTATGTTGTAAATAAATACCAAAAAAATAAGTATATAAAAAGTAAAAATTTAATAATTATTGTCAATAAAACAATGAAATAAATAAGAAATGTGCAAAAATCAGCAAAGAATAACAGTTTTTTTTTTAATCATGATGATAACCCACATACTTGGGTTGAAACTTTGGAAAACACTATCAATGACTGCATTTCCTGACTATTTTTCATTCTTATAGTGTTAATAATCAAATATATCTCCATCTCTAGCTTAATATAATGTGCATTAATTTATTTATGGTATTTTAATTTGATTTCAAATGTTTTGTTTCTTCAGGCGCAGCACCTGACTCGAGCGGTTGCTACCTTGCTGAAGCTGAGCCCAGAGGAGGAATGCTTATTAAAAGACACTTTAGATTGGAAAATGTCTTGGTTTGGTTCTAAACCTAGATTGCAGGACTATTCGCATAGCTGATATTCTGCCTACCTTTAGTGGGTAATGATGTAATTTAGTGCAGGCTTTAAATTGTCGGACTTCTTAAAAAAGTTTACACTTGATCTAATATTGGTAGGTTGAGTAAAAGCTATTTTAATTTTTCTTTTTTTAGCTGAATCACTCATCATTTATTGGTTGTTATTATTATTTTTTAAACTATCATTAAACTAAAGCCTTATTATGATTCTAATCAAATTATTGGATCAAAATAACCAATAATCCATGATGTATATATGTATATTATAAATGGAAATTATTTTCTTTGAAAGCTTTTTATTTTTATTTTTTTTTATTATAGAAAAGAAAAAAGAAATGCATAAATGTTATAATGGTACTTAAGTGTATTAAAAATCCTTTTTCATGCATTCATCCCTATTTTATTCTTGTAAGATTAAGATCTCTGATGTTAAAAATTAATTTTTTTTCTCTTTGGATTACAAATAAATGAAAGAAAAATAAATAAAGAATATGATATCCGAACGGAAACAGCACATTTAATTTATGTTCAATGATACAATGTTTTTTCTAATAATTAATTATGGTAAAACTTTAAAATATCTGGCTGCTATTTTTAACACAAAACTGGTGAATCTAAAATTTATATGGGTTGTCAGCTGCTATCAATATACAGTATTTTATTAAGATGAAACTTAATTCTTTAACTTCTTCGAAAATTCTCAGAATCCTGATTTACACTTTAGAGCTGTGATAAAGTGTAAATAATCTTTTAATATTCGGTCACTAGATCCTTGTCTGTAGAGGAGGGACTTATACATATCGACTTTCTTGGTTAAGACTCTGTTATTTGGCTTTTATAATTATTTAAGAGCTTTTATAACCCATGTTAGGTGTACTATATGTAAACCTAAAAATAAAGAGGAACAGCTTTGTTATTATTATAAAGGATATCTGGAAATTTTCAGGTTTTATGTTAGTGTGCATGTTAGGAATCTCAAAACAATCTCCTATTACTCGATTACATTGGGCAAAATGGAAGTATCATCAGCACTATAATCAGCACTAACCAAAATTTTTTTCTAGGACGAACAGTTAGATATATGCGGTTGCCTTTTAATCCCTCTTTATATATTTCGATAGTAAAGTGAATGTATTAAATTTTGAAACTGCTTTTGTATTAACCCAGGTAAGAATTATTTATATTTACAACTTTCTACTCTGATCTATTTGTTTCTCGATACATCAACATGTTCCTGACTTACTTTATGAAAGTGCTTTGATGGTGAAGTAGGTTGGGGAACAATAGCTGGGTACATCTTGTTTGTGTAGGGTTGAACGTGATGTATTAAATTTTTTAGTTTTAAATATCATGCCACTATCCACTTCTTTTAAATTTAATTATTCGGTTTATAGGTCAATAGATCAACACAGTTTAATTTTCCTTTTTTTAGTTTACCACAATCATACCAATATCGATAATGCTACATTCAAAATTTAAATGTTTACTCTTATTACATTTTTTTACAGAAACTGATGTTTCATGTAAAGAGTCCAGTCAAAACTGAATATAACATGTTAGAAATTACCAAACATGTTTTACTTCATATTTGTACAAAGAATAAGCTTGATATGTTATTAATGAGAATGTCTTTTGCTAGTGGTTGGAAATTTCGTCAGTTTGTATTTCATAGTTTTGCCATAGTTTTTTATTGTATATGAAACTTTTATAATAATAAAAGATTCATAGATACAAATATTTAATTTTGTGTTATGTAGCCAGAGGTTCCATTTTATTAGCTGGAAAAATAATAAACTGAAACCAGTGAACTGATATTCCTTGGACCTCAACTTGCCAAAGGGGGTGAGTGTGCAAAAATTAATTTTTTAAGTGTTAACAACAATGTAATGAATTAGCTTAGCTTTTGAAGTATTCAAAAATTGTTGGCCTAGATTTGAATACTACATAAATGTTATTTTATTTTATCCATTAAAATGATTATAAATGATGGATTTATTATTAATAAATAATGATATTTTATCGGTTTAAAGACATTTTAAATTATATATCTTCTATTACCATCTTAAAAAATGAAAATTAAAAAAAAAAAGGTAATAGTTTGGTAGCAATAATAAAATATTTTAAAAGTATATAAATGTAATTATTTATGAAGGAAAACAATAATGTAAGTTTCATTATATCTTGTTCCTAAAAAATATGTTTATTTTTCCCATTCTTCAAAATAACCTGCCAATATGTTCCCACGACCTCCTCCTCATAGAAAAACAAAATTATCAACATAATATATTTTAATATTAGAATATTATTGTCATATATCTGATATATACTAACTTACCTAAAAATATTTTATATGGTTGTACTGCTAATTATGAATTTATTACTTTTTATAATATATAATAGTATTGTTTAACAGAGAATATGATGGTATTAAATTTTTAGTGTGTTGGTATGCCTGTGCGATAAGTATAATCATATTTGTATATGTGATTTTAATAATAAAGTTTGTTAATATTGATTGATTTGATATAAATTATCTAGGAAATATGTTAACTTTTTATTAACTTATTATGAAATTAATTACTACTTGTTACGTTATGCTTTAAGAAGTTTTCTTTTTGTTTTTATATATGTGTACTATATTGATAATTATATGTGTATATATATTCTATTATTTAATAACAACTATCTTTAGGTGTTTTTCCCATCTATTTACTTATAGCGTTTGTTGAAAACAAATAAGTGCTCATTACATGTGAAAAGCTTTGGGGAGTTGTAACAAAGTCGTTGTATATGTTAATTATTTGTATTGTAATTTATCTGAAATAGTGCCTCTAAATTAAAGTTGTAAGATTTGGCTGTATCTGACTAGTCATGGTAAATATTTGTTATTTACTTTTTATTTTCTGCTTAATTTATTGATTATTTTTATTTATTTCAAGTATTATGTGTTATTATGGTGAATTATTTTGTCATTTTTAACATCACTTCATTGCTTTTTTAATTAAAAATGGTTATTTATTCTTTGTTTTTATTTTGTTAAGTTTATCGATTTTCTCAAAACAAATCATTTTGAAAATGTAATAAATGGCTATAAATATACAAATTACTACAATTTTAATGAAAGTTTGCATGTTTTTGAGGAATTGCATCATTGATATTTAAGAAAATAATTTTCCTTTTATTTGCCTTGTTTGCATTTGCTTCATGCTTGTTAGCAGTATTCTGTCTTGTATTAACATGTGTGGTATGTATATACTGAAAATGACTCAAATATTTGTTAATCAATATTATTGCATAATGAAAATTTGTATTTATCAGGATGGAAATGTATTCACAAAGACTGCTTCAGGCAACTAAAGATGTATAAAGCCAACAGGAAAAAAAAAGTTATAATACATAAAAATGAAAAAAGAAAATTCTAGTGGGTATTAGGATACCTCCTTACATTGTCTCACTGAAAGGACTAAGCTGTACATATATGTCTTTCTAAATTTGGCAAAACCATCTTACTGATAGTTTTTTTAATCTGCTCTTTTAATTGCCAAAATCAGCTATCACATATTTGAATTCAAAAAACATATTAAAATTGAGAAATCTTGCATTCCTGACTAAATTTCGACAATACTATTTCACTGAAATTTGAGATTGGTATATACCCTGTTATTGCCTACCATATTTCACAGACGTTATATTGTTAATAAACATATAATCCTGACCATAGTTTTTCCAAGAACGCTGTTAGATCAAAATTTATGCCTCTATGAATACTTTTACTGTCATTCATGGGACTGATAACAAAATATAGTAAAAATTTGCTGGAGACTATATTATCAATAAATATATGTATTCTTTGTATAGTGTATTTGGTTCATAACATAAGAATTACATGGTAAAAGTTGAGGATTAGCCTTTTTATGTTAGCTGTCTCTGTTAAAAGAAATAAAAACATAGGCCTATAAGTTTTTAGAAAAAGTTTTCCTTTGTCTCAATGTAAATCTGAATTTCTACATAAAGAAAAGCCAAATTTGCACATAAACAGTAAATAAACACTTTAGAATAAAGGTGTAAAAATAAGTCATTAAAAATAATTTCTATAGATGTTATAACAGCATTGAACTGTGTGACATTGATTATTTTTAAAGTATTCATTCATTTGTTTTATTTCTATGCCCAAAATCAAGTTTGTGGAATTTAAAATAGGTATAATTTCACTTGTGACAACCAATGATATATAAACATCCCTAATTATGGATATATTTTTGCCATGTGAGAACCACAAAGTAAGGACACTTTTTTGAACTATGAATTTAGCAATAATGGTTAATATAATACAATGATCATCCAGGGAAAAGCTCATTTATTGAAAACACTGGTTATCATTTTTGTCGGTGCCAAATTAAAGTATAATCAACGCATTATAACCTGAGGAAGGTTATTTTTAATCTTGGCGGAAAAATATGAACTAGTACTTCTATACTGAAGGATTTAAATCCAAAAATAGACTAGAAGCTTTAATGTAGTTTATGTATTGAGTTCAGAATGACTTATTTGCAATAAATTTTGGCAACATGAGCATGGGTTATTTGATTATTTATGCTTCCCTATCAGATGATTATGATGCTCTTTGTTTTTAACGGTCAGTAGCAAGTCGTTCGTTGTGTGTGCTACTGACGTACGTTTCTGCTAGTTAATTGTCAAACGAAAGTTTTGTTATTTCTATATACTTGTGAACTGAGTTATGGAGACTTTTTAATCCCAATTTGGATCGTGTGTGTGTATATATATATTTTTTTATAAGTTAAGTAATATCTAAGAATGGATTCACTAATTAACCCTGATGAATCAGTTGATTTCAATAATACGTAAGTATCCTTTTGTTTCTTTAGTTTTTCTTCGGAGTTTTTATTTTTATATTGTTTTTTACATGACATGTTCAAGACTTGTTTTATAGTCCAATAAATATTACGCAATTCTTTCTTTTATTTTTGGAAGGCAAGGGTCCAGCACTGTTGGACGGTTTAAAAATAAAGCTACTATTGAATTTAAAGCTGAGAAGCTTTGCCATTATATTCCTATATTTTTTCCACAAATCTTAATTTATGTTATAAATTGTTATTAATTTTTTACCTGTATACAGATATATGTCAAACGTTTGAGAAATTGATAACAACTCAATTCGTTGTGGTTTGGTTTATTATTTTTTTTAAAGTTAACGTCTAAAGTTATGTAATTCTAACAATCGCTATTTACTATTTACACAAAATTAAAGAAATGTTTCCAACTTGTTGCATTTAGTAGCATTGCATGTCTTCCTTGTGTACCATTTAAAATTATATGATGTGCATTTTATTGGTTAAGTATATGGTTCAATCAAGCACTTTTTTTTTATAAATATTTCGATTTACTAGCCCTTTTTTCTGTATGTGAATGATCCAATGTAAAACGTATTGTATAGGCCAAATATTAAAATTATTAAGAGGAGTTAACGCCTTGAGCGATTTATTTATAAGTTTGAGAAAAATAGCTATTGGCCTTGGACTAACTGTTAGATTTCTTGTTTTGTTGGATTTATAAAACTTTTCTGAACTACCATTTTTCTGATTTACAATTAATTTTTGTTATTCGTATTCGTATTATTTCGACTAAATTTATTGTTGCTTATGGTATTGTAGGTAAATGCTCTATATGGATAAGAAATACTACTATTCGTATGTAATCCGATCTGAGACTACTCCGTAAATGTTGAGATATTTCACTCCTGAAATGTAGAAATATGAGGTTAATATTAGTCAAAAGTTGTGTGCTATTGTTATGCGACTTTGTATAATTTCTAAATTAGATACTGTTTTCTTAAGAATTAAGTCTTAAGTGGTTGACAAATATTATTAAGCAGTAATAACGAAAAATATATATGATACATCTTGTAGACTTAAAAGGGTTATATTATTTGTGTTTGTAATCACTCTCAATATTTTTATTAACAAATAAATATCAGTTTGTGAATACGAAACATCGATTGGCTTTTAAAAACTGTAAAACCAATGATTTTGTGGATATTTATGTTATCAGTAGTTTATTTAACTAATTTTATTCTTTATCTCAGCATTGAAGACGCCTATTTCACGAAAATATTTATAAATGATTTTTGTTGATTACGGACTAAGAAGTCAATTTTCGCACCTTACCTATTTTTATTAATCTTATGTCCAGGTTTCAGGTTTCTCTTTACACGAATCTCCTCAGTGTCATCTATCTACTTATATATATATATTTTTTTATTTTTTTTATTTGGCTACACTGCTTATTTCCTCATCTTTAGTCGTAATTGTATCTAATTAAATAAAAAAATCACTACTAGAATTCATCCACATTTATAATATTGGTTATACTCTAAAATTTAAAACGTGAAAAATCTAAATAAACTGTGAAGTGTAAACGAACAAATTTTACATTATTTATGTCATGTTTTAGCAATGTATATATCGTCGACACGGATGCCAACTATTGAATCTGAAAATAACCACTAGTAGAAACGTAAAGAAAGCTCAACACAATTTTTGACCTTGGGGCATTGTTTGGACTAGTAAGGAGGTTAACATGAAAAAAGTCCCCACTCCTAGGTGGTGAGCCAGATGTGGGAGGATGCCTAGAATTTTTTCGGGTTTTCGCTTATATTAGGAAAACTATCCATCGCATCGACAAACACGTTATAAACATAATTAAAGCTGATAAAATTTGCTATATGGTTGATAACATAACTTTTATCGCTATATCGCTCAGTTTTCGAGATATCTGTCCTCAACTATCACTAGTGTTAAAAAAAAGCTTTTACCTCATGTTTTTTACTGTATTTGACTAGCTAAATCTTGATAGCTAAATCATAGAAGTGCTGCTTATGAATGGGTAGTTGCTTCACAAGCTACTATCATGTTATAGCAGATATACTTATAGTTTTAAGAAAGGCGAATTTGAAACTTTCCCAAGATATTATATTTCCCATTGAAGAATCCAGAAGTTAAAAAGAGTTTAGTTCGTTTTTCTCCTTTGTCTCTTAACCTTTTTTTTTTTTTTTTTTTTTTAACTTGCTATTTGCGTGCTCTTTTAATTAATGAATACAACATATTTCCTCGTAAAGAGTACATCATTTTTGGTTTATTAAATCTATGAGTATTTTAAAGCTTCCTGAATTTCCTACCAAATGAAAACAAAAAATCTTCGAAAAAGATTAGGATCATGTCCGATAAAATATTTTTATTGCATTTGTTTTTTCGGTTTATAATTTTTAGGAGAGCTCTATTATGATAAATTTGTATTTGGCATATTGTTATGGTGTAAGTACGAATGTTTAACTGAAACAACCGACCAAAAGAACAAAGTAACTATGGATTCAGAATTTTATTTAGTAATTAGTCCTAATGTACAGAAATGGTACTGCACTGTTTTGTATTTTAAGAACATATATAAGTTTATGTACGAATACATGAGTAGAAAAAAAATAATAGAAATATGCAAATTCAATTATAATGTTTACTCAAATTTTGATAAATGATTATAATAAAATTTCGATCACTGGGAGAACACTAATTAACTGGTACGAAAATAAGATTTTTTAAAGTAAAAACTACTTTAGGCGCGTTTTGCACTTTCTGTTGGGAGTAAATGTCGATCTGTCAGATTTTAATGCTCGGGTTAAGTCGACTAATTGAAATGTTTTTACAAATGGATTAAAATATCTCAGAAACTAAAAATCGGGCCTGCGTACTGTAATCGAGGAAACTGTTCAGCATTTCATCCTCTCTGTAATAGGCTATGATTTGAAATTGTATCTTAACGTGACGTTATATGACGTTAGGGAGGCGAAAAGGAAAAATAATGCCGAAAACCAAATGATAACTAGTTTTAACGATTAAAATATTTCAGATACTAAAAATCGGACCTGCATACTGTAAGTGAGAGAAGTGTTCAGCATTTCATCCTCTTTATAATGAGCTATTATTATAATTTATATTTCATATTATTTATCTCGCTTTGTTGATGTTATGTTTTTACTTCTTTCGTGTGGTCTAAAACACACACCTTAGTTTTTTTAATATTTATTTTTTTTTTTGGAAACCAGCTCTTTGAAAATAATTAAACTAAAACTGGCGTACAAGGCCGAAAATATGCTGGCAACCGATGGTTAGGAGGTTAAAGAGGGAAGGTTGAACGCAGCTTCGGGATTACCGGTGAGTGTAATGAGAATAAACTCTGACTGTATGACAGCTGATTGACTTTAAGGTGAGCCCACATCGAATAATTTAACCAAAGTATAGTTTTTCACATAAGAAGAGATATATAAAATTTTATTGATTAAATAAGGATAAATTATAGTTGTGAAAGGATTCTTTTCTTTAAATTATACCTATTGTCTTCAAATAACAAAGGTCCAGTCAGCATTTGTGACTAGTAATATTTGAACTGAATTGGTTTAAATTACATTCAGAACAGTGTTTGTAATACGCTATTGTAATTTTTTTTTTAAGTTTTATTTAATTTAAAATTAGGTTATTAATAGAAAATCCCGAATCCTAGATCTGAACTGGAACTGAAAACATCAACAAGGCGAGATTAATATTATGATGTATAAATTATAAATAATAGCTCATAATAAACAGAATTAGTGAATTATTTTAAAGAGAAGATGTAATGTTGAACATTTTCCTCGCTTACAGTATACAGGTCTGATTTTTAGTTTCTGAGATATTTTAATCTAAATTTTCGATAAAACTGGTTATAATTTTGTTTTCAACACTCTTTTTTTTCCCCTTTCGCCTCTCTAACATGGCGTCACGTTAAGATTTTGAATAATAGCCCATTACAAAGAGAATGAAATGCTGAACATTTCCCTAGCTTACAGTATGCAGGTCCTATTTTTTAGTTTCTGAGATATTTTTAATTCGTATGCAAAAATACATCAATTAATCGACTCCAGGCGACTTTATTCGAGCGTTCACATCGGAAATCTGACAGCTCAACATAATTCACACTCCACAAAAAAGTGCAAAACACACCTAAAGAAGTTTTCACTTAAAAAAA